GTACGGTCCCTGATCTATGGCCGAACGCCGGATAAACCCGTCTTAAAAAGGTGGGGGTGCAACATCATGGCTGGCGCAAAGCAAAGCTTCCACAGCTGAGCTGCGACAGCACAGTGACACTCTCTCCGGTTCACCCACTTCCACTTCTGCTCTTCAGCCTCGCACAGCCTGCTGCAAGCTGGTAGGCGGCCATCGTCTCTCCAATTGATTTCTACTCTCTCTCGACCTCTCTCCCCATCTCTGTCGACTCCTATTGGCCTCCGATTTCTCCCTCTTCTTTGTCCTTACAAAACTCCGCGCGTCACAACCTCGCCTCGCTTCGCCGACTTCCATCTCCCCCCCTTCGAAACGAGATTCGCTCTACATCGCCATCATGTCTCTCGATGGGCCAACCTACCTGGCCTCTCTGCAGAACAACATCCGCCAGCGCCCGATCCCCTGGGATGGCGCCGTTAGAGCAGGCAGCCTCACCGAGGAGCAGCTCGCAAAGATCCGTGCCGTCGACAAAGCTAAAAAGCCCGAGCAGAGGAAGGAGATTGTGAGCGCAGACCTCGACGGATATCGACTGCTCTTTGTTGGAGGCAACGGCAGCCCCAGCGTCTTGGAAAAGGCAGGAAAGAATGCTAGTCTTGTGCAGTACATCTTGGTGCTGTTGGCCGATCTGCTCGATGGTAAGCTAGGCCCTCCGACTTCCACTGCTGCATCAAAACATCAAATAGCATTTCAACACGCAACAAGGGGCATCGGTCAGAAAGACAAGTCTTACGTGCTGCTGCTTCTGCTACTGCTGTTTGAAAGACAACATTTCATCATTTAACTATACTGCTCTTTTCTTTTCATTATCGAGTTCAATCTATCGCTAACGATATTCTGGTCACGAAACAGCTGTGCCATCCCTCGCCAAGGCTCTCCTCAAGTCTCCTGAGCCATACCAGCACTTCTTACCGTTGTTCCGCGCTCACTCCAACGAGGACCCCATCCCGCTCCTTACAGCACACGCCTTGTCGAATCTTATGGCTCTGGCGCAAGATGATTCCAAGCCCACCGTCCTTGCCCTTCCTCTAATCTTCACCTACCTGTCCGGCCTGGCCCAGAGCTCCGATGCTGGCTTACAAGATTTCGCCGTGCAAGAGTACTCTTCCCTGTTGTTTGGACATGCCTCCCGAGAGCACTTTTGGAAGCAGCGCAGCGACACCGTTACGCCCCTCGTTAATATTCTTCGGGCGGCGGCTGGTGTTGGTAGCGGCAGCGACTCATCGGCTAGTCTATGGAGCGGCACTGCAAGCACGCGCACCTTTGAGGGCTCTCTGAATGGAGGCGTTGGTTTACAGCTATTGTACCATGTTCTCATGGTCCTATGGCAGATGAGCTTTGAGGCAGAACAAATCGGAGATGAGCTAAACGAGTGAGTGTTTTTGCTTGTTATCAATCTCTTGACAGGACCATGTCTAGCCTTTGATGTTCCCAACTAACCATGATTGTAGCGAATACGACATCATCCTTTTATACACCCACCTTCTTCGACTCTCGCCCAAGGAGAAGACGACCCGATTGATTGTAGCCACTCTGTACAACCTGCTGGAGAAGAACCAGAGAACGCTTCTGCCCACTGCCGTGCTCGCCCGTTTACCCGCACTGCTGCAGAATCTCAGTGGTCGCCATCTTGCTGACCCTGACTTGCTGGAGGATCTGCAGAGCCTCAAGGAGCTGCTCGAAGAACACACCAAGACGAAAACTACGTTTGACGAGTACCTGGCCGAAGTCCACTCAGGCCACCTTCGCTGGTCCCCGCCACACCGCAACACTATCTTCTGGGCAGAGAACGCACGAAGAATTCTCGAGTATCAAAACGGCGAAGTCCCTCGCAAATTGGCCGAGATTATGCAGAAGCCCTGGGACAATGATAAGCAGGTTTTGGCTATTGCATGTAACGACATTGGATGCCTAGTCAAGGAAGTTCCCGAAAGGCGATCACAGCTCGAGAAGATTGGCTTGAAGACACGGATCATGGAGCTCATGGCATCCGACGATGAGAATGTTCGGTGGGAGAGTCTTCGTGCCCTGGGAGGCTGGCTAAAGTACAGCTTTGAGGACAGCAATTAGAGCCAATGACCGAATCCCACTCTTTTAATCTCTAATCATGGAATCGGTCTTGGGCAGCTGGAGCGACTGCATCCGCCTAGAATGGGAGGAGATGGTGACCTTTTTTTTTTTTTCTACTTCTTATTTTCTTGTTTTTCTGGATGCCTCCGTAGATGCAGTATCATTTGGAGCATCGATTGTAATTGGCATAACTATGTACGGAGTACCTACCAAGCCAAGCCTGGGATTAGCTAGACCCTGGCCCTGACTGTGTATGATGACAATAAAGACGCAGAATTTCGAAGCTGTCCCCGCCTTTGCTGAGGATCAGTGTCAATGGTAATGGCAATGGCCAGTGTTTTGGATAGGCACCTTATTGCGAGATGATGATGCCGTCTTCATTACCGCCCTCGGCTAAACATTATAGCGAATCTAACTTTTTACTCAAACGATTCAGCGCAGAGACCAAAAGAACTTTTAGCAGAGTCGATATCGGAGAGCGGATCTTATTTAGTTGGTCACTCACTATCCCAGCAATCCGCAGCTACCCGAACTGCCCCACAGTCAGAATAATCTTACCATTACCCAATTGATGTCCAACTTTATCAACAACCGACGCTTCGGCGATTTTCGTGCATATCCATTTCTCTCACGACAGTTGCTTTCCCTCCCTTCATTTCTCTTCTGTATCCCCTAATCTCATCCTCGCAATCTCCCCTCTTTGTCTTTGGTCCTTTTTTCTGTTTCCCTTTGCTTTTCGTCGGCCAATTGACGCATCATGATGAAGAGCTTCACCAGAATTGCTCGGGCATCGCCCCGCGTCAAGGTTTCGGCCTCACTCTCTGCTGGCCGCCTGTCGACTGCTGGAAGCATCCGATGCGCCTCCAATGCCTCCAGCGGAGAGCCGCTCAAGAAGACGCCGCTGTACGACTTCCACGTTGCCAATGGCGCCAAGATGGTGCCCTTTGCCGGCTACCACATGCCTGTCCAGTACTCGTCTCTGTCTCTGGCGGAATCTCACCACTTCACACGCAACCATGCGTCACTTTTCGACGTCAGCCACATGGTTCAGCACATCTTCAAGGGCCCTGCCGCGGCGGCGTTTTTGGAGAAGGTGACGCCCTCGTCGTGGAGCAATGTCGCTCCCATGAGTGGCAAGCTGACGACTTTCCTGTGGCCCGGCACTGGAGGCATTGTCGACGATACTATTGTTACCAGGATCGGCGAGGATGAGTTTTATGTGGTGACCAACGGAGCCTGTCTCGAGAAGGACACCAAGTACATTGACGAGGAGCTGGGCAAGTTTGGTGGCGACGTCAAGTGGACGAGGCTGGACGGATCCGGCCTGGTTGCACTGCAGGGACCTCAGGCGGCTGAGATCCTGAGCGAAGTCCTCGTTACTGATGTCAACCTGAAGGAGTTTTACTTTGGCAACACCATCCAGGCTGAGCTCAAGCTTGCGGATGGCAGCAAGACCCACCCTGTCCTGATTAGCCGTGGTGGCTACACTGGTGAGGATGGCTTCGAAATCTCCTTCAACGGCAAGCTGTATCCCGCCCTGGAGAGCACCGTCAAGGCTGTCGAGTCTCTCATCAAGACTGCTGGTCCTGAGCGTCTCCAGATGGCCGGTCTCGGAGCTCGTGATTCCCTTCGTCTGGAGGCTGGTATGTGCCTTTACGGCCACGATCTGGACGACACCACCACTCCCGTCGAGGCTGGCCTCAGCTGGATCATCTCCCCTGAGCGCCGCAAGGCTGGCGGCTTCCACGGCGCTGAGGTCATTCTCCCTCAGCTCACACCAAAGTCCAAGGGCGGCTCCGGCGTCGAGAGACGGCGTGTTGGTTTCGTCGTCCAGGGCGCACCCGCTCGAGAGGGCGCGGAGATCCAGAAGGATGGACAGACCATTGGCACAATCACCAGCGGTGTTCCCAGCCCGACTCTTGGAAAGAACATTGCCATGGGATACATCAAGGATGGACAGCACAAGGCTGGCACTGAGGTGGATGTCGTTGTCCGTGGCCGCAAGAGGCAGGCTGTCGTGACGAAGATGCCGTTTACCCCTGCCAAGTACTGGAAGGCTCCCGCCTAAGCTAATTCCTTTTCTCTCTCTTTTCTCTTGTTATAAAAATGGTGTTTTTCTTGGGATAGCGGCGATTTTGGTTACTTAACGTGGTATATGGGAGGATTGATATATGGATACTTCAACGTGTTTCATGGCATTACGAATCGGAAATGGTACTCTTCTTTTCCAACATGACCCGTATCGCCTTGACCTTGACCAGCTCCTCTAGACTCCTTACCTGAGCTTCCAAGACCCCATCCTTGTCAACATAGTGATGTAGCACTGCCAGAGCTGAGCCCTTCCACAGCGGCACGTTCCTGGTTCTTCCAATTATAGTTCCGATCAGCGCCATCGTTCCCGAGAAATGCGCGGCTAGCGGTAAGATTAGCCATCTCCACACGAATGAATAGGACGGCTTGGCTTCGTGTACGGTTAGGCTATGTGGCTATGTGCGATTCCGTTGAATACACCGGACACGACTTCCAGACCAAGTAAGCTTGTTCTTTCGCTTAATCATCTTGTCTCAGTTGAGGCCCCCAATAGTTGCGCGGGTTGGCTACACACACCATTTTCAATGTATTTCCCTGCGCCCGTCAATACATGTGCCAGACCCATAATACTTTCCCTTTATAATTCGATTCCGAAAGGATTTGAATTAGTGCTGACAGTGTAGGCTACATCAAGTTGTAGCTGGGTATGTATATATTCACATCTTTCACTGCATCATTGAGGTTTTACGATGGGTTCGGGATATTGCAGTAATACTTAGACACGCTCTTCTACCTCCATGATTTGACAGTTGACGCTAGCTCTCATAACGTGTATATCCAAGTTTCCTATTATCGGAACTGGCCAAATGGAGGCCAAAGCGACCAGTGAGCAGTCGCTGGCAAGCGCAATCTCTGTTAGCGACGCAGGATGGGTGCTCGTCTGCCTAGCTGGACACAGAGTCTCGCTCTTCATTGCGCGCACCGCCATGAAGCGATTCTTTCCTACGACATACGCCCAGCTTAAGAAAGATCAAGGTAGCCGATTTCCAGCCTACTTTGTCTTCGTTGTTGGCATCGTATGGACCATCATTAGCGCCCCAATATGCCTTGGAGCCTTCGTGTCCACCCCGGCAGACACAGACCAACCAGGAGTTCACCCCCGAATGTCCACAATGGAGAGGGTTTGCTTGAGCTCGCGTGGTGCGCTTTGGATATCTGAGCTGCCACTTTTGAGCTACTCATCGGGATACATTGTTCACCATGCCCTGTCGCTTAGCTCGCTTGCCATCATCATCGTCAACAGCCTTCCGCGCCGGCCTCTATACTTGATCTACGCCGGTCTAATCACAGAGCTCTTCTCGGATACGGTGGCATTGCTCAGGTTCGGGGGGCAGAATCACAAGAATTCGAGACTCTACGCACATATTTCGGTCATTAATGCATTGTCTCTTCTGATTGTCCGGGCACTGCCCGCGATAACGGTTACGCTATCCGTGCTGATGCCAGTGAAGAGAATGAGCGGGCTGAACTACATCGCCTGTGTCGTTTTCTATTGCGTCTGGTTACTGCGGCTAGCTTTTAAGCAACTATCTATGTTAGGAGTCGTGGAGCTTGTCTTGGTCAGGCCCGGTTATATTCGCCTTGGTCAGAGGACGCGGATAACACTATACCGCCTCATGCTCGGCCTCTCCATAGTGGCGGTTGAGATGGTTACGGCGGCTGTGTACTGCTCACAGCGTGACGTGCTATTATCGAGCACAGAGTCTCATGATTTAGTCATAGCCGGCCTTGGAACCGTCATAGCCGGGCTATTTGGAGCCAAAGCTGTTAATTCTCTGATGCTAGCAATCGACTACTCTCGATCGAAAACGTTGCATTCTTATCCTCCCGCTCGACGCACGTTTCCCAACTCAGATTCCGTTTTTACTTTCTTTGCTAAGACCTCGGACCCCGAAAGCCGCACTGTCAGTTTCTACAAAATGTCCGGCGTGCCATTCCTGGATATTATATCTTTGAACGGCATTTCTATTCAAGGCGGCATCCTATTCTCAGCTCTGTGGGTATCTCAGATCCATTACGCTGCGCCAACCGTTGCTAGAGACGTGTTGCTTGCTTCCATGGCCCTGGCGCTGTTGCTTGGTGAAGCCATTGGGCGTATCGGGTGCTACTTTGGCGGCTGCTGCGGTGCCAGACATGACCAGAATCGCGCGGATAAGATCCCTAGTGTGCAGCTCTTGACGTCGACGCTTAACTTGATTGCCTTCCTTGGATTGGCAACCGCCCTGAACTGCGGGCTTATGAGCTTGCTGGAGACGGGATGTACTGCAATGGCTGTGAATGCAGCCATTCGGCTTGTGGTTGACCGGCTGAGGAATGATGCGATGGAGAAAGCTGTAGGTACTGCAACAGTCTTTGCCGGATGCCAGCTATTCCTGTCCAGCTGGATATACTTTTCACTAAGACGAGGCCATGATCGGGAAGTGTCCTTCGTCATTAGTGCTACGATATATATGGTTGCTAAGAGCCTGATGTTCGCCATCTCCGGCCGAGTCACCTGGCTTACTCTGGCTCAGTTGCCACTCCGGACAAAGCTATCATGGCTCCTGAGGCCTATTGTGTTTGTATATCTGTTTAGTCTGGCTATAGTACTGCTTTCCATAGCTGATGCCTATAATCAAAGCACAGCTATAGGACCTATGTTCGTGAGCGACACGCAGTGGAGATTTTTATCCTGCCCAGATTTTTTATTATTTATATCACTTACTGGTACAGCACCTATGCTAGTTAGCTAACTATGACAGTATTATAGCTTGAGTCTTAGAGTCGTAATAATAAGTTAATGGATTACTTAGATAATTTACTTTTTCCTTTTTCCTTTTTTTTTTTTTTTTTTTTTTTAATATTAAGTTAGTTTATATATAAGGTTGTTATGAAGGTTACTAAGGCTTGACTTTCTAGAATAGTTAACGTTTAGTTATATTTAGGACTCAATCAAGGATGATACCTGGCATTAAACAGATGTATATACAGCAGATTAAAAATAAATATGAGCGCAAATTTTATATTAACTAAAACTCAACGCCGGAAGGTGCCTTTGTGTGTAAATTAAAGCTATATGCATGTGTTCGAGATAACTGATTAGCATTGCATTGCGTACGTAATTTGCGTGGGATCCCGGTTTATTTCAAATGCACGGGATCAGCTCCGATCATTTTGACCAGAGCTGCCTAAGCAAAAGAACGTGCCCAATTGGTCCTTGCTTCGTGCTCGACTCCAATATTTGCTTGACGCAGGAGGGTGGACTAGCCAGGCATCAAATCTCCTCTTTTCCCAGCTTTCTAACTCCGAGTATATACTGAGTACTGCTCCAGCTATTAGCACCTGACGTAAGCGGGTATTTAATAGAGAGGTCAGCTCCCATCTTCCCTGTTTTCCAATTCTCATTTACAGCCTACTGCCTTTTCACTTTGGCTTTGCGTGCTTTATCTGCTACAGTGATAAACTGCTATCGCTGAAGACTACCTAGTGTAGCACCTGGACGAACGGTGCCATCGCTCTTGATATTGGGAAGGGCTATTCAGCACCCCAAGCTGGCTATCCAACACCCCAGCGGCTAAGAGGAGTTCCGAATGGAGTAACAACGTACAATAAAGATTTCTTATCGCCGTTACTTAAATAGATATTGCACAGTTCCTAAAGTATCTGCTACTATGGCTAGTATCTGCTACTATCCATATATTCCTCTAATAGTTGCCATCATTACTACCTAGGCTGCTTTAAATTTAAGAATGGGGTGCTGAATAGCGAACTTGGGGTGCTGAATTGTCACTCCCTTGATATTCCACAGGGCTTATGTGCCAGAAAATGCCTCTGACTTCGTAAAAGTGGCAAGAACATCGAGGAAATCATGAGATAAGTAAATGAAAGGTAGACCATGACCGGTATCACTCCACCAACGATTCACATGGTCAGTGCCATTCGATTCGTATTGATGCTATATCGCTGTAATTACCAATTGGTATTTCCTTGGTTGTGCTAATGCTGAAAGTATTTGAAATGGATGATATGTCTGAGTAGTTGTACCGGGTGATGCTAAGCGTCCACTCAAACACCAATGACTCTCGACGGAGGACGATTTTGTTAATTACAACACGCCTCTGTCGTTGAGTTTCCATTTGTTCCAAATACAAATGGCAGATGTGACAAGATCGGTGTCTTTTGTGAATTGTGTATTGTTGTTTACCCTGTCGAAGGTGCTGATAGGTTGCTCTCTCAGTCAGCCAGTTGATAAAAAAAAGAGCCAGCTGCCAACGCTCCCAAAACTTGAAAACAAGTGCCCGGACAGCTGGCACGGCTGACGTCCAGATTTCGTCTGCCCTACTTAATTCTCAAAATTTCGTTCCTTTCTCTTCTTTCCTCTTCCTTCTTTTCTTCTCCTCAAGAGCAGTTTCATATTGTACCAACTGGACTTTCGAGAACCAATCGCGTACACACGACTTCTCTTTTTAACTTACTTTACGAACAAAACTGCTCTATATACTGCATTCTAAAGGCCATGCCTTTCTCTTTTTCTTTCGGGCCCATCATGGACCGCCTCCGCCCCAATCGCCCCAATCGCCCCCCTACTGGATCATATCCCCCCGTGATCGGTGACGGACCCGGCCCAGTTGGGCAAACTTGGATGCGGCTTTGGTCCGTTCGTTTGTTCTTCTGCGGCTTCTGGGTTTTTGCGGCGCTGTGGGTGGTGTTCGTCGGCTCTGTGAAGCAGATGAGGTTGCTGGGCGCAGCAATCTCATCTCGGATCAGGCTGATGGATGCCAACCCTGCAGCAGCAGGCGGAGTGGACGAGCTGCGTCGGCAGCTCAGATACTTCGTTGCCGCTGGTCTCATCACGTCTGCCTTTTGCGCCATCATCATGGCAGGAGTGCTGCCGGAAGAACGCAGCGTGATATCTTATCACGTTGTCGTGGGCCTGGCAGCTTACTGCTTGCTTTCGACGATGGTCGGCGGTTTTGCGATTATCTCTCCGAGACTTGGCTTTGAGGTTACTCGTTAGGGGCGAGTTTTCCTCTTGGTCATGTTCGGAATTGTTATAGGTGTCCTTGGTGTAGGTGCTGCCATGGCCATACTGATAATTGCAAGAGGGGGCGTGTATCGGGTTCCCGTTCTGGTATTCCCGGTAACCGCAGCTCTAATTATGTTTAACATGATGCTGTCGTCTGTTGACGTCTCTCGGGACTCGAATGACGACAGTACAAGGAGCGATGGAGATCTTGAACGTCAGGACATCAGTCCATTGCACATGACGTGATGGAGTCAAACGCCGGACCTTGTCGAGCCACGGCAGAGGGGACTGCCGTGACAGTTTTTGTCGAACCAACCCCAGCTTGACAATTTGGCGGTGGAGGAGCTGATAAACCTCTGGAAAAAAACAGACCCCAATACGAATGCTGCTTCTGCGTAGCTTTGGGGACGAGTACCCGGCCCATCTTGGCACTCTCATCTCATCATCACTCGGGACGGGGAAACTAAACGCATTCGACTCAAACATTCAACATTCTACCAAACTTCATCCACAACGACATTGTCGATGCTTCGAGCCTCAAAAGTCCAAGAAAATCTCAATAATTCATCACATATTGCACAAAATCCGCCCCAAAACCACACTTGTCTTCCAGTCTTGCATCCAATAGACTGAGACTCTTCACGTCAAGCTTCAACCTCCTTTCCAAAGATGGCAATGCGTCGCTACTCCTCCTACTAGCCGCATTCACTACAACTGGTTCTACCAAAGCCTACATACCTAGTCGTGCTTCTGTCATATCAGACGCCATAAATATTTTCACACCCATTAGAGCAATCCTCAAGCTCTACTCGAAGCACCCCTCGAGATTTTCAGATCCCCGACGCTCCCTGAAATCTCTTACCCCTCTTAGCCTTCTTCAAAATGCTGAAGTCCATTCAATTCCATCGCTTGCCTCGATGCTATCAAGCCAGGCAAAACACCGCGCTCAACACCCAACATACCACGAAACGCATATACAAACCATTCATCACGTCTCGGTTCATTGACATTTAATGACGAGAATTTCTGTTGCGGACATGCTTTGTTTCAAACATCCACTCCGTTGTTCTTTATGGCGCCCAGCACCAGACCATACCTAGAGTTCCCAAACAACCACAATACCGACTTCGAAGTTTACCTACTTCGGCTGATGACTTTCTCTACAATGTTCGAATTGGAGGTGTCTGAAAACCCTCCAACATGATCAAGACTTTTTTCATGTGCTTGTTATCCATTGCCATTCTCTGGTGCCCGAACCACACGCATTTTGGGACATTGACGCAACGAATCACCACCAGTCTTGGCGACTCTGTCGGTGTCACATGTACAAGCAGCTACGGCCACCGCAACGCCGTTGACGACAAGCAACATTAAGTTTGCCTCAACTGAAAATACTCGTTGCATACATGTATACATCCTCGCAACTGGATCTCTTCCCAAGCGATAATATCTCTGTGTGAGTGGGACGTGACTAGATATTAATCTTTGACCCTAACATAGGCATTCTAGGTACATAAACAATCGGTGCGAGTGGCGCCGCTTGTCGAGATCGAATCCTGACAACAGATACTTGGCGCTATTCGCGGTACACGGATCAGATAATGGCATGCCGCCTGGAAATTCGCACAGTCGATCATTGGTTGGATTCCAAGGCGCCACGAGGGGTACAAGCCTCTCGAGTCTTTTTTTCCCCCTCGATTCTCCCCCGCTGCCTCGGTGGCGGCTGTGATGCGACGCCAACCCTACTACTGAAGGTAATTGCCTCTTGGAGTCGTTCCGCGGATGGAATAAGCTTATTGACAATGGCAAGGCAACCAAAACGCCCTCATCTGACCGCTAGAGGTATTATTATGATTCGCTGTTTCAGCCTGAGCACCAAGCAGCCAATTTATTGAGTTTTGTCCGCGGTCGGCAAGAGCGGTATATATTCTAAAGACCCCATTGGTGACTCGCTGCGTTTGGGCACAGCCTCTCCATTACTCCAACAGTATGCGCCCCAAGTTCGAACTGAGAAAGCGGCGTGAAGGACAAAACTGCTTCGTCATGGTGCAGCTTTGGAGATTCACATTATGTTCGAAAAGGTCAGTCAGTGTTCCCATATCTGGATGAAGGGAGGTCTGGGTAGCTTGGGGATTCATTGAATTGCCTCTGCTCGGGCACTACTTCGCAAGGCATATCGAGAGAAAGAAACAGGAATAAAAGGTAAAATCTACCACGGAATCTGTGATTGCGTCTAATATTTGAGTACAGATAGCCATTTAATTATCCCACACTCCTCCACTACCTCCAAGGCACAAGTAAAATGGTGAAGCTGGCCGTTTTCAGGCTCCTGATGGTCGGAGGAGCTAAGAATGAACCCGCGCGTGGGATTGGCTCGAACCGATGGATCTACTGGTAATTCGAATCGAGCTGAAACGAGAGAAACTGGGCTTGGTTGCTGATCAGATGAGGATCAAGTGTCAAGAGGCAACGACGACATTAAGTTGTGGCGTCAACTCGACGGCGCGCGCGCTATGAATTGAAGTGCAAGGCGCTAGCCAGTATTAGCACATCAACTGCAGCGGGCCGTTGCCCCCGCGCCCGTCTCCAAGTGTGGCTTGTCGATGGGTTGGCGGCGTGAGAGCAGACTGGGAGGGAGAGCAGGATGGAGAGGAAGAGGAACAGACGAAAGTTTTATTCAAGTTCGATTTCCCTTCTATAAATATATGTAATACATGAAAATACAAAAAAAAAAAACCCATCCACGCCATGCTAGAAACCTATGCAAATTGCTACTGACTTCCATTCGTGCTACTATGTTCAAACAACCACCACGGATTCGCCATGTACATTAGCCTCGCATCCCCCATTGTCAAGTTTTCCATGCTGACTTGACGCTCGAGTTGCAGAAGTAGAACGGATATTTTTGCGATGAATTTGTCGCGAGACTCTCTCTTGTATAACGCCCATTTGAGCCCTTCTGTTGTTTTCGCTAGATGGGCTTTTTGCCTGTGGAGAAATATCGCCATGCGAGTTCGCATTACAGCGTCTGGGTCTAGGCCAGTTGCAGTGCACTGAGCTTCAATCATTGCAGCTTCAAGCTGAGCTCGGCGGAGTGCATCTTGAATGGCAGAGAGAGTCTCGGCTGTTGTTGCTTCTTGGTCTTTTGGTATATTTTCTGGGCCGTCCGTTGCGTTTGCGATCAACTTGTTATGGCTGTTGGTATTGTGGATGACTTTTGAAATAGAAGCGCAGTGGGAGAGGTGCCCTTGGAGTTGTAACTGATAGATTCCGAATTCATCTTCAAAGCCACGGGCTTGCTTAAAATGACTAAGGCATCGGTGTATAAAATAAAATATGCCGGCTGTACCTCCCACAGCATCCATTATTATGTGTATGTAGAAGAGTTCCAGTCATACGTCTTATGGGTACTATGAGGTAGAACTTGAGACTCGCTTTGGGATTGGAACTGGGAAAGGGCTCTTCGCTCAATTCGCCAGAGTGTGATGTTGTGTTGAGTTGTGTTTCACAGATAGCATGGTTGAGGAGAGTTGGAGATTGTATGGGGTCGCGTATTGCAAGTTCGATCTGACGGTGATGTGGCAAAGCGGCTTTCTTTATATCGCCCCAAAGCCCTCCGCCGAGTCGACCGGTTTCGTCAAGAGTCGACGCAGACATTCAGTGGTGGAGGAGGGGTGTGCGCGAGGGGGTGAAGGAAATCGATGCGAGCCCCACCGGCGAAAAAAGGGCATCTTCGAGCCATTGCAATTCCACTACTCCAGGGGCTATGACTGGTGCTGGTTTCTGCGGCGGGGACTGCTAGTGAGTAAATAAAGTCCTGCGGTGAACTGGGCTCAGCCTTAATGGAGGACCCAAGGGTAGGGGGTTTCTTCTGCCGGAATTCGGGAGGCGAAAGGGGGCTGTGCGAGGTTCGGGGAAGAAAAAATATGCACAAGTAAGATAAGGAGACATGTGCGCCAAAAAAGGCAAGGGCTATTGTCAGGGTAGAAAGCGAAGTGAATGATGAAGCTCTGCCGTTTGACGTTAGATGAATGACAGTCAGTTGTGTGAGGAATCAGCCGTGATGAAGGAGGAGGCAACTGTGTGGGATGCTGATAGAGGCTCACGCACAAGGAAACAAAAAAGATGGGGAAACAGTCCATAATAATAATTATATAGAGGAAACGCGCCAATCTCTCTACTTGATCTTTACAAATTGGATCCATTGATGGCATTCTGTGGTCCTGGATTTCTGTTCACTGGTTGCTGCAGTGCTTCAACGGCACTTTGTGAGATGTGGGGCACATCCAGTAGCTATAAGTACTGCACTCATTGCATCAGGGTCATATTGGGGGGTTTCTGACTGTTGCATCTGGGCTTGCAACTTACACCATCCCCTGACATGGCATCACCCTCTGCTTTACAACTCTGGAGTAAAAAATGATAATACCCACTGGTGTTTAACGGCCATGCCATGCCTGCCTCATAATTATATTTAAGTAGACAGAGGAACAAGACGACAAACCTTGGATGAATGACTATCTGCACGGTGAATAAAGGTGTGACATGGATACCTACGTTGGACAGCCTCTGCCAGATGCTTCAATTTTCTTTTCTGATAACAAAGCAGCATTTTACTCATCAAATATAAAGTAGTGTAAGGCTATCTATCATTTGGATTTTGATGATGGATCAAATTGCACTGATATCTACCTCTAGAACACTGTTTAATAACATCCCATGAAAGTAACTCAAGATTTAGAGAATGCCCTCACGACAGGAACGCGATGAACTGTGTGTATAAAAGAAAAGAAGTCCATCCCATCTCAAACCTCAACTGCCGCAAGCTGCCTGTCAACGTCTAACAAGGAGTCTAGCAGCATGTTATACTCTTTATCTACCCTCTTGGACGCTTTCAAAAAGGCAACTTCAATCCTTTCCGTTTCCTTTTTATATAAAAGCCGCGCCTCAGCCTTCCGAGCGGCAACCAGCGACCTACACGCAGGCTCATCCCAGCCGTAGTCACTAAATACAAATCTGAAAAAGTATCGGAAGCGATGCTCCTTTGCATTCTCTAAGATATTCCCAATGGTATCCAAGTATGTGTTCTCAATGTTCCTGATATCATCATTTGCACCTTGAATCCTTTGAGCCAGTGCGCGTTTTTGACGATATAATCCCTTCTCCCTCTCTTGTAGGACTTCCCCCTTTCTCGTCATGTATGCGTTCACCAATCGAACTCTTTTATGGTGTGAGTCTATCGCCATAATTTTTCCCATGATCTGCGCAGGAACGAATATTTTGTCACAATCTTTGGCTGTGCCATTGTGCTCTTCATATGGAGGGGGGTCCGTCTTCAGCATGTCAGGCGTATCTAGCCGTGAAAACAAATTTCCTAGTGATATTTTTTGCCATGAATCAGTTATCAGAGGTGAACAGGAAGATTATACTTCTAAGATTATGAACTTACTGCCTCTTCCTCAAAGAATCTGAAATATTCCTGGATGTGACAATTTGCGTCAAGCAATTCAACGATGCAATACAAGAGAAACAAGGGAGAAAAGAAATAAAGAACTTTCTAAGAAGTTATATAAGGTAATGTTAACGCATATCGGACCTTTTGTTGTAGGTTTGAGTTTGTGGCTGGTGAAAAATGTATGATTATGGAGCTTAAGCTTGATAATAAGCAAACATTTGCGGAGAACTTGTTATCACCGGCCATACATACGTCAAAAAGTAATGCAAAATTATGTACCTCTTCCATAATAATTGAATAAAGCTGAGCGGGGTGCTCAAGATGCAGGGCAACACGGAAAACAAGTTGCCGTGAAGATGCTCCCACGATACGAATGTTCCCATGATGGCAGCCATGGCGAGACAAGTGCCGACAAGAATTCCGAGTCGCGCACGCAACTCGTCAATCCTGCCCACCGGGTTTTCATCGATGAGCCTGATCCACTTCAAGACTCCTGCAATCCAGGAGCCCATCATCTTCACAGAGTCGCCGAGAACACCCAGCACAAACGCAAGGAACCAACTGATATGTGAATAAAATCCACTGCCAGCAACTAAGGAGATGCTCAAGGAGCTTCTCCCAGTATCCACGGACGGTTGAGCCGAGGCGCGAAAGCGCCCGAGGAGCTCGCACGCCCTGGACGGCTCCGTCACCAGCCACGGGGAGTATCGATCCAGTAGGGGGGCGCAGGCGGTCCATGATGGACCCGAAAGAAAAAGAGAGAGAAAAGGGGAAAGGCATGGCCTTTGGAATGCAGTTGGTGAGTAAGTAAAAAAGAGGAGTCGTGTGTACGCTATTGGTTCTCGAAAGTCCAGTTGGTACGATATGTAACTGCTCTTAAGGAAAGAGAAAAGGGGAAAAAGGGAAAAAGAAAAGGGGCGGAATTTTTGAGGAGAAATAGGTCAATGGGATTTTTGGATGCCAGCTGTAACAGCTGTCCTGGCAGTCCTTTTGCAGATGCATGAGTATGCTGGCAGATGCCCACCTTTCAGTTGCGATTCACTTTATATTCATTTCAAGGTGAAGAAGAATAAATTCTTCACTTTGTCTTGATTAAAGGAGCTATTGTTTTATCTTCTTTATAAATTTAGTAGGTATGTTGGAAAAGTTGTGCGAGGTTTGCAAGTCCCCCTTTATCTAGTGGTTACATGCAATAGATTACTAGGTTGAGATGAAATCTATTGTGTAATGTTCAAACGCCACGGGACTGCCAGAAAAAAAATTAGGGGCGCAAATTGATATGGTACATTTGGCCCTATTGACCCAAAAACAAGCCCTCACTATTGACAGCTCGGGCCGGTGATGCTGCGTGTGTGCAATGCGGCATCTCTTGATTTGAGGAGGAAACCAGTATGGTCCAGATACTTGCGTTGGATTACCCGGCCAAGTGCCGCGATTCGCCAGCAGGGAAATAAAATTCGTGTCTCTAAGCATTGAGGGCCACAAGTTCATCCATCATTTCAAGGTCGGCATTTGGCGAGGCCATGAGTGTTGCTGACATCTGTCTCATCTAGAACGCGGTTTAAGCAGAGTGACATGATCATATGAAGACAGCTCAAGAATTCATCCTACTTAAACAGAGATTTCTCTCCCGGAACGCACTCAATTGCGTGGATGAAAGAAAGAACCTCATCTTATCTCAAACCTCAACCGCCGCAACCTGCCTGTTACCCTCTGACATGTAGTCTAGAAGAACGTTGTACTCTTCGTCAAACTTCTTCACCGCTCCCTAAAACGCAATTTCAATCTTCTCAGTTTCCATTTTATGTGTAATCTGCGCCTCAGACTTCCTAGCAGCGGCCAAAGCCTCATAAGCAAACTTATTCTAGCCAAAATCATCACCAGCTAATCCCCAAAAAGACCGATTAGGATGTTGTTTTGCATATGAAATACTCCATAATGTCTGATGGTACGTCTTTTTAAGATTTTTGGCATCTTTTTTGGCATCTTTAATCGCTTGGTTTAACGCACGATTTTGGCAAGTTAAGGCCATCTCTTTCTCTTTCACAATTTCCCCCTTCCTGGTAATGTATTCTTCTACCAGTCGAACCCTTTCCTTATGTGATCCTATCTGCATGATTTTGTTTGTAATCCATGGAGGGATGAATACTTTGCCATGATAGCTGTCATCATCTTGGATTATGTCGCCGTTTTCTTCATATGGAGGTGGTTTCGTCTCTCTCATGGCGAGTGTATACAGTCGAGATGCTTTTAAAAAACTGGACTACCTTGAATTAGTTATTAAAGATGAAAGTGAATATTATAGTATCAAAATATAGACCTACTGCCGGTATTTTACTTGTAGTAATTCGCGTAAAGATAGGTGGCTGTCCGATGAACTGGAGAGGGGGAAAAGGACAAAAACCAAAAAAAAAACGAAAAGGGGGGTTGAAGAGAGATTAAAAAAAAAAGAACTCACTCAATTATTTACAATACAAAACAATGTTTATGCATATCAAACCTTTTTGTTGTGAGTTTGAGTTTGTGGCTTTTAGAAATTGTATTATGGAGCTTCAACTTGTGGAGGCTTATCACTAGCTGCCGTATATACCTATATATATCAAAGATGATAGTACACGCATGTATCCCTCGTCAACAATGGTTGCATCAAGCCGCAGGCCACTGCTCGACAATTCCCCAGCCGCGGACACTTTCGCCCTTCCAAGTTCCATTGTAGAGCGTGAAAGAGTCACAAAACGCAAACGCTGATCCAAAGCTGGCCTCTCCAAATTTCCGGCTAGTAACATCTGGGGATATAGCCATAATCACACTGTTGTACTCATCTAAGAACGAGACTTCAAAGGACCCGTACCAGGTGCGGTTCGTATTCGGCGATACCCACACGTCACTTGGCTTAATATCAGGGTTCACGCTAACCACCTCCTGTTCTCCATTTGGATACAAGGCTGTCGCGAAGGCTTTGAGGGCGCCTTGTTCTGTAGGGAGGACCCATGTTGAGATGCGGATCCCGTTTTCGAGTTGAATTGGAAGCCAGTGCCAGCCTTGCATCGGATTTTCCTCACCCCACTGGCGATCGTACCACGTCGTTGAGCGCTTGGGATCAACGATGTGCGTTGTTCCGTTAATGGTAAATGTTCCTGTGGTATAAGAAGCAGGGCTAGCCCATCCGTGGTTGAACACTGAGCCCCAGTAGAAGCTTCCACTGCCCCCATTGAACAAAAGGGAGCCGCGAGGCTGAAACGTGGTGTTGAGGCTAAAGTTGCTACCGTTGAAGTTTGCAATGACGCTAATTTCGGAGATGTTGTCATCAGTCAAGCTGTGTAGTTCGTACTGTTCGCCAAATTGTATCTTGAGTCGGTCTTGTCCAACAGCGGTTGGTGTTCCGGATACGAATGATGAGCTGAAACTACCAGAGTCTAAGGAGTAAACCAAACAGCCATTGGCAGAGCCCCCATCTGTCGAGTTACCAGGACCACCGGGAATTACATCCGAGAACGAGATCAAAACGAAATGGAGGTTCTCGGTGGTTGTGATCCACTGTCCGACCCAATGCGAATTGACACCAGTAGTTGATTGTATGCGGATGGCTTGATGTGAAGACACATTATACGTGGGGCCCGATGTCTGAATAATGTTTGATCAGTTAGTCACTAAAACGCCCGCGTAATTCTTGGCAATTAAAGTCATTGCTTACCACGTAAGGGTTCTTTATTGACGGCTCTGTAGATGCTGGAGGGAGCCAGAGGTCGTTATCTGTCTTATGACCTTGGGCCCCAATGATCAAATGGCAAGAGCTTAAAGCCCAAAGGGAGCATAGCGTTTTAGGAAACATCATTGGCACTAAAATGGAATCTTTTACTAAATTAGTAGGCTTTTGATGCCGATATAAAAAGGAATCAGATACTATAGAACGGTGGCGGTCTCTTTATACCTACAAGTCAACAGTGCTACATTCTGAGAAAGGAATGACATGATCCTGGAAAACCTCCTAATCTGGCAATACATGGAACCATAACGATTACGAACGTTGAAAGTGGATCCCGAAGTTCGGGGATAACTGGGGTCTTGACGGGGTGGAATCCCAGGCCGTGTCCGTTGACTACAGCTGGGGAGTTGTGGATTCATACCCGGAGTTAAGACGTTCTCCGTTGGTCGGTTGTCTGCTAGTATGACTTGCTTCTCTTATTCGTATGATCTTCAAAATATGGGCCCGTAAAGTCTCTCAATTGATTCAATATCGCTTATCTCGTTTTCTCCCGATCGACGGCCCGTTAATGGGGTGTTTGCTTCGTATTGACGGGTTCCGCGTCCTCTTCCCAAAACCCCTTGTCGAAGATTACGTCTGCGTAACTTCTTCACACCGCCTCGCTTTGTCCGCAGACAGACACTCCTCGATATATGTCCGTATCCTCAAGGCGGCATCCGTAGGTGTTAAATCCGTTGTGTCGATATGGTATGCCTCATACGGACTGTTTTCAAATTGAAACATTTTGCACCTCGATAAAGCATCTCTCAGCAGGACGGCATCCGTAAGTTTTGTTGTGGTTCCCTGAATGCGCTCGGAACTGGTGGCCCTCTGGATGTTGACCTCTATATCGCAGGATAGATAAATGGCAATAAAAGGCCGGCCGGCTTTCTGAGCAGCCTGCAAATACTCTTGCGATGTAGCTTGGCCTAGCGCGTCGTCTGATTGACAGTCTGGCCATCATCATATTAGCCTTGTATACGCGCATGCGATCATTTTAACTCACCTGTGAAGACGATCATTTTTGACATCAGAGCTGGTTCAAGCACATATTTGTCAAATGCACGTTCGCGCTCGCGTCTTCGCTCTGTTTGGTACTGAGGATGATCTCGGGCGAACCGTGCTGCCACTGGATCTATCAGCTGATGGTTGTCGATAAGAACACTTGACTCATCCATGCGGACGAATTCTCTGGCGACAGTTAATTTTCCCGTTCCTGGGAATGCGTTGATCCAGACAACAGGTCTAGCCATGCTGGTGAATATGGGCTGAAGCTGTGTGATGTTGCTGATCACTGTTGCGGAAGTGGAGTGCTTTTGAGGAATAGGTGGAGAGAATTTGGAGGTGCCTAATCAACAGCGGACAGATTATATATGAAGCGGCCAAAATTGAATTGCAAAAATGGAGAAACAAACAAGAATTGAAACTTTATTTAAAACAGTGTGTCTAATAATTGATCAACTCCTTTATCGGCCTCTTGTGTCAGAGCTTACGTGGGCGGTAGGTATGACTCACTGATACCATAGTTTAACAAACTGAAGTAACAAAATTCGCCAAACTTATCAACACCAAGAGAATACACAGACTGAAACAAACGAGGGAAAGGATTTGTAAAATAGGGAATTGGCCAGTTTTAAATAAGTCTTTCTGAGAGTTAAAGAGTACAATGGAGCTGCGAGCGATGACTCGTCAGTCTTCCGCCGAAATTGCAACTTAACGGACATAGAGTTCAAACTCTGTATCTGCGTGTCTGTTTTATTATTATCGTGGCCCAAAAGCTCCAACAAACGTGGCTTCCCAGCCATACTCGGATACAAACTGGCATAAAGACACTGGATGTAATATCAGGTCTTGGAGTTTTAAAATGTAAACGACAGAGCCATGATTCCAAAAGAAATATCTTCTCAGGTGTTTTTGTATGACTGCAATTGTATGCCTACTATGCTCATGCTTATTCCCAACGCGATCCCAGGCACTCACTACCTCCGGCTCCAGAGGGTGATGCCAAGTGCTGGAGGGAGTGATTGTGGGAATTCCCGCAAGGTTGCGACAGTACTGAAAAATGAAAATACTGCTACTTCTTTCGTTGAACATTTCCATGATCTGTAACTTAGGCATCTTCAGAGCAGCGCCTGCTGCGGCTCGAAGGAGGTTGTTGATACTCTCGCTATCGGTGCCTTCGTCCAAGAGTGACGAGGTGAGTGCCAATGATTCCAGGTTTGGCCATGTAGGTTTATAGATGGAGTAAGGGATTCTTTGTTTCCCACTAATAAGCTTGAATTCCTTGGAGAGTCTTCGTTCGAAATCCGGTGACTTGCGGGGTTTGCCTATGGCACGACGCTGGGAAGATGATAGATGAGACATAAGAGCTCTTTGTACTCCGCTGCGTGATATGTCGACTGACTTTGGCGCATAGCCTGGCCAGAAATCTCGAAAGAAATCCTTTGCGTCAGCGAGAAAGGCGATTGACAGATGCTCCAATGAGTGGCTCTCGTCCGCTAATGTCCATCCTAAAGAGGGCAGCATTCCGTATGGCTTATATCTGTTTTTCCCATAATACTCGTGATCCCCATAGATGGAAAGACGTTTGAGAGAACCAATCTGTCGCAAGAAAACGTCAAATCCGCGTTGAGCATCTATGCATGGTGAGCATTTGCGAATATGTCTTGTTTGATATGAAGCTTACTTTTATCGAGACATGGATAGTCCTGGATTAAAGGCTCCAGCATCATGTTTTCCAGGCCATGTAAGCTCTCGAAAATCTTCCGTAGTGTATCAGGATGGAAGCTTCTCGGGTATCGTCGGCGATGAAGTAATCCCTTGACAACCGAAACACCTGGAAGCCTTCTATTTGCCTTTGGAATGTCGAGTCTCCTATAATCGAGTTTAATTAGACTCCCAAAGAGGCGGCATGCTCCTCGAGTTTTGCCGAGGTACGGCATATGAGAAAACTCGTGAGTGATATTATCTTCAGAAAGAGAATTTTCTGGAGAATCCTCTAGGGGTCCAAATTTTACAGTATCGTCTACGATACTGTTTTCATCGTATTTGTGAGGATAATCGTCCTTGCCAAGAGGATAACGGAAATGATGCTCCGAATCGCTGGGCGAATAAGCGCTGAGCTCCAAGACCAGTCCTCCATTAGAAACGCCATGCTGACCACTTTTCTTCCAGGAACTGAGAATATCGAGTAATCGATATAAAGCTGCAGTGAAAATCTGATTATTCTCTATAATCTCGAGCGGCTTCTCGGGCCATTCGCAGGCGGGACAGAGGTATCGAGCGAGTTTCACTCGTAGCCAAACGTGCTTAACCATCCCCCTCCGATGTTGGCGGACGATTCGACTGAACTCTTGGATGCATGACTGTCCTAGAATTAGGCGCCGAAAATTGAATGTCTCGAAATATAGCTGCCATTCTTTCGAAACAGCCGCATAATTGCTCGTGGTGCCGCCATTGTTGTGAGATTGGAGCAGCTTTAGGACCATCATTTGGACCTCTATCGGTAGGCTGTTCCATGTTGTCATGATAAAAATTTCACCACTCAAAAGAAGTAACTTTACAAATGTTGAAATTTCTGACAGAGGCAGATCGGGTGCCTATTACATGTACTCTGTAGATAGACACGCCTACAGCTTTGGTTGGTAATATGCTCGTTGGAGATTAGCTAGGGATGATTGGACATCTTTATTAGGTTGCCTATAAAGAACGTACCATGCGTCACAGTTGTGATGACGTCGGGGATGATGGCGAAGCTGAAGCTTTGAATTGAGCAGAGGCTTTTTCTATGGGCCAAATGCGGGACACCTACCAACAGAAGTTGGTTGTAAAGCAGCGGAAACATAACGTGGTTTCTGCAGAAAACTAAATGCATGTGATCAACTAGCCTTTTGCCTTGGTAACGGACATAAAGTCCCCTCAACACCAAAAGAGCGCCCGTGCATGTCGTATTTCTACTGATATCTTCCAATTTGTTTTGACTATAAAACGTAGCTGCAAAAGGCTGGCAGTGTGCAAAGATTTACATGTAATATTCTGCAATGGCTCTCAATATAGATAAGGCATTACATCAATTTTACATGTTTTTATAAAAATCTTTGTGGTACAGCATTTATATGATACCTAATGAAGAAAAAGACTATTAATTTCGGGGAGGGTTGTTGGGGGGGGGGATTTCAAGAGCATTAAGCTGAAGAACACGGACAATAAAGTTGTATAGGTTCTTTTTGATGAAAAATATTGGAAACGGTTTGGTACGACTAGAATATGGTTGTTTAGTATAAGGCATGTACCATTCATATGAACTCCATGTCATCTGGTAATTGCACGTCATATATTATTATTTCGTACCATTACGCGACTAGCATGTTTGTAATGAGCCATGTATCCTGTGTTCTCTGATCACATTTTCCCTTTAGCATAGAGCTATTAGAGACTAGGCCACCCCTTGGGTCTCAAAGCGGCGGTGCACCTTCAGTTGGCGGTGTAACAGGTTCCTCACAATCCGGTGGTGTTCCCTGGCAACAAGGAGACTTAACGCCTGGCCCTCCGCACCGTACCAAAGATGGGTGAAAGATTACGGTATAAAGAAACTCAAGTATAAACTTCAGAGGATAGTAGTTATACACCGCAAATGCTATCATGGCAATTGAAGTGGCTGCTAAAAGTGGTTGTCTTATGCTGAACACCATATTGATGATTGTCAAGATATCTTGAAGAATATTTCTTGGGTGTAGTTTCTGGATTTGGAGCAGATTTGAGAGATTTGAGTTTAGAGTTAGTTACAGGCAAGTGAGCAAAGATATATATTGCTGTAAATATAATACGCCATGTACCAGTCTACTAATTCTACACAGGAATGCATGAATTCTGGAAATATTGGGCGCAATAGTTGTGTGCTGGTAATAGAACTTTTGTTTTGGAGTTAGGCTGCCAAGCTTTACCAATAATCCCTTGCTAACTACGCAAATTGAGTGCACGATTACATGCACCTATGTACATGTACCATTTTACAGCTACAATAATTGGAGATACATTAGTATGCCTTGTTAAAGTTCCATATATGGCGTTATGCTCTCTCCTAGTCTCGGAGAATATCTAGATTCAATATATTCGATAGTTCAGTGCAGGTCCTTGCTGTGGGCGTCGTCCAGCTGATGCCACATTATCTCTAGCCTTGAGAATGCAACACGTCGTTCTTTTCGTAGGGGAATCTGAGATCTGGTTTGACATCTGATGCATGTCAAAAACGGTTGTGCGTTCCCCACGCGGCTTGATCTAGGGCATAACACCAGAGTGTGGTGGCTTGAGTCAGAGCGAATGGCTCAAACTTCGGAGAAATGTCAAGCAAAAGGTGGCATATAACAGCCTCCAATAAGAGCTGAACGAACTCTCTTTCAGCTGGGCTTCTAGATGGAGGCAAGCTGAAAGTTGTACCGTCTGTAGAAATGAATAGACGAATAAATATGTGATAAAACGGGTAATTGGTAATAACTTCGAATATGGAAATTATTATAGAGTTATCCCTCCTGTGTAGCACTACTCACCTAAACACAACATCGGCGGTGATCTCCCAGTAGTCCCGCGAATTGAATTGGGATGTGATGTATGAGTGTGTACTATAACTGGTAACCCTAATGTAATCGCTAGTGCTCATTAGGCAAAGACACATCTTCAACGGAGATCTAGATATAAAGGCTATATAGTGGGACGAGTAACACTCTGGGTGGTACTCGTCTTGATTTTTCGGGCAACCCGGAAGAAAGTCAACGTACTTCATTTGTTTGTGTGTGGGAATATTCAGCTGGACGGAGGAATTTACTGACTATCAATTGTATTTTACTGAGCTAGCTGTGCAGCTGTTTGTCTTTGTATGGAGCGTCTAGAATGAATACATACTGCATGGGTATCGGACAATTCTTCGGTGGCTGTGGAAGCCACACAATCGGGCTATCCGTAGCCTTGATAGATTGGGCGACCGAGAAATATTAGACTTTTTCCAAGACCGCTTGAGAAGAGTTGTAATACATGCGAATCAGGCCATGCAGCATAGACTATTCCAGATATGAAGAGTTTTACTCTTCCCAAAACGAAGCTCTAAAATTTGTGGCACGGGGAAGTGAATATACCAGGCAAATAAGTGCATGTAGTGCATAAGCCCATGTATTACAGACATAGCTAATGCGTGGCTATTGAGTTGCATCACCCCACAGACACAGCCACTCACCGGATTCTATCTGTCTTGTACACAATTGTCCGAAATCTTCGATATCAGATCATACAGTCCTGTACTTCATTTGCAGAGCTCACACCAGTAAAAACCAGCCGTTGGTGGCCAACGCCCTTTATTAGGTGGCTTAAGCCGGAGCGAGTGAAGGTTTACTGAAGACTGGGGTACATGCCGGCGTACATTGTAATATTGGCTCTTTATTGCCGTTCAAGCTCTTGTGATTAACTCATGACGATATAGTGAGATCAAAAAGATGGCGGGAATGTTGGACAGCCCTAAGCCCAAGCATTCCAGGCAGTATATCGGCTTGGATAGCTCTGGCGTAGTATGTGGATTAAATAGTTGCACCTAGCTCAACACCATGATGACTAAAGCCGGGTATGTTGCAAGTATAAAACAAGATGAATGAAAAGGGAGAGAATCAGTTACCATTGTTTCCAACGAAGTTATTCAATTTACACGAATGGAACATATCGTTTCATTTATGTGTGCTTCATTTGCCAAACTCAAGTATTCTATTCCATCATGACTCAACTAATCAAATCCGTCCTGGTTCTCTTAGCCGCCTCCGTATCTCTTATACAGGCCCAAGCACCAGGAAAACCGTCGCCGTCGCCTTCGCCTAAACCCCCGCCACCTCCATGTCTTATCAAGGATATTCGCCAGATGGACGTGTCGGGATGTACCTGCGAACCTCACTCTTCGAAGTGCGATAAGACAGGATGCATGACTTGCAAAGCCAATATTGAAAATCGACACACTAAGCATTGCGCTGTCGGATGTACCGATGATGACAAGGAATGTCAGGGATGTGGCTTGTGGTTTTCCACCCTTTGCAACTGCCTCAAGTATCAAGATTGCAAGCACACAGGAACAATTACGCCGCATGGTGATTCGATATTCGTTTTAACGAACAATGGCGAGCAACTCATAACTACTACGGATCTACTTCCGGGGATATTGGAGGCCAGGAATGCTACTCGATACGAACCAGGCTGGAGGTTTGCTCAGGAACATTACAATCGTGCGAACCAGGCGCTGGCATTGAACTCTGTTCGGTCGAGAACGCACGAGCAATTTCACATCCATGTTTGCAACAGACCAAACTCTACGGACCCAAGAATCTTGGATATTCTCGACAACATCCCCAAGTCGCAACACATTTATGGTAAAGACCTCAAGAAAGTTGGAAACCACGATGATCTCTATTGTAGGACGATTGAGAAAGGCCAAACCCCCATCGTCTATGACTTTGTAACTGCCATAGATGCAATTTTGGATGATAAGACTTTGAACGAGGTGGGCAAGATCTGCCACGGGTTTGCTGGTGCAGGCATCATACAAGACAGTCATGGAAACGTATGGGCTTGTGTAACTGGCAACCGTGAGGGCCCGTTGTTCAGGTTCTGTGAGGGTCAGAAGTAGTTTGCAGCAAGGGTGGATTTATTTGCAATAGCAGGAAGAGCTAGTTTAAGGGAGAGTATCAGCAGCACAACTGTCAGTGCCGCAGCAAGAGTTGGTGGAAAGGTTTTGTCTTGGGTTAAATGTGGTGGTGAACAACATGATTCAGTCGTTGATATTGCCATTATATATGTATACTACTCATTCTTGGATTCGACTATCATATTCAATTCTCTATCATTTCATAACTTGGAGCGCTATACGAGCATGCTCAAACTCCGCGAACGACCATATGCTAATTCCCACGATCATAGCATGACTCCTCCACTGTTTCATTGGTTCCAACTTCGATATCAAGGAATTATACTCCGTATGCAATTATCATTACTGTCTTGAAAACGTAAGAGAGAAGACAAAAGCTCCATTCAGCCAGCTATAGGCGCGTGCATGTTTCCAGACCGCTGTCCATGAGACCTCGAGGCCACAAACTATTACAACCCCACACGTCAGCCTGAAGCAATCTAATGAGTCAAGAAACAACCCCAGAATCCACAGACTCTGACATCTCTCCACTTCTCGCTGCTTTACTCGACGCCTCAGTTGGAGTATTGGATCTTTTTCAACTGACGGCGCCTTGCCCCACTTCGGCTAGTCTCCCGGAATTCCTCTCCGGCGCCACGAGTTTTCTTATCTCCCCGTCTTGGTGTGTTGGAGTAGCCGCTAGCAACGGTATTATTGTTGTTGATTATGCTTTCGGTCGAAATCAACATCCGCGTCGACGGTATTTGAGGCTGTTGTTGATCCGTCTGTGCGCCTCTTTATTTCCCGGTTACTGCCGCTTGGATTAGGAAGTCATCTAGAAGCAAAGCCTAGCCTTAGCTGAGCCATTTGCTCATCCGTTGCCTCCATCCACTATCGGAGAGATACGCGTAGCTGAGCCCGTGTATCGTAACAATCACAGAACGACAAGAGACAATGGCTACAAACTCGGGTAGCAAGAGCCATCGCTTGCCGGATGATGAGCTGGCGCTCATACGCAAGTACATCCATGGATGCCACATCCTGCACTACTACAACATTGTGGACGCGTATGGCCACTTGTCGGTGCGCCTGAGCGAGTCGGTGTTTATGATGTCGCGATACATGGCACCGGCGCTTGTATCTTCAACAGATGACATGGTGTTGTATGATGTTGAGACTGGCGAAGCGCTTCAGAAAGATGCGCCAAAAGGTCGGTGCTCTCCATTAAGGCATGGGACAATGCTTTTCACTGACTGAGAGATTATCACAGGTTTCTCAGAGCGTTTCATCCACTCTGAAATCTACAAGGCATATCCCAAGGTCCAGTCAGTTGTGCACTCACACTCACTCGAGGTTGTCCCATTCTCCATTTCATCCACGCCCCTGCGGGCTTGCTTCCACATGGCAGGCTTCCTGGGCACCGCCGTTCCTGTATGGGACGCTGCAACAGTATATCGTGACGATCCTCTAGCGAGTAACGATATGCTTGTCCGCAGTACAGGGATGGGCGCATCGCTGGCCAAGGCGTTGGGCCCTGCTGATGCCGAGGGATTGCCCAAGTATCCAGTTGCGCTGATGCGCGGCCATGGCTTTGTGGCGACGGCCAACAACATCGAGATGGCGATTAGCAAGAGCATCTACACGATGCAGAACGCACAGATCCAGAGGGCGGCGGCGGGTCTTTCGGGAAGCATGGAGGGGGTGCGTTTCTTCAGCGAGCGCGAGGCTCACGATGCGGGCTTGACGGCGATAGCAGGAGCAGCGAAGCCGTGGCCGCTGTGGGTGGCGGAGGTGAAGGGCCACGCGCTGTATAAGAACTGTGTGTGATTGTTGGATGAATGAATGCTAGGAAGTTGTAGTTGCAGTTGTATTTGCAGTTGTAGTTGTATTCTGTACTGCAAATTGAAACATCAATGCTTGTTGTTGGTCAGCCCCCTGCATGGCATCCAATGTCGATATCAATGCGTGCCCTTGTCTCGTCCCTGTTTCATCCTCGTCGGTAGATGCGGCTCGATGGCTTTGGCTTGGCGTCATCCCCTCGCTCGCTAAGCCCGATCTCTGCTGCCTGTAGCCCCCCAAGCACCCCTAACCGAACAGAAGGCTGAACGCTAATTGCCACTGAAGATGCAGCTATTTCTCCCGCTAGCGCAGCGCCAAATCCCCGCACGGCTCTAGGGCGGCGTGGGGATTTCCATCGCTCACCTCGCATTTATAACCCTCGACGCTGTACTCCGATCCAGAGCCCCGGATCACTTGTCCGCTCATCTCTGTTTCTCAGCCCTGGGGACGGTGGAGAGCTTTGCCTGCTGACCTAAATCTAAATGGCTGCTTCGCCCACTGCTCCCTTTCCCACGCCTTCCGTCGACGCGGGGAGAGGCCATCATGTGCAAGTATACGCGCAGCCCCAGCCACAGTCTCTTCCTCAACCTCAACCGCCCCAACCGCAGTCTCAGCCACAGCCACAGCAGGCTTCCCGCCACACAGACATCAACATCAACTCATCCTCGTCCTCTTCTCATGATCAGAAGCCGCAGCAACAACAACAGCAGCAGCAGCAGCCTCCCACTAAGCGGCGTCGAATTGGCTATGCTTGCAATCTCTGCCGCACCAAAAAGAACCGCTGCGATGGCGAGCGACCCTCTTGCGGGCCGTGCAAGGAGCGGCGTCAGGAGTGCGTCTACAGCCCTCAACGAACCAAGATTTCGGTGACACAAGAGTATGTCTGTCTATGTGTTGTCAACTGATTTTCTTAGTACCTTATGTTTCATCATCATCTGTTTCAATAAATAATATCAGTGGAATGAAACAACTAACAGTCGTCTCTCAGGTACATTGAGAATCTGAGAGCACGGAATCGTATGCTTGAGGAGCACATAGCCAGCCAGCAATCTCAAGGCTCTCATTCACCGTAAGTCTAACAACACTCCTCTCACCCTACCTCACATTCTCAAATTAAACACCCCAATCCTCACAGCCATGAGAGCATATACTCCAAAGAGTCACCTTTCGCCCCTCCCCGACTATCTTCAGACCGGAATCCAAGCGACGGCCCGCGGCAGCAGCACTACCCAAATCCTTCTTCGCCTACATCTACAGCAGAGGGCCGGTCAGAGCATCAACGTCAACGCCATGACAGGACCATGTCCCTTAACGATCATCCGTCGGCAGCTGTGAATCGACAGCACCCGGCTGACACCAACCCTCACAGTGATCGACCAAGGAGTAGCCATTCCACTCTGCCAGGAGAGTACTTTGGGGAGTCCTCAGCTTTTGATTTCATCACAAAAGTAACATCACCAAATACTACCGATGCCACAGCTGGCAGCTCCGTAGCAACTACGGGAACCCCTGCAACTGGTGCAAGCAGTGGTGGCGCCGCAAATCCCAGAGCCTCAACGACGGGACGACTGGGAAGCGCCATCACCGCGAGGAGAAGCATAGCCGAGGCATCTGGTTTGAATAACGGTTTGAATTCCGAATCACTGGCAGAGTCTTCGCCATCAACAGTCGTATTTGAAGAGCTTCTAGGCATTGGTGGAGGAATAGGAGACGGCAGTGGAAGTAGTGACTTGTTTGAACTGCCTCAGCGATCATTAGCCGATCGCCTGGTAGCGTCGTACTTCAAACATCGACACCCACTGAACCCATGTCTACACGAAGGTACATTCCGTCAACGTTATGCGCGACTCTGGCTTAGCAGGGATGTGGGCGGCGAGGAGGCAGCTCCCAATAACCTGGCTTGGTTGGGTTTGGTCAACATGGTATTTGCATTCGGCAGCGAGCATGTGCAGATCCGTGCGCCCTACCATGGGAGTCCAGCCGGCTCAGCATCAACAAAACCAGATCGCGCTCGCTTCTTTAAGCGAGCCAAGATGCTAGCATTCTCGAGCATTCTGCAAGCCAGGATTGAGCTTGTCCAGGCGTTGCTCCTAATGAGTCACTATCTGCATGGCTCACTGGAACTCAATCATTGCTGGACTGTTATTGGGCTTGCCATCCGCACAGCACAAGAGCTAGGGCTTTATCTCGATTCCACCAACTTCACAAATGATATTGTAGAACAGGAGATTCGCAAGCGAGTGTGGTGGGGTTGCTTCGTTATCGACCGCCTCGTCAGCATCAAGGTCGGTCGGCCACCCACGATTCACGACATTCCCGCCATTCGCGTCGGTTTGCCTCTTGCTGTTGATGACGAATATCTCAATGAGGCATCTAATTACACCCAACCTAACCATGTCCCATCCAAAATTGAATACTTCAACCATATCGTGACCCAATGCCGCCTGCTTGCAAAGGTACTCGACACCTTATACGACAACACCCCAAGCAGCAGCGGCAGTGCTGGCGGTAGCAGTACCTCATCTTCAGCAGGGCGTGACACAAGGGTTCGCATCAAGATTGACTTGCCGGATCTTCTAGCCATGTCAATCCAGCTGGATGGCGAGCTGGTCGTGTGGCAGAGTATGCTGCCTCCACATCTGCGTACAGACTCGGATGTGCCAGAGTGGCACTTTGAGCGACAGCGCAGCGTTTTACTCATGCGGTATGTCAGCATTATACTGCTATGTTGATTACTACCCAGATACAACATGCAGCTAACTAAACCTGTCATTGTTGATAGATTTCTTCATATCCGGCTCCTTATTCACCGCCAAACACTGCTCTATCATATTTTACGCCGCATTTCTGATCCTTTTCAGCTTGATCTAGCACATTTGTGCATTCGACGTTGTGTCATGGCAGCCTACGATGCCATCACCCAGGTGCATCTCTTACAACAACATAACCTATTGTCTTCCTCATGGCATAACTCACACTGTATGTCTCTTCTCATTGACATCACTCTCATTACCATAATGCTTACAATTGTTCCTTTGGCGATAAGACGTCTTCACAGCCTTGAGTGTCCTACTAGTCTATCAGCACCTGGACCCTCACTCGCGCTCAAAGATCGACATCCCCCCTTCATCAGATATCGACAACGTCATCGGCCAAGGTCTGGAGCACCTCCAACGCGTTGGTGGCGAGATTCATCCCTTGGCCTCGCGCTACGTCCGCTCATTCCAGCAACTGCAAACACGACTGCAAGCGATAGGGACACTCTCTGCCAATGCGCCGCCACTGGCCGTGCGTGGTAAGCAAGCGGTGTCGGTGAAAGAAGATGGTGCATCAAGTTATGGACAGGCCCGCACAGCAAGCTCTGCAACCGATTCTGACCAGAGCAGCAGCAATGTCGGTTCTGCCACCGCTGGAAGCACGGGCAAAGGATCCATGGCCATACCAGACCAGGGCCAGGAGCATGGTGGAGTAAACTACTATGGCGGGGATGGGTATCAAGAGCAAGACAACAACGAACGAGCCGTTGAATACGGAGACGATGGCTTCATGTGGGCCGGCTTTGATGACGAGTTTGCAGTCATACAGAGCGCCTTGTTGGACAGTAGCGGGTGGGGGCCTGGGTTTTTGGATCCCTGGGCACAGGGATGAATGCATGTTTATTTTGTCTTGTTTCATCATTGTCGGAAATTATGTGTAACACCATTAGCATTGACGGTTATTATGATACTCCATTAGTTCTCTCATCTCCTGAATTTTTAATTTGCCTTTCCTCCGTCATACCGTTAATGACAAGCTGTCAACCTTGAATGTTGTGGTTAGGGCTTTTATTTTTGAATTCATGTTTTATATTTCGCTCTATGTACCATGACAGTATTGTATAAGTTTGTAGTAGAAATACACCCAAGTGATATCATATACAAGATACAAAGGAAATTATAGCCAGAAACGAAAACATATGCCAAGCTCAATTACACGCAATCCTTCTCTCCCATCAAAGTCCAAGACGAGTCCGAGTCGCGATAAAGTCGGCTTCCAGGTCATGGCCCCAAACCCAAGTCATTCGGTCCTTGAACTTGTCGTGGATGACCTGCAGGCGCTGATCAAAGTGTAGGCCGTCAAAGTCTGGGCCTTGCATCTCGTAGACATCACCAGCTTGACGAGATGTCAGCTGGGCCTTTTGGGCGCGCGGCAGTCTCGTCTCCTGGTAAAGCTTCATGTATGTTTCTAGGCCGAGGGAAGGGTTCTCGAAGAAGGCCTTGACGGCTTGGCCCATGACGAATGAGTCTTCGATCGCGTGGCCAGCACCGGACCCTATGACATGAGAAGGTTAGTTTTGTTCCTGTTCATCGAGATTGAAGATTGCGTTCTTACCTTGGTGAGGAAGCATGGCGTGGGCGGCATCACCACTCAAGGCAACCTTTCCACCCAGATAGACCCATTGGTCGAGCAGCTCGCGGTCGTTGAGCTTCCACTTGCCCGGGTTCGGCTCCATGGAGCGAACTACCTTCTGAACCGTCTCCTCCCAACCCGCAAACTCAGTCTCAACCTCAGATCGTGGGGCCGTGCTTGACCAACTCTCCTTCAAATCACCGAGCTCGGCCTCAGATTTGGTCACAAAGGCGACGACATTGAGCGTCTTGTTCTGAGAGATGGGGAAGACAAGGAAGTGCCTGTCCGGCCCTAGCCATGAGATTGCGAAAGAGTCGTAAGGCCAGTCTTTCTCGACGGCAGACATGGGCAGCAGGCCTCGGTAGCAGACTCGGCCTGAGTAACGCGGCACCATGTCCGTGGCCTTGGAAAGTTGGCGGCGCACGTTGGAGTGGATGCCGTCACAGGCAATGATGAGATCAGCGGTGGCGCTGGAACCGTCGGCGAAGTGAATGGTTGCCTTTCCTCCCTTTGCATCATCGACAATCTCGACGGCCCTCTTATTCGTCTCCAACTTGGCACATGTCGTGTACCGGATATGCTCGTACAGAACCTGCAGAAACTCGGCGCGGTGAACGCTCAGCTGGCGAACGCCGCCATTGGCTTCGTCCTCGTCCATGGCACTGACAGAAACAATCTCGTCGCCATTGTCCCAGCGTCTCAAACTGCGGTGGATGCCGTTGCGGTCGCCCGAGATGGCATTTGCGGCATCGAAGACGCCGTAGCGCTTGAGGATGCGGCCTGCGTTGACTCCAATACCGATGCCCGCTCCGATTTCCTTATAAGCTGGCGCCTGTTCGTAGACCGTGATGTTCTTAAGGGTTGGAACCTGGGTAGCCAGAGACAGGGCCATGGCAAGACCACCAATGCCACCGCCGAGGATGGCGACGGTGAAGGTGTCTGGCGAGACCAACGGTTTGCTTACTATCGCCATGTTTGCTGCTGACTTGATCTTGACTCTTACCCAAGATGGAGATAGGGAAGGTTGTATACTAATGTATGCCAAGAAGATGCAAGTAGAAAAGCGCGAGATCTGCCTAGTCTATATAGTTGCCTCAGGAGAGCTCAAAACAAAGACGCAGAGAAAAGCAGGAAGATGGACAAAGAGGGAAGATGGAATGGGGGGAAGAGTTCCGAGAGAGTCAGATCCATAGCAGCTCCATCTTTCCGGGTCACGGTAATCGTCAGACGACTCGACCCAGCTTCGGAAATGGCGGCAAAGAATAATCGATAGTTATTTGATTCTTAGTTTTTTGCGGTTCTATGTTTTGCGCGGCTCGTTTTGTTTCTCCAGATAACTAACCGGGGGATCTGTTCAGCCCGTGGGGGATGTTTCGAGGCGGAGGCGGATTCCGGGGTCTGGAGGCGTGGGGTAGCTGAATACTTCGATCTTCCCATATAAAAGAACGAAATAGCTGGGAGAATTATATCCGGAGATGGTTTCCGGTGAGGGGGAGGAGAAACCGGGGCTCCATTGGCTCGGAAAATATGGCCGCACACGTGGGTGGGTTCGATGCTCCGGGGAGATAAATCGACTCCAGTTTCGACGCTATAGTGACAGTGGCCCTTGTTGCTGCTAGATTGCCAAGATGGCTCATGATTGGGGTAGTCACTTGAGCGTTTCTGACCACCAAGATTGAATTGGAGCTATCGTGGGTTAAACGCTAACAACTTTACATCACACACAGTTCTCATGGGGTGGAGAAGATGGCATGATACGTGGTATGATCTGTGATGCGATTCACTGTTTCATGGTATGACTTATGGCACGATTCAAGAGTTGAATGTAAGATATAACAGAGCATGCATCATTATATTAAACCTGCCAACCAGGCGTATACGTGACAGTGCAAAAAAGAAGCTATCTACATGTACATGCTCAACCACTTTACAAGTCCATCTTCTACAAGTCCCTGTGCATCTCAGGCACACCCTGAGCCTTGCGGATCTCTTCACCTCGCCAGATCAACAGCAACAATGGCAACCAAGCGACAAAGTTGATGACGGCAAACACGCCCCACGCAACGTCGAAACCAGCGCTCTCGCCGAAAGGCAGCGCGTAGAAACCAATGGTAAAGGCAAAAATCTGACGGAACAGATTGATGATGGTCGACACCTCGGCAGCTTGCGGCTTGTAACAATCCGAAATGTACGAGTACGTCAGAGTTGTTCCAGCCTGCACTCCGATAGACGCAACAGCCATGCCAATGGCCAAGGCAATCCAGGGCGCCTTTTCAGATACAGACACGCCGTGGATGATGAGACCGGCCGGCAAGAACAAGCCCAGAGGGGCAAGATGCAGACGAGCCTCCGGCTTTCTGTAACCATCGTGACGACGAGCATATCGGTTGATCAGCCAGTCAGAAATCCAACCCGTGCAAGCCTCACCAATGAGACAGCCAAGCGTCAACGGCACACCGAGAAGAAGACCGTTTTGCGCAGTATCGAAGTGATACAGCTTCTCCGAGATACTCGACGCCGTCAGGACGAAGACGATGGAGCCGTACGTGTTGGTCGTCATGTAGTAGATGCAAGGCAGCACCACGGCGGCGTACCTGAGCATCTTGAAGTTGTGCAGGAAGTCGGACGGTTTGAGCTTGCGGTTGATGACCTTGCCGCGGAAGGCCAGGCGGCCCCAGTAGCTGCGGTTCTCGAGGGTGCTGAATTCGGTTCGGGAGAAAAGCGTCTCGGGGAAGGACACGAGGAACACAGCCAAGACGCCGCCCATGAGGATGGCGTTGACCTTGAAGATCCAGCGCCAGCCCTGGTCTTGGGCGATGAAGCCACCGGCGATGGGACCAAAGTGCGGCTATTGGAGAGTGTCAGCGACCTGTACTGGAGGCAAGAAATAATTGGAGGTGGAAGAAACTCACGCCGTTGGTCAAGGCCAGGGCGTAGAAGCCAATGTACCTTCCACGCTCTCCCTGGAAGAACATGTCGCAGATCTAATGCATTGCACATATTAGTTTCTTGTCTTTTGCTGACACATACTCATGGATAAACAATGAGGAAGTCTCACCGTGGCGCCACCAATGGCCAGAGCAACACTAGCACCGATACCGACAACGCATCGGCAGAGAATCTGTGTACCGTACGAGGGCGCGTATGCCGAACCAATGTTGCCACCGATAGCAATCAATGTGAAGAGCTATTCCAGAAGCTCACGTTAGCAAGCAAGGCCGCCGGCATGGAAAAGACACTTTCGCGTACCAAGTAGGCCGGGCGTCTACCCCAGAGGTTGACATAGGGAGTGATGAGCAAGGGCGTGACACCACCGAGAAGCGTGTACGATGTCGTGAGATAACTGGCTTGCTGTTTCGTGACTCCATAGCTCACAGAAATGGGGCCGAATGCAGCTGGGACCATGCCAGCGCCGACTACACTATGTTATTATACGGTTAATGTTGAATTGGGTTGAGGATGCTTACATTGCACGACAAAGGCAAGCAGACAGAGAAGACCAAGGACATAGCACTTGTACCAGTACGACCAATTCTATAAAGACCAACAAAATATTAGCAACTCTCACTCACTCAATCATCAATACTTATAACAAATGGTGGCAACAACATACCAAGGGATCATCCTTATGGTCGCTAGGCTGCGGGACCAAAGGCAGACCACTAGCATCAAGCTTAAGGTCCGAGATGGGCTCCTTGCCCTCAGTCTCAAACCCGGACGGGCTCTCCTCCACGTGGGCCGCAGAAGGGGCCGTGCGGTTGGCTTTCAAGGCCATTGCTGGGTGCAAAGCTGGAATGCGGATCGAAGAGATTGTCTGGGCAGCAAAGGTTGAATGGTTGAGGTGAGGGAAAAAGAGAAGGTGACGATGGAGGCAACGTCGGGTATAAAAAGGAAACACAGGGGGGTGGGCGATAACAAGGTAGGATTATAAGGAATTATTGAGGCAACGACAAAAACGGTGAAGGCCGCTTTTACGCCCATCGCGCGTTAATGTGCGGAAGAGCTACGGCGGTAGGGGGGAGGAGTTTATTATAAGCCCGGTTGTTAATGCCCCGCGTCCGCGCGGGGATTTGGGGATTCCGGGGTAATAAGCACAGGATATAACTTTTTTTAATTTTATTCCTTTTTTTTTCTCTTCTGGCATCTATGGCTAAGATCTAGGATAGAAGCTAGGAAGAAGACGGACTAAATTAAAAAAAATTCTCATGGGATGTCGCATCCGGGGTGTTTGGGTATGGGGGGGAGTGACCACGTGTTAATCCAATAGTCTGGTAAGTCGAACGCTTTTTTAAGTTGTGACAGATTACTCTGGATCTATTGATGAGTTGATGGGGTAGAGCTGGTGGGATGAATTGAATCTGTGATAGTTCTGAACTAACTCCGGAGACTCTCTCCGAGCGAACTGTGGAGGTACATGCTAGATGTACTTGGCGTCTCCATCTGAGAGACCCGCAGCAAATTGTTTCCATGGCTAAATCCAGATTGCGGGGAGCGGCGGCTAGCCACATGCGGGAGGATACAAAGTACTTGTACGGAGCAGAGATCCGGAGAGTTGGGATGGAATCCGGGGAAGAAATTCAATGCTGGGGATGGAAACATGCTGGAAAGCCTTGACAGGTGTCAAGAATAGGTTAAATAACCATAAATGTGTTGGGATTTATTCAATATTCGTGTTTGTTACATAATACATCCCAGTCTATGTCCCATAAGGTCTAGCCATTATGTCTATTACAAGTTATAGTCTACTATGTAGGTACATATGCCATTCCATCTATCCAATCCGAAAGTTGATGCGTCGCACCGGAGCAAACAGCTCCTCGATAGGCACCGTCCGCTCAATCATGTTCTGCTCGTAGAGGAACTGTACCAGCGCCTCCAGCGTCTTCCTGTTCTCCTCCAGACCATACGGCCAGCAGTCTCCCCCAAACGTCTCCTTGATCTCGACCAGATCTCGGCCTAGCCACGGCAACATGTATCTCAACGCACCAAGTGATTCCATCCTCTTGCGCGCAATCTCTTTGCTGTCCTCCAGAGCATTGAACAATGCTGATGCGACGAATTTGTTTGCCTCGTAGTATTCGCGGCGGAAGGCAACTAGGTGCATGATGGGGAAGATGCCGGTGCGCTTGTAGTAGTCGCTCTCGACGTCCTTGAAGTTGGGGAACAGCCGCTGAACATGAGGCGCGCGACCTAAGCACTCGGGAATGTCTGCGCCAATGGTGGCAGCGACCTCGCCACATTCCAACAGGTCTGAAAGCGACTTAGTCGGGTCGGTGTTATTGGTGATGTTGACGGGCTTCAGCAACGGTAGTACCGACGGCTGGCCGTGGGACCCGGGTGTTTCCATCTTGCCCTGTACCCATTCGATCGTTGACAAGTCGACGCCGTACTCGTGCTTCAAGATGCCTCTGATGTAGACCGCAGCCGTCATGTGGTACAGCTGCACGCCAATGCGCTTGCCATTGAGGTCCTCTGGCTTCTTAATGATGTTTGTGTTGACGCAAATGAAGGAGTGGCGGAAGACGCGCGACGCAAAGACGGGAATGGCGACGAAGCTGCGGTCGCCGGCGACATAACGTGTGATGTACTCTGAGGCTGACAGCTCTGAGACGTCGAATTCCTTGTTGGCGACCATGCGGTCGAAGATGTCACGCGGATGCTGGACTTCGACGAAGTTGACGTTGAGACCAGGAGTGGGCACTTCGCCGCTGGCGAGGGGGACCATGCGGTCATAAAGGGCGCAGGCGAAGTTGACGTTGAGGGGAGCCATGGCTGTTGTTTTGTTTAATGAGATCGCTGTAAGCGCTCTCGATGATGGTGTTGTTCGTTATCGAATGCCAAGAGCTTTCTTCTGCTCTAGCTTCATGGATTGATGTATAAGCAGACATGAGTAAGTGAGCTATCCATGGCGCGGAATACAGAACTATATGAGAGCTGCTGAGCTATGAGCTACACCACATCGTCTCCGGCATGGGATTCCGGTTGTGGTGTATCGTAGATTCGCTGGATATAAGCCCGAGAGAAGCCCGGATAATGAGTCCGGAGCTAACTGTTTGATGGTGGGGTTTTGACGAGGCGCCACGAGGGGAGCTGTTAAAGCAGCAACGCATTATTCAGGAACATTGAGCGGCATAGTCTGACTGCAGAGTTGCATGAAAATATAGGGTAGCTAATGTTTGTCAGTATTTGTAACTGGACCTCTTTTTCTTCAGTCCTGGGTGTAATTGATTGACGAGAAGAATATTCCAGAACTTAATCTACAGGTCGTCTAACGCTGTGTTGGATGTGGATGTCATTGGATGTCTTTTCACGGCGGCTAAATACCAGTCAGATGTGCTATGTCGAAAAAATGATATCATGTAAATAAAGAGATATTTGGTGGCTCAAAAATTATTTGAATCGCTGGATAAACTATCACCATAATGAGATATTCTGAGAAATGGCGTGTAACTTCACTATCAGCTCTCAACTCTAGTATTCTCACAAGTAAAAATTTGAATAGCCGCTTAGTCCACTAAATGCATGGATCGAATACCAAACCGTCATTCAACCCTCTATGTAAAGAGAGCATCAGACAAAAATGTTCCGATCGATTCGCCATCCGTCGAATCACCATCAACTAACTTAGACTTATATATTAAACCATGCGCAAGCGATCAACCCGCCTCCCGTCTGACGCTGCTCCGATGTCATCGTGTGTCACTCCCCAAACGGCAAGTCGCAGAAACACAACATGGCACTCTGTCCCCTCATCCATTCTATTTAATTGCATGACATTCCCCTTCAGATAAGGAAATGGTCGCATGCAGAAGATCCTGGTCATACCATGTTCTCGAGCATGACGTCACAACCCGCGAGTTACATAATGTCTCATTTCTTCATTTTGAGATCCTCGATCCCATTGATCCGCGACCCGTCTTTTGTCTTCCTCCTTTTGCGTAATAAAGCGTCGATCACAATTGATTGCAGCAGGATTCGCGGTAATATTGCCTGAAGCTATATTAGTGAAAGTCAATATTCGATTAATTAATTTTTTTTTCTCCGTTCTCAATCAGTGAGACCCCGATGGTGATGCGATTCAATCTCATGTGCAACACATCGTACAACCTCGGCTGAGCCATCATACGTCTTATCTCAAACACTTCTCCGCACTCAGGCGTGAGAGTCTGCCATGACCTGACTAGTCCAACTGGCGCTGTTTCATCCAACCCAACTACAGCCTCCCGGAACCAAAACTGCCGTCATGCTCCATGATCGCGATCTTGGCTCAGACACCCCTGCCGGTGAAGTCACCATTTCTCTCTCTCGCCCAGTCAAATCTCGAGATGCCGGCCCTCGCTAGCGACGGCTAATTGCCGCCTCTCCCACATGCCAAGACAGCACATCACACCACAACTTATGCTGACTCCCTAATCTGATCAAGCCATGGCTTGGTTGACCTCAGCCCAGACAGTTGTGGGGGGGTGGGAAATGCAAGCATATTCAGTCGAACCAGGCCCTCCCTCGGCCGGATTGCTTTTAGTCTCAGGGTAAATTAGACTTGGAAACAAGAATAAGAAAGGGCATCTTGCCTCCCTTGCATTAAATGCATTTTCATGTTTCAGAAATCTCGCTTCTTTCTAAATGGTTGAATCTTACTTTGTGTGATTTCTGGTTGTTCAGTCAACAAATTGGCCATCCATTAACACGGATATATATTGCTTACGCATACACGGCTCTCCCATAGGCAACTCCTCTCATCAATTCAGCAATTACACCCACCTATTCCACCATATATACCCATTGCCTTAGCAAAAGAACCGTTATCCGCCCCAACACCATGAACACCGCCACAACCACCTCTTCCAGCATGCTCTCCGTCCCATCCTCCTCCTCCTCCTCCTCTACCATCAGCCCAACCCGTCCCGCCTTCAACTCCCAACGAACCCAAGACCGCCTCCGCGAAGGCGAAGGCCTCTACGCAATCCTCTTCCGCAGCGACAGCAGCAACCTGCAGCGCGGCCGAAAGTCCGTCTTCAAAGAGACTGGCCTCGACGACGACAGCGCCAGCGAAGTCACCGACATCGTGTCGCTCAGATCGCCTGTGGCATCGCCCTCGCCCGTGTCGTCGTCGTCACAGGAGCCGTCGCCATCGCCGCCATTTCCGTCTCTTAAGCCGCGGCCGCTGGAATCATGGTATGTCTGGGCTGCTCTTTTTGCGTGTTTCGGCCTGCGATGATTGTTAATGATCATGAGAAGACGCCCATTTTTCTTTTGTGATTTCTTCAAGCGATGAAGCATCACGCTCACTAGTCGGATTTATGTTACGTTTCGTCATCTTACGATGCGAGCGGCATGTCTATCCCTAATGCCAAAAACAATACTAATCTAATACATCATTTGCTGGAGTAAAACGGATTGTCTTCTGTCCTCTGCCATAATGGACATTTATTGGGAGTCCAATGTCTACGAGATCTCAAAGAAAAAGGGATAAAAGGGGGGCAACGACAGTTATTGCGAGATGACATCACTGTATGTCTCAGACATGCAAATCAAAGCGCTGCACATGTATATATAGCTCTTTCATTCATACTAGGGAAATGTGAACAAGGTTCATTCCATGATACTATAATTCAAATCGGGGTATACATATATCCATACGATCTAACGTAAAAATACACCAGGACAATACCCGGGAATAACAATGCCGTGATATGTACAATGAAAAATCGCTTCAATGCCTCCTCCTAGACCATAATGCGGCCTATTTCACCCAAAGTGCTACATCACATTCGTTACTGAATGGATAGCAATAAGCATGTAAATCCCAAACGCCAAGGCAGTGCATCCTAGCAGTCCCAACATCACCATCCATTAACAAGACAGATAGAAAGGGTATAAAAGAGACAAGTAGAATCAAGAAAAGTAAAATGCAGTGTGCGAATCACATCTTTTCCAGCTCCTCTTTGGGAACTGTGCGAACAAATGCATGGCCCAAAAAGTGTAGCCAAGTCTTGTTCTTTTCTTTCTTGCTCTTCTTGTTGTCCTTTTTGTTACCCTTGCCCTTCTTGAATGTTGATTCGGGCTCATCGTCCGTGAGTTCGTCTGCTTCCGAGTCTACATCTTCGTTCTCATCGTATGTGTCTTGCGTCTTGCTTTTGCCTCCACCCTCTTTCTGGCCCATCCTATAGGCTAGCTTTAGGAAGCTCTTGACTGTCAAATCGGGCAGCTTGTAAACGTCGTCGTCAAATGTGCTGTACTCCACTTCATATTGAAACTCTCGAGGATTTGGCTTTCCGTGCTTGGGCTCCTTGTTGTCGTGTTTGCCCTTACGCCACTTGGTGGCATCGGCACCAAGATCGGGGATATCATCGTTGATGTGAGTGAGATTGGCATAGTACTGCGTGTATCCAGTCAAGGTAAGGAGCTGAGGGTAGTAGGCAGGACCAGGGGTCGAGCCCTCGGGCGGGTCCAGAGGAACAATTAGATCGTGGTCCTTGGGCGGCCTGCGCGATTTGCCCTTCTTCTTGTCCTTCTTCTTCTTCTTGAGAATCTCAACCAAGATCTCCTCTGGATTCTCGTAATCGAGGGTATCCTCCGGGAGTTCGAGCGCTGCCGGTGGGTTTGCCTGATCATACGTATCTCGCCACACGGGTGCGTCCTCGATTCCAGTAATGTTGTACTCAAAAATTCGAAGTGTGGGGAAGTAGTTTGGCACAACACTTGGGCTGATGAGAGAGAGTTGGTATCGCTCAGCGTACTTGCCGCCGATCTTACGCAGCTTCTTCTTCTTGTTCTTCTTTCCCTTCTTCTTCTTTTTCTTGCCCAGCTCCGTCTCCTCATCGTCCTCGTCGTCCTGAGCTTTCTTATCAAAGTCACGGGTAACCGACTTGGGCAGACCAGTCCATGTATCACGCAATTCCTGAAGATAATCTTCTTTGGAAGATATAGACGCTCCCTCCTTTGGAGAGCCACGGGTGCGGACTTGGTCAATACCAAGCTCCGGAGTCAGTTCGTTGACATCCTGGAGCAGGAAATGATCGATGTTCATATGTCCATACAGGGAGCCGACAACAACGTCGCGGTATTGTTTGAGCCACAGTGTATACTTTTGCCAGCAGGTTTCGTCCCAGTTTTGCTTGCTCTCCGTCCGAGCAGGCGGTACGTGGCCCATGAGAATGGCCTTGACGCCCCGCTCCCTCAGAATCTCAAGCTGAACGCGCAGCCAGTCCATGTGCTTGTACCCAGGCTCCGAGGGGTGGGCGCAGCCATCCACACCGGCATTGCGGTCGAAAAAGTACATTGTGTTCAAGCTGAAGACGGCAAGCTGGTCGGGGATGACCTCGACGTAGAACCAGCCACCAAACGCAAAGGAATGGCGCTGCTCTTCGGGGATGAAGCGGCGCCAAATGTCACTGTAGGTCGCGAACCACTTGTTGGGCCCTGGCAACATGATGTTGTGGGGGAGGAAGTCATTGTTGCCAAAGGTAGGGACAATGGGGATCTCGAGCCCATGCTCGGGCGACGAAAACGTCTCGACAAACTTGTCGGCGAGGATGCGGTTCGTTCTCAGGATCTCGGGCTCGTGCCGAGGGTTCTGCTCGTCGCTGTCGTGTCTGGCCGAGTCGCCCGTCCAGATAACAAAATCGATGTCATCCTTGATGTTCTCCTCGATCCAGGTAAAGGTAGCGTTTACAAGCGAAAAGGGCGTGTCGCAGTCCGTCTTTTCAGCGCCATACGATCCGGCCAATCCCTTCCCCCGGTGGCATGCGATGCCCTCTTCGGTGGATGTGTGCACGCGATAAAGCTCGTCGGGGTGGAAATCTGCGCCAATTGTCGCGGTTAGTCCAAGATCTGTCAATCATCCCAGATCGATGCAATGTAGCATCAGCTAATCAAAGAAACAGAGTCGATTGGTGGCGGGTGGCACCACGGCAGCGAAAAAAAGTTGCAGGGGCAAGGACAGCGTCGCATGCAGATTGTAGATTGAGATTGTACATAGAGATAGCGGGAGATAAGGTGGAAGCACCAGACCAGTAGAAACGAAGCTTCTGGTCTGCCAATCGCAGGCGGACAAAAATTTTAACTTCACGCAGCGCAATGCAACGCACCTGAGATATGCAGGAACCGACCGCTGAGTTTCCGCTGCTGCAGTGGTAGCGCATCGGATTCGGAGTCGATTGGATGCAGAACTTTTTGGTCGAGGCGAGTTGCTGAGGGCAGGGCGAGGCTTCTTGCGCTCAGCGATGCCAATGCCAGCAGCAGTAGTTGGTATGGCCGTCGATGGACGCCGCCGCGTTGGCGAGACATCGTGGGATGTTGTGTGAGGTGAGGATGTTGATTTGTTTTCTTTTTTCTTTCGATTTTCTGTTTTTCTTCAAGTCTCGGAGACGCCGTCTGTATTTAGGTGGGTAGAATAAAGCCAAGAATCCACCGCCGAGGATTGACTAGGAAGAAAAAAAAGAAGCGACAAACAGAACAAAAATAAGAAAAAATATACAAAAGATGCAAAGAAGCCGTAGGGATCGCCAAACTTAAAGATGCATCACTCCAACAAGGCTTCGCTCAACCCGAAGCCAAATGAAGGTTTTTAGGGGTCCAGGGGTTGAAATTCTTTTGTCTTTTGACAGCGGGAGCGAGACTTGCAGTGGTGTGGCAGACGCTGAGGCTATGAGGTCATCGGCGCCAATCAGCTGGCGATGACCCAAACCGTTGGCTGCTTCTGCCTGCTGAGACGCTGAGACAAGACAGCCTGTTCCAGGTGAGGAATGGATAGACGGGATTTCGGGGGCAAGAGGCGGTAACGTGACGAAATGAGTCTGCAAGATGCTCGTGCTCAGAGACAGCGGAAAAAGGTAAAAGGGCCTTGATGTCCTGACTGACAAACTGACTAGAGTAGATTGGTAAACACTACTGGGTATGGAGAGCCGAGACAGAATGAGAAGCGACTAGAACGAGTCATTCTAGACAAGGGGATGCGCCTCTTGCTGTATTAATATAGCAACAGCAGAGCAGCAACAAGGCCGTCAGCCAGCCGTGATCCCATCTCCAGCTCCTGATTTAAATCGCTCTCGTCCGTGGTCCAGTCTTCCCCGTATTCTCAGCCACGATGAGAACCCCGATGGCCCAGCGCAGGGTCCTGCTGATCCTCCCACCCAAATTATGTCCGAGATGCTCTGCAGCCGGCTCCACAGACACAATTAGCGGTCCAACGCTCGCAACCAACCAAGAGGGCGAATCTCCAAACCTCATCGCCATCGGCTCTGCCATGGAGGGGCTGCTGAGCCGTTTGTCTGACTCTCGCGCGTCTGTCCCCCACCACGATGCTAGTGATGCTAGCAATATCTGGCTTCTTTTACACTCTCGCCGTCTCCGCCTAGCTCCCGCCCAGGATTCCGAGCTGCCGGACCCCTTCCCTTTCGTTTTGTCGCCAGAGCCAATCTCGAGTCCGGCCCGGCTCCACGTGCAGCGACGAGACGCCGTTGATCAAAGCGGCTGGTGCCACAGCCGCAGCGAACAAGCTGCCAGAGCGTGAGCACGCGACTCTGTCTTCGCATGTGAAGGGCCTCTTGGTTCTTGCTTCTCCTATTCCCTCTTCTCCAATATTTGCCATCCCGCTCTCTCCACCTGTTGACCATGTCGTTCGATCTCTTTCTCTTTTGGAACCAGGCCTGTCTTACCGTTGAAGATCGTGGCGGCGCACCTGAGCTCACCTGAGCAGTTTTTTTTGGAGTAGGCGGATGACGCCCGCAGTTGATTTGAGGTCGCGTGCGCCAAACGACCTGTGTCCGCGTCAAATCCAGGTTGCAGTAGGCCTTGGATGCAAATACAGGGCCATGGACACATGCATGTATAATGGCACTCTGCGAGGCCTAGATTGTCGTTGCACAGGTGATGTCATTTTGCCGGGATATATCTGCGGCTAGAGCACTGTCAAAACGCGACAACTTGTCCAAGTCTGTTTCAACTTCAAGATTGAGGATATACGGCCTCCAACTACATACTTGTTATGTTACGATTCGAACTCCTAACTACTGCACGAACCCCTCCCCTGCTATCCATCTGGCCAATACTCTGCCGGCGATGAGATGGATGGGAATGACGCTCATTTGTCTCACCACCAATAGCCACCGTCTTGGGACGTTGTAGCGAACCGCATGCCCTGCTCTGGACGCGCATCTCATGCTACCCCAACTACATGCATTTGACCAATACTACCTGTAACCTGCATCTCGTTCAACCTCTCCAACTCACGCGCTTTGCCACTCTGTGGCCTTTCAGCTGCTCCTCTCGTTGTAACCCAGCCTTGAGCGTGATGTGATGCCGAGGCCATGAATCACAGCCCTCCTAGCTACCACACGCTGATATCATACTACGCATCCATTCTATAAACACCACAAACGCACACCGAGACCATATGACGATGCTGAAGCCATTGACTTTCAGGCTGTGAGGCCCCCAAAACACACTCTCTGTACATAATCTTCAGCCCACGGAGTGTCCGATCAGTGTCTTCTAAGCCCCGCCACAAAGTACAAGCAAATTTGTATCTCGCACATCACGACCCCCACTAGTCCTAAATTGGAACCTCTCAAGCCCTCCGCTTTTCTTCAATTTTTTCTCCCTTCTCTTTTTTCTCTTTTTCTTTCTCACATCACGCAACACCCTCAACACGAACACCTGATACAGGTGCGAGGCCTTCTCTAATATCCATCGTAGATACGTCGCAGTTGGAGGATTCACGTTGCTAGACGAAATATTTGCCGCTCGTTTGAGGGGGGTCATAGATTTTTCTCTGTGATGGCTCCCCATGGTTTTCGTGGCTACATGATTTAATTTTGCTAGTGCTAGCTTTGAGGTTATTGCTAGAGAGATGCACAGTGTGATTATGCCCTCTTTTTTTGCCTCCTGTCACCATAGAATAATCCACATTAGCACGGTTTGTGGCCGATTCAATTGCTTGGAGGCTGGCTCTTGCAAATTGTCTCTCACAAAGGGAAATGATGGTGCTGAGCAGTATACCTTTTCTCGTCAAATAAAGACCGAGTGACAATGTGTAATGTGTGACAGGCATCTATAACGATATCTCTGAAGTTGAAAGCAGAGCAAAAGATATCCATGCAGTTGATCCTGCTCCTCTAACGTTGCTCCTAAAGACTACAAGTATCATAACAAAGCAAAGTCGACAATAGAAGAGATTGATACCAGGCTGACCCCATGGCTCATTTAATAACCCGGCACTCTCTACCTCTGCTGTCTTGTATATATGCGTTATAGGGTAGAGGCGAATATTAGCAGGAATATCAATGAGCGTTGGTCGTGGAAGGCGGCTTTCGTCCGGCTTCTTGACTGAGATGGTTCAGAAAATTGAAGCCAATAGGTAGTGAGTATATTCTTGATCGTTGCATGCCGGGTATCGAAGATATGGTTTGTGGTGCGGCATCATGATAACGGCTGTCATCCGACTTGGACACTCAAACAATTAGGCACACCTTGTGTCCGTACTGAACCTCTTGTAGTTCTGCAGTTTGTCAAGCGCAAATTCTATTTACTGTATATACAATAATAATACCAGACCAGTCAATAATTCGGATGCGCTTCCGTAGCTCAGTTGGTTAGAGCTTCGTACTAATATTAGACTTCATCGTCTAGCCTTAGTAATGCGAAGGTCGCAGGTTCAAGCCCTGCCGGGAGCAAATGCCCCAGATGCGGATCTGAATAATTTTTTTGCTTGTTCCCTTAATAAACCTTACAAAGGTTTACATTCTTTTTTCTCCTTCACGTTTATAAAAGTTGACTGTGGTGTCTTGCGCTTTACCGCAAGAAACATACATAATATGAGTCAATTAACCTTCACTACTCATACAGCACAGGAACAGGACGACCAATTATCTTCACTTCTAGGCTGGCTTGAAAGAGCACAGCCACAATATGGCGTTGAGGTCTTCCCATGACTGAATAGAAATTCAGTTCTAGAAGGGTCAAGAATAACAACAGACAACCGTCGGCGCTTTTGTATAATCGGCATTAGCAATGGTTAAGATCCCACTGGAAATTGACCTCTCGTGTAGTCAGAATGAAGTCACTTTGCCTGCATACATGCAGCTGGAAGATTTGGCCATTCATCGTTTCCATGGGATTTTGGCGAAGGTCCAGCAAATATCGCATTTCCATATTTGCCTTGAAACCCGGAGGCGGCGGTTTGCATAGTAATGCCTGCGGTCCATAGCGTCGCAATTCGGCAAAGACTCTCGATTCATGGGGATTTTGGATGGACTGGTGAAAGAAAATATGAGCAGTAGTCTCGCACACTGGTTTGCTCACACAATTTATAAAACGCTCTGTCTCAGAAAGTATTAAGTTGGCGCTGTATGAACTTATGTTGAGTGAGCGTCATAGATTGTGAAGAAGTCGCCAATGCAGAGAAATCATTGATTGCTTTCGGACTAGTAGTTGTCATATAATTTAGAGCATAGGCAGGCTCTTCTGAGTACAATATGCACTTGATAGAAGAGCGGTTGGCTTGTTAAAGCAGCATAAGATACTCCGTAGTGGTGATATCATCATCTTCAAGTTTAACATACGCTTGCAATTACTCTATTCATTGATAGTATTAAAACATGCTTGACGCTGAAAATCAGCAACCTCCGTTCGTCACCTAACACAAATGCAGGGTTTCAACGTTTATTCAGCTTATCAGCCTGGACGCTGCTGCTCTCATGCTCGGCATAAACCCATGAGAGTACGAAGTAAAGAAACCTGGCCCAATCTAGGCAATTCTCCAGAGGGGTGCTCCCCTCCGCGGCCTTAACAATCTTAAACAGGGCCGCCTATAAAAGGCGTGTATTATTGCGGGCATGTAATGTTGGATCGTGGAACTATGCCTTGAAAATATGCCTGAACATGTTCAAAGTAACAGTTTGACCCCCCCTGGTTGATGACTGTATGCTGTATTCAAGAGAAATGGGCCACGAGTAAGCTTAGACTCTGGCTTGAGATGATTGTGTGATTGAGATTCGATAACTTACACCAACGGCTTCTTGCAATAGAAGTACCGACCCCGGGAATTGAGAAGACATCTTGCGTGCCCTGCGAAGAGGTAAACTTAATTAGCAATATACCTTATGACAAGAGAGTTTGGACGAAACATACGACTTTAACGGCGTTATGGGGTCGATGGTATTACTCGCGAACAGGATCGGGAAGGATGTGGGCCTGCCTAGTCCATTTATTGGGCCTGCGTAACAAAAGAACTGATTAGATTTTGCGTTCAATGGATATGTTCATTTATCTTTCCCGAGATTGAAAAGGAAAGATAGAGAGAAAGGGAGGGAGGTTTGCCTACCTTGGGCCAACATGCTATCAGGCAATTGTGGTCGGAATGATCTACACAAAATACGATCCACAAAGATGGGGTAGATATCACCGATGTACTTGCTCTTGGAAACCGTGTACTCGACGTAACTCTTGAATTCCTCAATGGTAGTAAGCCTGTTTCTCCGATACGAATCGGCGCACTGGATAACAAACCCGGCATCGGACGCAATACCCGACCCATCAAACATGCCCACAAGAGCAGTCACATTCCCCTGTTCGAGCTGGTGTAGGATATCGGCCATGACTGGGAAGGATGCTATTGGGACGTAGAGGGTATTGACAAAAAGGGCCTTTAGGTCTGAATAGGTGACTAGTGTCGGCAGGCCTCGACTTTGGACTTCGCTCACCGGGACCGGGTGGTTCTGAAGCTTTTGGATGATACCGTCCATTCTTGCCGTGATGTTAGCTGGCGTGGGTCCCCAGAAGGAACACGATTCAGGACCTGCGGAATGGCAGAAACTCGAGAATTTTTCCATTGCCTCGTCCATTTGATCGACATTGTCCCTCCAGTCATTGTCATAATATTGGTCTGCGTTCATAACACCATCGAGTATCATTCTCCCCACTCGGTCGGGAAACATGGAAGCGAAAGTGCTGCCGATCACAGTGCCGTAACTGATGCCGTACAACCACAGTTTGGCGTCTGATGGTGGCTGACCGGCCAACTCAGCCTCGGCTTCTATAAATGTGAGCAAATCATGGGCGACCGCCGGTGTAGTCACATAATATCCATGAGGTGACCCGTTCTCGACAGCATCGTTGCACCAGTCTCCGTAGATAGAGCTTGAATAGTACTGCTCCTCAAGCGATGTTGATGAGATGTTGGTAACGCCTGTCCTGTGCAGTCGATTGAAGGCCATTCTTGCTTCAGGGTTCCCCGAGAAGCAGTCAAGACTCGGACCGCTATTGTTCACACCGCGGGGGTCAAAAGAAACCAAGTTGTACTGCTCTCCAAACATTTGTGTTGCAATGGCCTGGTTTGAGAGGAGGAGGTCGACGCCAGAACCACCCGGACCGCCTAATGAAGAGTCAGTCCAGTCACATGGAGTTTAGGTAACTTTATATGGGTGTCTGATCAAGATCTTACCAGGGTTTATTATAATGCTTGGTGACTCGACAGAAGCATTCTTTCCAGCCAATTTTATGAAGGCGATTGACGTTGTGCCAATACTTTTGTTTGAATAATCCAAAGGGAGTTCCAGTCTAGCGCACGTAAAGTCATCGAAACATGGCGTCCATGTGAGGTTGGCTGATGGCTTAATCTGGATGACAGGTGGTTAGAAAGCTTGAAAGCCTTAGAGGATGTGGTTTGGCAAAATCCAAATCTCACTGTGTCAAATCCATAGACCATGCCTGGATCGCGCCGACTATCGGCGTTGCATCCCCAGGCTGCGAAAAGAACCAGTGCGTTGACAAATCGTTTCATTGTTATCCCCAGAAGGCTTCTAGTTGAGTGTTGTGTTATGTTGCTTGTATGAAAGTGGTTGCATTCATTATTGCAGCTGGTTCAATTGCGACATCAGGGAACTACTTATACCTGTTGAATTTCCCAAGGGAACTGTCTGACGCTCCGCTTGTACGAACCGTCCAATAAATATCGATTTCGACACGAGGTTTGACATAACATCATCATCCTTAATTACATAGACGATGTGACGATGCAGGGTGGCAGTGCTCGTTGGTGGCCGTCCCATATTACCGAGCAGTTGATTGATGGAGCTTTACCTTCAACGATGCGTTTAGATGGAGAGTTCACGGAGACATAGATGAACGGGATACGAAGACTTTGCGGTTTGAGTTTAGCATTATTCTTTTATAATCGAGACTTTATATTCCACCCATTGTGCCTGGAAACAATAATGCCGCATTGATCGAAGCAACTATAACTAGAGGAATTACAAAGCTCGAAGGCGGCTAGAGACGGACTGTTGGTTTTGGCATCTTGCGGCACGTTTACGGGAAACTCCACCCTAAACGGGAACTCCCCTGTCTTGGCGCCCCACCTGTACGAACTAACCAATCAACATCTATCATGATAGCGCGAGTCTATATTAGGATCTCTCCGGAATGGTTCCCGTCATCTTTTAAGCTTGTTCGGTCTCTCCTGGGCTTCGTTTGTACTGTCCGTCTTTTCTCATCAAAACGTCCATCGCAAAGGATCCGAGATATGAATCCTCCGCTAGCATACGAATACGAATAGAGACGTAGATGATCCTCCTGAAATTCGACTAGTACCTGGTAGAGTTTGCTTTCGAAGTCATTGCCGCATACAACTGGCGGCTTAGGAGTTGTCGTGGCACCAGGACTGTCTTCTGCTCCAAACGGCGCCAACTACAAACCTTGGCCAGCTAACACCAACGTGATGGATGGGATTGAGAGTGAGAACGCTAAGGCGGCCAATCAATCTTGGAGAAAAAAGCCTCGCAAGTTCGCTCCAAAGTCAAGGCTAGGCTGTAAGACTTGCAAGTGAGTCATGACTCCCCATGACTCCATGTCTTGATACACTGCGATCAATTATATTCAAAGACTCAACAGCTGATACTCAAACTCGGTACACCTCTCAGGATACGACGAATAAAATGCGATCTGTCCCGGCCTTCATGTTTGAAATGCCAGTCCACAGGTCGCACCTGTGACGGCTTCAGCGAAACGCCCCTCGCTCCCAAGACTGAGATTGAATCAAGTCATTATTATTACAACGAGAAGACCAGCAGAGCAGAAAGTTGCGGCAGTTACCACCCTTGCACCGCGATCGGTGCGTATCAGCTAAAACAATGGCACGCGAAAAACCGTGACCTCATTTCGCAGAATCTCGGACCCTTTATGATCTTACCAATGACTGGGTCAACCCAGACAGAGGCAATGTGTTTTTTCGAGTACATTTCGATTAAGAACCTGAATGAATATCACCCCTGCGAATCATGGCGGAAGTCTCTCATGTTCTTTTCGCAAACAGTCCCAGCAGTGCGGTATGCAGCCATTGCATTAGCCTTGATCAACCGAATCCACCTGGATCGCCATTCAAGCGACCGTGTGCAACAGCCGCAATCCCGGGAAGATTGGCTACCGGATGAGGCTCCATTGTTTTACTATAATCGGGCCATCCAACTCCTTCTGAATCAGGAAATTGGTGAGAGCTCCGAACTAACAGCCATCACGCTTTTGGTCTGTTATCTCTTCATCTGCTTTGATCATCTATCGGGCAACTACGTACAAGCACTAAAGCACTTACGTGGAGGCGTGGAGCTCTCACGCAACCTCGGCAAGGCTATACTGAACGAAAGCAATACATATGACGATGCCAAACCCTCAGAGGCTCACACGCTTATCCGCCAGGTCGTAAGACAGATCCGCCGTCTCGATTTGCAGGCCGTGACGTTTCTGACCGACTGGACTCCCGCTGATATTCAAGAGACGCTTGTGTCGCAGCTTCCACCCTACGAAAGTGCCTTTCAGTCCCTCGACCAAGCCGCCGACCACCTTGAGATCCTTGTCGCTCGGGTAATGGAACTGCGCAACACGGAGCAGCAAACCTCCCAAACGGGGGAGATGCCGCCGCTACCCTCGTCAAACAAGGACATTCTTCTTGGGCAGTTGGAAACATGGTCAAGTCTCTTCGAAGATATGCTGCAACAGAGCAGCTCCTATGACACAGAACCTGAAACCTACCCGCTCATATCAATGCTACGTCTACAACATACTATCTCATGGACTTTGCTCAATTGTCACGGACCTGGCAGAGAAATGGAATATGACAACTTTTTACTCCAGTTCCAGCAATGTGTGACTTTGGCAGGCGATGTAGCGGCAGCGCATGAGCGGTATTCGGGGTCTTTAAAGCCAACTTTTACGCCGGAGCTCGGAATCGTCCCCGTGCTTTATATAATCGGGGTCAAATGCCGACATCCCGTAGTCCGACGGGAAGTCTTGAGTATCTTGCGACGGCAAAAAATACAGGAAGCGGTGTGGGATAGCATCTCTGCTGCTAGGGTAGTTGAGCGGGTAATCGAGATTGAAGAGGGTGGGTCTGAGGAGAGAGAAGGGATACAGAGCATGGAACAAATTACTGCGTGGCAGAGGGTCGAGGATTTGTCTTGGTTACAGGTTGTTAGTGGGCAGTCTGTGACTAGGATGGATATTAGTTATACGTTCTGCGCGCAAGAGGGAATGCACATCGAGTCTCTGATAGTGTAACCCCTAGTTGAGTAAACGACCTCCTCTTTGAAACGCGATATGTGTTACAAATATTAATTTGCTTCTCTCCCTACTCTCAATATAGGACTATTTATAAAAACATATCCATTCTCTATATTATTTGTTTTATCTATCATTGAGCTTATAAAAGTGCTGGTTACTTACTGCAGTTAGGCATAAAAGTTACCTGTTGGTCTGTTTCAACAGCTAACTTTTCGGAAGTCGCCTCACAAACCCAGTAATTGGTTAAGAAGGGTGGAACCAACGAATAAATTACGCTCTTTTTTCATCATCTGTTCGCTAGATCCCATATTTCTTTCTTTTACCCACTGGCCAAAGATCTACTCTCTATGGCGCCAGATGTTACCAGCTGGGAAGAATTGCCTTCGGAGCCTGAGTGATTCGAAGATGGAATTAGAGACTTTCGATATTTTGCTGTTACGACCCAACCTCTTGAGGCCGGAAAATACATACCCCAAAACAAGTCTCGGACCGACCGACCAATCACAAAGGGATCGCCCATATATAACACCTATAATAAATTACCACCGTAATCTATTATAATTTAAAAACACTGTAATTTATATATAATCTAAAAAAGGTAACTAAATATATAAGTTTATTTTATTATAATTATTTAAATAGTTTAAATAGTTAGTCGTTAATAAAGTATTAAAACTAAATATAAATTATACCTTTTATTTTACTTTTATGTATTTATAATTACAACTGCTTAAAAGCTACTCTCTGTCCTCTCTGCTAATATAAACCTATAACTTAGGCTTATTACCTTAAGAACTCTTACCCTATATTAAAAATAGAATTAAAACGTTATATATTAATAACTTTTATTTAAAAGAATATTAACTATTTTTTAAATAAAAAAAAAACTATTATACCTAAATTATCTAAAGACATTAACACTTTTATTACTAACCTTAAAGCTTTTTAAATAAATAATAAAAGAAATATTATTATAAAAAACATCCCTAACGTTATTAAACTATCTAAAAATAAGATTTTAATATTTATTTAGAATATATTCTAATTTAATAAAATATTTATAAATAAAATAAATATAAAGAACTTTAATAAAATTAAAAAAGTTAATAAAAAAAAGGAAAATAAAGAAATCTTAAAGCTTAAATATCTAAGACCCTTTATAAAGAAACTTAAAAAAGTAAAACCTTTTATTATAAAACTTTAATATTATATTTAACATTTTCTATAAACTTTAGCTAAAGAATTTATAAAAATCGCCTTTATAGCTATTTATTTTAAAGAAATTATAAAAAATTAATTTTAACTTTTTTAAGAAGATTATAAAGTTAATAAACCTAATAGAAAAGTAAATTATAAAATTATAAAAATATATAAAAATATTAAATTTTTTAAAAAATAAATTAATAAAATATTTATAAATATAGAAAAATAATATACCCTAGAAAATAAATTAATTAACTTAAAGTAAATAGGAAAATATATTACTTATATTATTAAATTTAATAAAATAGCTATATAATTAAAATAGGATAATAAACTCTTAAAGAAAATATTCTATAATAGACTTTAGTATAAAGTAAAAGAAAAAATTTATAAATATTAAAAAAAGAATATTACCTTAATAGAATTTTAATAAAAAGCAGTAGACTAAAATAACCTATTTTATAAACTTAAATTAAAAAAAACTACTAAAAACTATAAAAACATTTAGGGATATAAGAACTTTAATTATTAAGCTAATTAAAGAAAGAAATAATAAAAAAAAATTATTAAAGATAATAGTAAAAGACTAGGAAAAATAGACTTCGACGCTATATAAAAAAAGAAAGATTTTAAATATTATAATTATAATAAGCTAGACTATATAGCTAAAAACTACTGAACTTTAAAGAAAGATAAGGGAAAAGAAAGAATCCCTAAACCTAAGAAAGAAGTTTATTTTATAAAAAAAGGAAGCTAAGTAATAGCACTTTTATAATAAATAGATAGCCCCATTTATAAAAACTTTAACTTTAAATCGGAAAGTATTATCTTAAATACGGAAATACTTAAGGAAAATAGTATTTAAAAAGATAATTATAAAGGAAATTTATAAAACTATAAAATACCTTTAGCCCTTTAATATACTGTAAATATTATAAACTTTAAATATAAACTATTAAAAGTTAAGAAAATTAGTAAATTCTAAGTATAACTAGAGGTATACGTTAGAAACTAAATATAACTAAAACTGTATATTAAAAGAAAAAACTTTAAAAAAAACTTCTTTAAATAACTTAAAGAATAGTATTTATATAATAATAAATATAGAATTATTTATATTTATAATATTAATAAAATTTTTAAAGTATATAAAGCTTATTAATATATTTAAAAAGATTACCCTTAGGTTAACTTTAACTATTAACTTTATAAAAAAATATATTAAACTAACTATATAAATAATTAATATATATAATACTTTAAGCAAAAAGTAAAATATAATAACTACCCTTAGAGAATCTATAATTACTTAATTAATAAAATATATTAATTTTATTAATATTAGAAATAGGGAGTTATTTATAAAAATTAAAACTTAAGGATTATTATTTTTAAACTCTACCCTACTTTACTAAAAAAATATATAAATAATAGAACGTTAAACTTATATTCTAACCACTACTGTAAATACTATAAAATAAGAAAAATACTTAAATAGTATAATTAAAAAAAAAAAACAGCAGACTGCTATACTAATTAATACAGCAGCTGCTTTAAAATAACCTATATCCAACATAAGGATAAAAAACTAAATAAATAATATAAAGATTAATAAAATAATAAAAAAATTATTAAATAAAACCTTATATAGGTCTTAATATACTAAAGATTTAATTTTAAAACTTATAAAAGAGTAATAGATAAATAATTAACACTGCTCTATAAACTTTAAAGAATTTTTAACGGAAAATATAATATAGTAAACTATAGAATCTATATTTAGTAAATAAGACTTTACTGTAGCTTTAAAGACTTAAATTAGAAAAACTGTAAAAATAAAAAATATAAATAATATATATATAGTAAAATTAAAAATTAATATTTAAAAAATAAAAATTATTTTTTATAAAAAGGTATTAAAAAACTTAATAATACTTTATAACCCTTAATAAAAAATATAATTATAATAGTAATAAAGAAAAATAAAATACTAAAGTAAGAAAAATTATTATTAAAATATTATTAAATGGAAAAATACTTATAGTAATAGTAAATATTAGAGCAGATGGTAATTATATTTCTATAAAAACTATAATCTACCTATAGTTATTATAAAAATATAAAAAAAAAAAATATAAGTTATACTATACTAAAGAATAACCCTTTAATTATAATAATAAATAAATTAAAAGATAGATTAATTACCTATACTTTAAAATTATAAATTATAAAACTTTAATTATATATAATATTATAAATACCTTAAAATATAATATTATTTTAAGAATATTATAATTAAGTAAATATAAACTTAATATATAATAAAATATAAACTAAATTTATTAATATAATAATAAAAGAATTTTAATATAAAAGGAGGATAAAAAAAGCTAAAAACCTTAACTCTTTAAGCTTAAAAACATAGTATTTTAACATTAAAATAAATAAATAAAAAATATAAAGATAAAATCCCATAAATAAATTACCTAAATACAATAAGAATTTATAATAATTAATAAATACCTTAAAATAATTAAAAATATATTAAAAAAAATTATTAATTTATTAAAAAAAATCCTTAAGTAATACTAAAAATATAAAAGTCTATTTTAAAAAATACTAAAAGATAAAAATAAAAAAACTAAGCTATTACTATATACTAAATAAAATTATAAAATTAAATTAAAAGAAAAAACTACCTTAAAGCATTTCTCTTTATATAACCTTAATTAACTTAAGCTTAAAACCCTTAAAGAATAAATTAAAGAATAAAAAAAGAAAAAATATATTAAAATCTTTAAATCACCTATAAAATACTTTATCCTATTTATTTTAAAAAAAAACAGTAAACTTTAATTAATTATTAACTATAGACAGCTAAACAGTATCATTATTAAAGATAAAATACCACTACTTTTAATTATAGAAATAAAAAATAGGTTATAAAAAAGTAAATAATTTACTTTATTAAACTTTACTAAAGCCTATAATTTTACTAAAATAAAAAAAAAATATAAATAGAAAACAGCCTTTAATATATTAAAAGAATTTTATAAATTTTAAGTAATATTATAAAAATTTATTAATACCTTAGTATTTTTTTAAAAAAGAATTAACTATATACTTAAACCCTATTTAAAAAAATTCACTATCGCCTATATAAATAATATTCTTATCTACTTTAAGACCTTAGAAAAATATAAATAGTATATTTACTAAATCCTATAGGCATTATAAGAAAATAACTTACTTATTAACCTAAAAAAATACAAATTCTATTTGCAAAAAGTTAAGTTTTTAAAGTATATTATAACACCTAAAGAAATAAAAATAAACTTTAAAAAGGTTACTATAATTTAAAATTAAAAACCTTTTAACTTTATTAAAAAAATATAAAGCTTCCTTAAACTTATAAATTACTATTAATAATTTATTAAAGGATTCTTTAAAATAGCCGCCCCACTAATTAATATAATAAAAAAAGAAAAGACCTTTAAGCTAATTAAAAAAATAAAATAAATATTCTAAATATTAAAAAATACAGTAACTTTAGTATTTATTTTAATAATATATAATCTTAATAAACCTATTATTATTAAAATAGATATATTAGAATATATAATAAAAGAAGTAATAAACTAACTTAGCGACAATAAAAAACTCTACCTTATAGCCTTCTATTTTAGAAAATTAAATAATATTAAAATATATTACCTTATTTATAATAAAGAATTTCTAAAAATAAAAAACTATATAAATAAATAAAGCTATTACTATTAAAAAAATAAATATAAAATTAAAATCTATACTAACTATAAAAACATTATATTTTTTACTATTACTTAAAAATTATTATAATAATAATTAAAATACTTTAAATTCCTCTTAAACTATAAATATAAACTAATATACTGTAAAGGAGAAAAGAATAGGTGTACTGACGCTTTAAGCTAAAGACTTAACTACTTTTAGGAAATACTAAACTATTAAATATAGATTTTTTAAAAAAATACAGAAGGTAATTATAAATAAAAAAAATTATATATAATATATTAAATTAAAAAATATAATAAAATACTTAAGGAAATTAAAGTATATATTAAAAATTAAGTAAAAAATAAGTTTTTTTTATAGGTTATATTTAAAAAAGGTTAATTAATAGTTAAAATTAAATATTAAGTACTATTAGACTTATAAAAGAAAATTATAAAATATATTTATAAATATCCTTAGTTTAAATACTGAAGAATTATAACTATAAATTAATAAATATATACTATTTATTTATTTTAAGGAATAAAAAAGATAGTAGCTAATATTATATTAATTTATAATAAATATTAATAAGTAAAATATAAATAATATAAGTTATATAAGATACTGTAACTTTTACTAATTCTAAAGTTACTTTAGGAAGTTATTATATTTAACTATATTATAAACCTACTATTATTATAAAAACCTTTTATAAAGGTTATTTATAATAGTATTTTTATAATAATAAATAAATTTATAAAGTAAGTATATTTTTTACTATATAAAAAATTATATAATACAGAAGATCTTATATATACTTATATTAGAATAATAATAGTTAATTACAGCTTATTAAAAGAAATTATTTTAAATAAAGGATAAATATTCGCCTTTAAGTTTTAATAAAAACTAATAGTAAAACTTAAAGTTAACTATAAATTTAGTACTGTTTATTACCTATAAATAAATAAATAAATAGAAAAAATAAACTAAATCATTAAGTAATACTTATAATATTATATTAATTTTAAATAAGATAATTAAGTTAAAAAGTTACCTTTTATCTAGCTTTATTATAATAGTATAAAATTTAAATTAACTAAGCTAATACCGTTTTATATATTCTATAAATATATACTTTTAGTATATAAACCCCCTTTTAAAAGACTAAACGTTAATAAAGTATAAATATAAATAAAACTTATAGTTAATCTACATAAAGAATTATACATTTAACTTAAACTTATATAAAACTATATAAAATACTATATAAACTAAAATAAAATTAAAAGATTAACTTTTTAAAAAGGAAATATAGTTTATTTAATTTAACATTTATAAAGTTATAAAATACTAAATATTAAAATAAACTAACTAAATAATAAATTAAACTTTAAGAAAATTAAATTATTTAAGATTTTAAAGAAAATTAAAGAAATTAATTATAAATTTAAAATATTTAAAAATATAAAACTAAAATACTTAGTATTTTATATATTATTATTAAAAAAAGTATAAATTAATAAAAAAATAAAAAAACTAATCTTAAATAAAATTATAATACTTAAAGAAAAAGAAAACTGAGATGTAAAAGAAGTATTTATTATATACTGAAACCTAGAATATAATAACAAAATTAAATATTTAGTTTAATAAAAAAATTATAGATTTATTTATAATACCTAGGAACCCGTTAAAAGCTTTAACTTTTAGGCATTAATAAAAGAATTTTATTAAAAACTTAGGATATATTGCTAAAAACTATATTCTAATTAATTATATTAACCTTACTAAAAGCCTATACAGCAATAACTGCCTTAGACTTAGCCCTTTAAGCCTCGTTAAGCTTATCTAAGCTCTTTAAATTATAATTAACTATCTTTACCCTTTATAATACTAAAGATTCCCACTGGGTATAAATGTAAAATAACCTAGCTAAAGCCTTAGAAGCCTTACGCTAAAATTCAGTTAGCTTTTCTATAGCCTTTTTCTTTTTAGCGTATAACTGCTTATTTTTAAAGGAAATATAACTTACTATAATAAAAAGTTAGCAGAAAAAATACTTATTTAAAAAAAATTTATATATAATTATAGGAATTTTACTTTTATTATAGAAATAACCCTAACGTATATACTTTTTACACTTAAAAATATTATTTATTATTTTATATTAGTTATTTATATTATATTTTTTATAAAAAGAATAAAGTATAATAAAAAAACCTAGCTATTTAATAATATTTACTAAAGTAAAACGTTTATAAGTTTTCTGTAATAAAGGTTTAAAAATATAACTTAATATAATATTAGTATAAAAGTATAAAATAAATAGAAAGAAAATTATAGATTAAAGAGATTAGGCTGACGGTTGCTTTATATAACTAACCTTAAAGATAAGGTTAATAGGAGGGAGTATTATATTATAACCTAACCTCTTAAAGCTGGAAAATATATACTTTAGAATAAATCTTAGACTGACTAACTAATTATAAAGGGATTGCCTATATATAATACCTATAATAGATTATTACTGTAATCTATTGTAATTTAAGAACACTGTAATCTATATATAATTTAAAAAAGGCAACTGGATATATAAGTTTATTTTATTATAATTATTTAGATAGTTTAAATAGTTAGTTGTTAATAAAGTATTAAAACTAAATATAAATTATACCTTCTATTTTACTCTTACGCACTTATAATTACAACCGCTTAAAAGCTACTCCCTGTCCTCTCTGCTAATATAAACCTACGACCTAGGCTTATTACTTTGGGAACCCTTACCCTATACTAGGAATAGGATCAGGACGTCACATTTGCCATCGTGATGGCAGACGACGACATGATATTTTGCAGCGAAATGAACAGGCCAATTGTGGTTAAGAAATATCCTTGAGGGCTCTAAGCCTTCATTCAACCAAGGTGCATATATAAATCAAACTGCCTCAACTAGTGATATATGAAATTCTCTCAAAGCATACAGTCATGTACTTCCTCCGTAATGAACTGGTAGATAAGGCAGAAATCATGGAAGTGCTACAGAGCTAACCTCACCCGAATAATGTGGGATACCATGAGTTATCCATATAATTCTCTACAGTAATTTTGCGAGCCTTGGGTTTTCTCTTTCGCCATGTGTCAAGTCATCGCGAGGAACTCATAACGGCTTTCGACATGAAGTCGCTTATCTTTTCAAAGATACAGAGGGTCAAATTGGAGATTATAGTCCGTTATTGAACCATTTGGGGATGACAAGCGTAATTTCCATTCAACTATTAAAAAATCTTTCAGTCTCGAAACTGAAACGATTCTTTGTGATATACTTCCATCTTCATACTAGTTGCCTTCCAACACCGCTCTTCCCGTTTACTTGGAAAGGGGAGAGAGTCAGTATTAAAGGATTTGTTGAACCATCCACAGACCGTGTGTTCCTTCATCGTCTCCATTTGCATCAGAGGCATTTCAAGCTCCTCTGATACCCCATCTAGCCAGTTTGCTAGAGCAGCGATGGAAAAATTATTGGAAATCCAGGGATCGTAGTCTGATGTTTTCCGATACGTGAGGATTTCAACTTGAATAGCCGCCCATATAATTCCAAGCTGTGGATTTCCGCAGGGGAAGCTGGACCCGATACCATGAACCCCAAAATCGTTCAATTCACAGGAATATTCCGAAATTTCTGACTGTATTGATTCATCATCGTTGTCATTGTCGCCATCAAATTCAGCATCCGGATCATCGTTATTGAATATGTCCTGGCTTTCCTTTGAGTCATCCAAAGTGCAGTTATCTTTGGCTAACCGTAAGATCCTAAATATGCAGTGCCATCCTATCTGGCACTCAGAACTCCAAAGTCTTATAGTATCCTGTGGGATTCTCCCTATAAATTCTTCGGCATCCATCTCTGAGTGATGACATGCATTCTCCGATAATAATCCCAAGATTTTGTCGACTGACACATTTGCTTTGTGTTTAATGTTGGCACCAAGCCGTAGCAAACAGACAAGGACCGCTATGGCTCCAAACAGTGTTTCTCCCTGGATTCCTGAACCTCCTAGATAGTAGGCAAGCATTATAACTGAGTGAAGAGGTCCAAGTGATAATTCACCATCGCAACTACTGCAGTTCTTCTTGAATAACCCACTTGAGTGGTTGAGATGAGATCGCAAACTGCCTGGAGGAAATATCGCGATAATGCTATGGCAAACAGCTTGGACTGAACTATGGCAGAAGGGGTGCTTCCAGCTCAGAGGTATACGGCAGTTGCCGTTTTGAAAGAGCTGGCGAACTGCTGGAGAATCTGCGTCCCATCGACCACATGCATCCTTCTCCTCGCCGGGATACATGTTTGTATAAGAAAATCCAGAACTAACTTCATGTGGACTGACATCAGTATGTGAACGAAAAATCGATATCACCAGGCTATCTAGAATGGTGTGTCCCATACTGTCCTCATTATTAGCGTTGATAGGATAATCATAAAGGAGATGTTGTTTTAGCGTGGAAATTAGGGAGCAACAGGTATAGCCACCGTCTAGAAAAGAAGCAGCTATGTGATAGGGGTGAATCTCCTTGAGAAGTTTCTGGAAGTCTGGGGTCTTCTTCAACGCACGGAGAACAGATTCCACTAGTACCACATTTCCAGCCATTATCCCAAATTTGAGAGCTTCCTGCTGTAGTAGATTTGTATTCGTGCGCAATGAATCAACGATTATTTCGGCGGAGAATGGTAAGTCATCGGATGCCAAAGGCGTTAGAGCGGCCTGAATTGCTAACTCCTTCATTGATTGCAAGAACGGAAATTTCTTCCGTTCCGCTCGTGACCAGGGTTTATTTAAAGGCGTCTTTTTGATGCCAGAGTTATTCAATACCTGGTAGTTCTGATAGCCTCGGTAATCAGGATATTCTTGGTAATTGCCATATAGCTGATTATCATCCATGTGGACGACCCATCCGCACAATCGTGTCGGTGAGTTGATTGGTTCATCGCACACTGAAGGTGATAATGCCAAAGAATCATTATCCATGGGAGACATATGGCTTGAAAGTGGCGCTGCTGATGAACTAATAGTCGCCGTAGATACCATTGCTTTCGTCCAAAAGAGAGGTCCTCGCCCCCAATGTTTGGCTATAACGAAGATATGCATCCAGGTTTCATGAAAATTGTTTATTAGAGCACTGCTTTTGATAAGAAACTGCTCAATCTGGAGACACAGTTGCATCGCATTGTTAAACTTACATATGCTCTTCTCTCTTGCAGTTGATAAAATATTCGTCGAAGCGTCCTTTCAAAAACAAATTTGCCTGAATTTGTTTAAATTTCTGCTGTGATCTTATCATTAAGGGAGATGGGGTAGTTAATGGAGAAAGACGGTTGATCTCTTTTGGGCTATTGATCGTCATATAATTCGGAATACTGGCATGTTCTCTAGAGGTCAAAACTGTATCCAATAGCGGAATTGTTGACTTGATGAATGCGGCACAAGGGAGGTGCCATGAGCTTAATCTACGGAGGCACAAACTTTTTAGCGAAATACTCGTACCAGTGTCAGAAAATCTTAGGACTTACATCCCTGGTATTATAGGTTCTATTACAGGGTGGCGGATCTCAGCTTGAAGATACCTCTTGAGCTGCTTTTTGTCCACATATTTGCCTTCTTGGAGTGTAATATCAGAGACCGAGATCTTAGTTCCTATACGGGCGCTTGTTTCAATGGCAACGATTACATCGTCCTTTTCACGATTTAGAATACGCCTTCGAACATTCCATTTCCGAAGGGTATGCTCGAGCTGGTTCTGCCTACATGCTCAATATGAAAATCAGAAAACGAAGACCCAATTAAGAGAAAAGAAATTGCTTGAAGAAAGAAGGATCCATAACTAACGACATGTAGAAGGAAAATTTGTCTCTCATAAGCTGGGTTACCTGGCGCATTGTCGTGCGCTTGCCGCCAGGTCCATAGTTTCCCATATACAATCGAACGATAGTGGGTTTGAGCTTACTCAATCGCTTTGCATATGGCAATTGAAGGAACTTATCTTCGTCGGAGCGGGGAAGTAAATCGGCGAGATCCATTATGAACGAAGTGGGAGTTGTCACGGCAGAAAGTGGTGGAATAGAGGCGTGGCATCAAAGACGATGGGCGATATTTCAAAAGGGTTTACATGCAACATCAACGGCGCGCTTGGGAACAGAAACTGCTTCGGGCGTGGGACGCGGCTGGCGTACATGCCTCGTCGTCTTATACTCTATGCGCCTCACTTGTTGGGCATGCAGGGCCGCAATGGACCCTGCCGGATGATGGCGCCTTTCTTAGACGAAAAATGGAATGGTCCATCGTTCATTGGACGTACAAAACCTGGGTGGCCAATGATAGAGCGGCCGTAATATCGGGGGCACATGCCAGCCGCGTCGTCTGCTTCGCATCTGAGGCATCCATAATACAAAACCTCGCTGGCCAATGATAGATTAAATGACGGTCATGGGAGCCATGCCTACTACTTTATGTACTGGGTATCCATTCTCACACAAATCCTCATCATCCAATCGCACGACGACAGCAGCGCCGGTTAGGTCAGCGCCGGTTAGGTCAGCGCCACGGACGGCATGCTTGATGCATGCTACTTCAATACTCATTGTTCATAGTCGGCCATCACAGCTGAAAACATAATATCATGAGAGCCGATCCACCTAGCCCCTCTCTGTATACTAATTAAGAAGTTCGTCTATACATGGGTAAAACTGTGGCTTTTTTTTTTCACCGTACAAGGTACCTGATTGAGGTGAAATACGATGACCCCTGCCAAAAGGTACCGAAACAAAGGAGAGACACACTTCCCAGGATCCACACCACCGCCTCTGGGATGGATGGCCTCGGAGGTGTATAGCATCATTATAATAACATGGTACCTGACGGTATCCCATTCTGGACCTTTTCGACTCCACTCAGAAAAAAATCAGGCTCCAGATCTCTGACCGTGCCGTTCGAAATACAAGTCTCCTTGCCTTATTAGCTGCCTAACACAGTACCAACCTTCGGGAAGGGAATGTTACTTCTCCCATACGCGAGCCATGTATTGCTGTGAACATAGCGTATGCTCTAAGAGGTTTATATAAACCCCTCGCCACCCTCTTCTTTAATCTATTCCATCATCTTCAAAGTGGTTCAAACTGGAATGTGATCATATACATCAACTTACTCAACCGAAATACTTCCTTCCAGCAATTTTATTCTCACCGCATTTGAAAATGCCACGCCTCGAAATAAAAAGCCAAAACTCCATCGGACTGAACTTTATGTGAGTTATACTGCCAGCTCTTTATTGTTATATCGCCATTTCTCACATGTCCCTGAAATTTCCATCTTGGTTCACTGTAATAATCTTACAGTATATGTTCTACCCTTCTCCTCACTGTCTTTGTACAAACTTGTTCATAGATCACCGCAACGCATCAAGCGATGCAAGGGTTGACACAACGAACCTGAAGTCTAGTGGCGGACACATTTACAATGATGCACTACGTTAATTGACGTGACGAGGATCAATCTGGGCCTAATTACTATCAACACTCTCATTGGCCTTTGTCAACACATTGTCGTATAACTGACTGCAACTTTTGTTTGGTTTAGGGACACTGACGATAAATGGAGCACCGTAGCGAGAAGCGGTTCCCCTCCACCGGTCCCTCCGGCCACTTCAACAAGTGCCACAAACACCATCGTGAAAGCACAGACTAATAAAACTGGAAAAGATCAGAGTGATATTCTTCTTGGTATCGGTTCACAGTTTCCAGCCATTGGTATGTCTTACCGGTTATGTGGTATCATTTGATCCAGACAGCGGCTTACTTTGGTGGTTCCATATTAGATGATGCTATCCAGCATATGGACCTCCATCCTAATCTGTGAGGCTTTTGTTCCTCTCCTGTTATATAAACAAGCACGTCGTGCAAATTGAGATATTTCTAGGAGAATGTGCAGTACTCAGTTTTTGTATCCTTGTAGGAGGACGAGAGTTATCATACTTGATTCAGTGTTACAAGAAGAGATGAATCTCTGGCATATATGTATCGTTATTTTCTGCTTATGATGTGTTTGGTTGTGTTGGATGGATTGAAGGCCAATGGAAGAGATATCCGACAGCATGACAGAAGCGGGCGTTGGAGATTCTTCCATGGAAGATACAATATCTTAATCTTCTTTTACCATTCGACTCCCACTGCCCACTAAATTGTTTATTTCCTCCGGAACCCCCAATACTTAGCTGTTCTTCTAAGGTGCACTGTCAAGGCATTGACTGACGAAAGTCAGAATAGTGATAGGAATATGAAATAAAAGACAGCAAGACACAACATCCAAGGACTCAGATTTCCTCTTCGAAATAGTGAAAACCATTTGGGTGTTTGATGCATTGTCTTTCGAGAATCAGAGCCAGCTAAATTTAAGCCATGGTCGAGTCAGATAGGATTGGTGAAGTAGTTCAAGAAATGAGTGAATGCCATCCTGCCACATCCGTGCCGGCATAGAATATTTTAATGCCGGGCGCCGTAGTGAGGGTGTGCAGTAGGATGCTAGCTGGCTAGAAAAAAATCGTGGTGTTTATGAAGAAGAGTTCTATGAAGATCTGTTAGTACCGTTCCTGCTCAGTGTAATTGTAATTAATCTCGATAAACTTAGTTTTAACTAAAACAAAGTCCACCATATACTTCTAAACTTCATCGATTGTGCGCTCTGGATCGAATTAAAGCGGCGCTTCGCTTTGGTTCATTTTATGCAATGCCATCTCGGCGGAGGCATCAGGCTCGCAAGGATCTTTTCCTTCTTTTTTCCTTGAGACCCTTGCAAAAGGATGGGAAAATGTTTCAGCTATCCTCCGAGATTTTACGCAGCCGATAGCAGAATTAATAAATGGTAGTCATCTAGCAAAGATTCTGTGGGTTTATATGCTATATATTTGACTCTTGAATACGGCGATATCTGGTAACAGTGAGAATGAATATTTGTTGTTCTATTAGCTATGAACGATAAGCTCTAGCTTCCGCAGACATGGCTTCTATAACACAAGCATTGTTATTTCCTCTATTGATTGATGGAATCGTTTTATCCTCATCCCCATCCTTATCCTCATTGCGACGAGGAACAGGGGAAACGGGAGGAATTTTGATCTTGGAGTAGAGGCTAGAGCGGGAAGTAATGTGCAGCATGCGACAAAGCCCAGAGCTAGGCGAATAACGCACATATTGGAGCTAGGGTAATATTCAGAACTATATGTAGGTTAATAAAAAGAGGTAGGGTAAATTTCAGTATTAACTTAATATCCACAGCTACAGTTCAATGCTCTCTCGTTTCTTTGGATTATGGTGTAGGCTGATCTTGAAAGGAGCCAATCTGTGCACCGGGAACCGGCATATAGAGGAAAAATGCAGTTCCCTAGGGCCAATTTAGAGGTGCATGAACCTACATGTATTCTGAGTGCTCAAGCTGCTGCTGTCGTTATTATAGGCAATTGAGGCGGTCTAGACGAAACACTTGCGTGCTTGGTTAACACTAACCCAGATCTGGGTAGATATCGCAGGCTATTGAGGACGACGATATTCGAGACTCAGAGATGCAAACCTTCAATGTTCTTTATATGTCAAGTCGCAAATCCTGTATACAACTCTTCTAAATTCAAGGTTCCTCGTCCCTAGGTATGTTAAAGAATTACGAGGTCCACTTTTGTGCCTCTGACTTCAATGTTCATTGCCAGGGTCCAAGTCAAGGGCGGCCCCCAAAAATTAATGTTGGTCGGTAAAAGTGTCATCAATCCTAGTAATATAGAAGTAGTTCGTGCATGGATCGGATTCCTCTTGGTCATGAATACCGCTGCAGCTGTTATTGTGCAGGGATTATCCTTACACGCCAGGTCCTGCCGCGCTCTGTCATTTGAGCTCTGCGCGCAACGCACACGTCGACTGTGCACAGCCATGGACCTCGAGCCTGGCGTCACACCTCCGAGGCAAGCCCTCGGCGAGCCGCGATCTTATTCGCGCGAATCTCTGCTGCTGAGCACGTTTGGGGATCTAGTCCTGGTGAGACCGGGATGGCCCATAAACTCCACCGTGGTCGGCATCGTGCCGATGTGCGCGGGTCTGTCAGAGACTCTTCACAGCGAATCATCTAGTGCACAAACAAGCTTAACGCACATCGAAACACACCAGCCTTCCTGCCCGCATCCCTTCCTCTTTACAAATAGCGGCTGTCTTATACACTGTGTACATATTCTTCCTGTTTACCTGTTAGTTCTACGGCATATGTACTTCCCTGGTCGAAGTCGATGACTTGAGGCAACCAGATGTTAAATATGTGGTTCGCCCTGCACCTGCTACCTTGCCCCTGACAGATAAATCTACATAAAGCCATGGAATTTACTCTCCGTCTTTTCTTTCAGTTCTATAGACTCTCCAGCACCGGACTCTAACAACTTCTTCCCATAAGTGGCTTTCAATTTGTCGCTCTCAAAGAGTGTCTACATCTCTCCATTTCCCCCGTTTACCATCACATTATGAAGAACTCTAGTGCTGCCATCCCCAAGCCCGAGTAAGCCACTCTTTACTTCTGTTAAATATCATCAAGTCTTTTGTTATTACAAAATTTCCAAGCTTGCTTTACCCTCATCCCGCTTTGAGGCCGATTCAAACGCAGTGCTGCAATTACCGGCCTCGGACTCTTGCGCGTGAGAGTCGCAAAACTGGTTTACTCCTACTGCTCCAGCTACAACTTGCATTTTATTCTGAGTCAATGTTCCTGTTTTGTCAGAGCACACTGTCGTCGCGTTGCCCATGACTTCACAAGGCTTTAGGTGCCGAACTAGGTTGGCATCTCTCAGCATGCGAGTAGTAGTAAAAGCAAGGTCCAACGTGACAGCAGGAGGAAGACCTTCGAGAACGGCAACCGCGTATAACACTCTTCTTGCATGACTAACTTCCCTTTTTAATCTTCTTAGGACGGTGTCAGGCACATGGAGCACCAAGGCAAGAAGTGGATCTCCTCAGCCGATGCTCAAAACAGGCGATGCTCTCAACAATAAGATGCCAAAGGATAATAGCAACGCTATCACTCAAAGGGATGCGCTCTATGGTATTGGTGCGCAATTTTCTGGCATCAGTATGTTGTCAGGTCCAAACAGTATCTCACTTAGAGGGGCTTGGCTAACTTATTGTTTCTATAACAGATAGCTCGGTCAAAAACATGGACACCCACCCAAATCTTTAAGGCTACCATATTCCCATTTACACAACATGCATTAGTGCGATGCTCTTTCTTGGATATCCAAGCGGCGAATTTCGTGATGTAACTTATAATGTTATTGGAATGGTGCCACCATCATTGTTTACTTAGCAGGTTAAGATCTACAAGCCTTTCAATTCAAGCCAATTTCATCATGTATATAGCTGCTTTTTAGCCGCAAGACGCCACGATGGCTACAAATCACTAGTCGCGCGTGTCATCATTGCCTTCTTCTCTTTAGTCGAATCTTGCAAGCTCGTTTGGCCTCAAACCACACGTGCTTCTATAGCCTACCCCCTCATAAACTCTATTGTATATCTACGCTGTGGAATATTTCCCTCTTTTCCGTACTATTTCTGATTGCGATTCCAAGATATATAGTCGGTGTCTTCGGGCAGGTAAATACGCTTCATCGTTTGCTCCTAGGACTTGAAATTTTACTATGTTCTATTTCGGAAAACTATCACAGAAAAAGATAAAGCCGAAGAAAGACTAGTGCAAATGCTACTAACAACACGGAGCTTATTGGAATTCTGCAAATTGAAGAAGCTGACCACAGGCCCCCAGACCTGAAGCAGAGACTTTGCTCACTGACAGTGCGACCTTTTGACGTCGGTGCTGACGAGATTCCCCTTGCAGAGCCGTTATGCTCGCGAAGATAAAGTTCAAGAATATCATCTGGGTGAGACCGGCTCTCCTCCCAGTATTGTACCACAGGTGTTAGTGGCTAACATTTGGCGTCCGACGGCCAGCGATCCAGGAGCAAATACTACTATTCTGGCCCACTTTCACTACTGCAACAAGGTTGAGACGTCAGGTCAGTGCAGGGGTCACAGGTCAGTTGAGCTTACGCCTCAACAAGGGTATCATGCCCCTTCTCGGAAGAGTGTGAGGATCAAGATCTTCGGACGAATCCGGCCTACTATCACAACCAGTAATTCAACAGCACCTTTACAAAAGATCATCATATGGTGATCGCAGGCTTATCTCATCTTCAAGTTGGGCCAGCCACACCTGATAGACGCCGAGACGGCAACGGGAATGGCATGGATGACGAATGGCTTGCGAAAGCTGTCGGATGGCAGCAACAAAAACCCCCTTTCTCTTTTGCATACATGCAATGGACGAAACAATCCTTGCTCTCTGAAACGAGATTACCATTGGGCTATTCTAGTGACAAAATCCTGCTTGACGGCTGCTGCCAAAGCAGAAGGCTTCTTCTTTGTCTTTCCATCTACACCGAATACCGCTACACACTCAAGCACCCCGACGTTGTTTCGATACATATTCTTCTCCTGCCGTAACACTCACGCCAGATTTTTGGCTTAAATTGAAACAATTTAAAACTATTGGAGCTTGAATTATATGTAAATGGTGCTATCAGAAACATCTGTTACCTAAGGCTTATTACGCATGTGCGTTTATACGTAAGTGGTGGTTACGGCCATTTTTTTAGCCTTACGAATATATAGCTGTACGTATGATCTTTTATTTGGTTTCTTTTACCTATATACTGTAGAGTTAGTGTTTAGACTATTAAAGGTTACTTGGTATTTTCTGTACTTTATTTACACACATGCTAACAAAACTGCTATTTTCAGCTTGTACTGAACCATCTGCAAGTTTCGACATTAATAAGCCTCTAGAATACTTAATCGCGGCGTGATCTTCTGTGTTACGTGCACTACACCTCAATATCACCACCTGCACGATTCACAATTGTCGATCTGAATCCAGACCACTCCACTAGAATATCTTCTATCGTTTTGTGACAATACGACCACGTGGTTGAAGAGTTTTTCTTCACGTACCTTATAAATCATTATCAGCATCAAGGTAATTACGGTCATAAAAATTAGTATCCAATACGTCATTATAAATATACCTTGCTGCATTAGGCTTTCTCCATCCAGCATCAGCTTGTTGCTGTTTTGCAGTAAGCGCCGGCCGCGTTTGGTTGTTGCTCGCCATCTCGTTCTTATACAACATCTATTTTTATTCCTGATCCAGGAAATCTCTAGAGCTTCTTGCAATTAATCTTGCAAGGGAAGCGAGATATTAGACCAATTATTAGCAGATGTTTGAGGCCAACCGCGCTGGCTGTGAATATGACTGGATTACTTCAAGTTTGGCGGACCCTACGCACGAATGCTTGTACAAAACTATGTATTTACACGGGTATCTAGGTATGTACCTACGCATGTTTGTACATGTAGGTACCTATGTAAGCAATAGACACCAGCTAGAACGGTGTTATTCCCGCCCACGTCCTTTGGTGCCTTTATCGCGGACACTAATACTAGCCATAGTTTTTGTCTTTTTCTTCTCTTAACCTGATAGATAGGTGTTGGTAAGAAGTTAAGTCATGTAATGGCAGACTAGTAATGACTTAGCGAGTAACTCAAGTTATGCTTAAAATACCTTGTTTAGAGTCGTCCTCTTTGGTAGAAATTATTAGCAGCGGAATTTTTACGCCATTGTGACCCTTAGGTGATTACCCAATGTTTGGCCGTGTTATTTTACACCGGTATGCCTGTGGTCCCCTTTGGCGGATTAGCGGCAGGTGTACATATTGCGTGACATCGGTGGGAGAACCAGCACCTTATACGTATGTATTGCGACAAGCGTCGGATTTCTGAAAAAGTTGGTTCATACTATCTAAATAAGCAATTTGCAGAGTCGGCAGCGAGGTTACCGATAATCAATGAAATCGCAGAATTAGCAAATAACAGGTGCCTTATAAGGAGTAAGCTGGTCAGGCTTTTGGCTATAAATAGTAGTTCAATATACAGCGATTAAGTTCTGTATTCATTACCGCATTCTTCGATATGGATGGCATTTTTTCCTTTATCGATTATACTTATCGTCTGTTAAAGACAACTATGTTTTTTGTCACAATGGAAGGGGAAAAGAATTCTGTGCTTGATACTACGAGGCGGTACACTCGCCTGGAGCTTTCGTCGGGCGCTGTTCATCCTTTTCAGGTATATGGAACGGCATTCAAAGAGGACCGCACAGAGAACCTGACAGCTTTGGCTCTCGAAACGGGCTTCGTGGGACTAGATTCAGCCAACTATCCCACCGCTTATGAAGAAGGGCAAGTTGGGGAGGCTATTCAGAAGGCGCTACAATTGGGAGTGAAGAGAAGTGACCTCTTTGTAAACGCAGCCTCTCTTTTGTCAACTGGATGTCAAGAGAACGATAGGTGTTAATAGTTACGGTAGATTCAGACCAAATTCACGCCCGCGTGGGCTCACGCCCCAGGGAAGATCCCTTACGATACAGCACAGCCCTTGGAGGCTCAGGTCAAGGAATCAATCGAGCAATCGTTTCAGCTTTTAAAGATTGACTATATTGATGCTCTGTTTCTCCACGTGCCGTTTGATAATGACGAGGACAATCTTGTGGCTTGGCGGGTGATGGAAAGCTACGTGCCCACACGCATTGGAGTACTAGGTGTGTCCAATTTTGCCTTGCCAGCATTTCAGAAGCTGTACGAAGCTGCAGCGATCAAACCTGAAATTGTGCAAAATAGATTTCAAGAAGACAATGGGCACGACTACGAAATTCGCGAATTCTTACAGAAGAATGGTGTTATCTACCAAGGATTCTCTCTCTTGAAAGCAAACAGCGTTGCGCGCAATTCAGAGTTGGTGCAACGAGTGGCGACGCATTTCAAGGTTGCCAAAGAGGTTGCCTTCTATCTGCTATTCTTGGGTCTGGGCAAGGTTGCTATTGTCAATGGAACCACAAGCAAGGAGCACATGCGCGTGGATCTAGATAAGATCACGAGTGTACTAGAGGACAAACAGACGCTGCACGATCTTGTCGGGTATCAGAAAGAATTCGAAAAGCTTCTGCTCCAGGATGTCCAATAACTCATGGCCTTCGCAACCCAGCGCACATAGTACAAATCAAGCATTTTTTTTCATCAGCCCTGCTGTCTGCTGCATCAATTAAGATAGGGTTTCTCGTGGCGGCCGAGATTCAATGATTGCATACAACGCGCCCGAAGTGGAGGAAGCCGTAATTTGAAAGGAATGTGCAGAATATATTACAGACGCATTAGGCTGAATAGTTACATGTACCTTATGCCAGCGAACGGGACATATAAGTACAGAGTACATGTATGTACTTGATCCCAAATAAGCATAAGCAAAAAAAGTTGCGACGGGTGGCTTTGTTGATGGGAAGCGTGGATGGATCAGCTGAACACGTCCTGCGCCAGCTCAGTGGACGAGGAGGTCACGGTACGAATAAGCCAAGATGGCATGAATACATGTACCTATACATCGCTTGCATATTATGTGCTGTAAAGCAATCGACAAGATGGCTTCACCTATCATTTCTCCTAGCCATTGGCAACCCGCGTTGTTTCTTTCTTCCATAAATCTATTTCATCTGGTGCAAACCGATATGAGCGTTTCCAAGATCAAACACACTTGCTTCTACCCGTTGTTCGTGGTCTTACAGCGATTTTATCAATAAAATACTTCTTTAACTTCATTTATCCTCCCTCAATCATGCTCAAGCCAGTCTATGAGGTAAATACCGCATCGATCCTCAGGTTTGCTACTGAATCGCGAGAAATTTGCAACTCAGCGACTAACAATCCTGTTAAAATTTGTTAGGCAGTCATCCGAACCGGCTCGGTTCCGGTCCTCATCTTTCTCGTTACGTTCGGCATGACCCTGTTTGAAACAGCACGCGTACCGATCCTCGAAGAAGCCGTCTGTCGCAGCCTGGCAGTCGATGATTGCCGCCACGACCGCACTGCCCAAGCCCGGCTGGCCAGCATTAACGGGTGGATAGATTTTGCAACCGCAGTTCAAGGTAAGGTTTGCATATACTTAGGCGATATGTGTTATCTCTAAGCGACAAATGGAGAGTAGCAAGTGTTTGCATAGAATGGGAAAATACACTGATTGTACGGAAAGGCTAACAAAGTCCAGGCATCCTACTAGTACTGCCTTACGCCTGGCTTGCAGAACAAATGAACAAACACCAGCTCCTGCTCATCGGATTTACCACATCAATCCTCTCGATGGCCTATTTCTTGGTTATTAGTATGAAACCGGTTTCCATTTTCTGCCCACCCGTTGATCATTGTCAACCTCTTCTAAAGATGAGATACTCCTAAGCAGGCCGTTTTGCCGATTCATTTGCGATACCTCTAAACTTGATAATTCTCTTTCGAATCACTGAAGTGGTGGGTGGGGGTATCTCGGTGGCTTATGTCCTCTTGAATTCCCTTCTGGTTTCTCATACGACCAATGAAACACGGTATGTAAAATCCGCCCCCTCTCTATCTTGGCTCTCCATCCTGCTGAAACGTGTGGGTTTTCTCTTAAGGGCCTCTGTCTTCTATATCACCTCGATGATGCTGGTTTTAGCTCGAGCCGGAAGCACTGCTCTATGCGGTGTACTTCTTGATGGTTTCGCTACTGCCATTATCCCGGTGGCCATTTCTATTTATGCCATCAGCATAGCCATTATGGCTCGTTCATGTATTCATTGCGCTCAAAAAAGGGGGCGTAGAGATTATGCAGATGGAAGTTGCCAGGGTCTACTGGACGACAACAACGAGAACGATGAGGATGCTAACAATAATAACGGCGGTAGTATTCGCCTTGCGAAACAAACTCGTTATACTAAGGCGATGTTTCCATTGGCGGCATACAAAGAAATGATCGGACAAGGTGTTATTGCCTGGGGTCTGCTCTTCTACTTTTTCAAGGTTGTCGCAGTTGATACCCAATTCATCCAAACACAGTGGGTTGTTAGACGTTTTGCGTGGAACTTCTCAGCTGCCGCCTACATTTATGCCTACACAGCACTATTTTGTTTGCTCGTACTCGCTGGTCTCCCGTTCTTGTCTTCTTACCTTATCCGGAGGTATAATGGCAACACACAAAGGATGGAGATTACGATCCTTCGCCTCAGTATCGCTTCTCATGCCATCGGATCTTTAGCCATGGGTCTCGCACCAAGCCGTGCCTTATACATCGCTGCCGTATCATTCTCGGCGCTTTCAGTCGGCGCCATAGATACATTCAAGTCTTTTCTTAGTGGATTCTGCTCTCCGGACCAGATCACCGAGCTATACGCCACCTTCAGTCTTGTGGAAACGGCCACCCACGTTGTTGCTAGCCGTATGTGGACAGCCATATTGATTGCATCTTTCGATCTCAACGGAATAGCTATGGGACTCCCTTTCCTTGTAAGCGCTGGCATTAGCGCTATTGCATTTTGCTTGATTTGGTCCATGGCGAGATACACAAAACCCATGAGCTCTTATGCCCTGATTCACACTATCTAGGTACAGGTCGTTAAGTAGGCTTGTCAATAGCGAAGATGCATTTTGCTAGGAAAAACAGTTGGATTAAATGACGAATGATGTGCTACAAAATGCATTACAATAGTAAATAAATAGTGTGTTCTACCACAAATCTATCTCATTGTATGAAACAGGGCATTTGCTGTGGGCTAGAGTGTAAGCAAGTCATGGGCAATGCCTTTTCCTGCTCTGGCTCCCCTGATACTCGTGATATAAGTATTGCTAACAGTACAAGTATAACAAGTTATATAAATTTATTATAGAAACTCAAAATTACACTGGAGAGCATCTGTTGTCCAAGGCTCTTAATCCCTATGCGACAAACCCGTAGGGAAGTAACGCCACACAATGGTAACGACGGCTGAAATCACTCCAGCAGTTAATACCAAAGGCACCCAAATCCATTTATCTTCTAAATTCTCATGCGTGAATGGCCAGTCATATAACAACTTTTGCTGCTCTATATCCAATGTGCCAATGCAAGGTTGTACCGGATTTGGGCTGCAGGTCCCGTCGCCGAAGTCCAAGAGCCAATAATCTCGTACTGTGCCTCGCCCACTCAAGTAGGCATTCAATTGCCGGTCTGAACAGAAAGAGAGAGCCAACACATAGCACATGCCCTGCTCTTCCTTACTGTCTATGGGTAACCTGTTCTTGATATGCCAGGTCGACGTGGGTCCTTGGGTGCTATAGATAGACTTCTCCTCCTCTTGGTGGCGCAGCGGAATAAGTCCTGTCGCAGTATCTGTGCCTGTCAAGGTTCGATTGAATAGCGTGAAACCCACCGATGGCCAGTCTGTGTTGATGGTATGGCTTGAGTCCAGAACTCTGGTAAAGGAAAGGTTACCGTGCTGACGTACATACGCAGAGGCAATGCCATTTCCGCCGCGGTCACGCTCATTAGTATCCATAGGAGGGAAACACACGGCCTGATATCCTGCGTCTTGAAATGCTTGGATGTTTTTGTGAGGGATGGAGCGCGACAAAGCTTCACCACCGAGCCCTATCAAGCATAGATTTCCTCAAGTCAGCGTTGATGCGGTCAATCGATATGTGCCGCTCCGGTATCGAGTGAGGCCAAAGTTCAACTCACAATTACAGGCATAATCTCGATCTCCGTAGGCGAGAGTAATGTGTACGCCATTGTCTAATGCCCGACCTAGTGATTCCAAGTAATACCTATGAAGATTGTCACCTGTACGAGAAAATGCTTTGGCAACTTGGATGGCCTCGTCGGTGAAGTTAACTGGAACACCCAATGCTGCCTGTACGTGCCCCTGCTTCAAATAGCCAATATATGTGTATAGACCAGGATCTGTGAGGTAATGAGTCCTGTGTCCAATGTCAAAGAAGCTTGCCCCGCTGGCGCCAATTAGATTAGCGACATTTTTCCCGCAAAAGGTATTCGCATCATGACATAGAGTGTTGATAGAAGCATTATCCCCTAGATATGGTGATGAGCCCAGCGCTTTACGACAAGCTTGTATGCGCGACTTGCAGCCAAGTGGCTCATCCCATGAAGATTTGGTAGCCATATAAGTGCTTTTGTTGATAAGTTGAAGCCCATACGTATTATTGTAGGCCATTTCTGGATATGCTGGTAGCTGTACCAAGGCGTCAACACATGCATTCATTAGTCCTATGGTTCTGAAGCTTATTCTCGGCCCAGACACACCCAGGGCATTCTGTGCCATGGTGAAGTCATAAAGGGCTGGCGCAAAATGACCACCATAAGAAGCCGTCCAAAGCTCAACTTCGTTGCTGGGTGATCTGAACTCTGGAAAATCCTGGAGCCATATCGAAAGTGAAAGCCAGACTGCGCGAACCGCTGCCTCTGTTGTGTTGACTGCTGTATCCGTTTCCATGGTACCTATACCCACGGTACCTACTTGCATCAGGCGTCCTGTGCTGTCGTGAGCTACGGATGTCCCTGCGGCCGGAAAGGCAAGGAGGGTTGCGTTACCGCGAAAATCAACGGTAGCATTCGCGGCAATGTCATAGCTGAACCCTGAAATGTATTGTAAGTCATATTGTGCCCTTTGTGAAACATACAGTACGAAGCCGAACCTGTGTTTACTGGTTGGTCTATATACAGCATATTAGACACTCGGTTCCATGACCAGGGATTCGTGCGAGTGCTTCTGCCGTTGGCTTTGACTTGACAAGGTCCAGTTTCCCGCAGTAGAGAAGAAGCTACATATCTATGATATAAATTCACGTACACCAAACCAATAATCAAGAGAAATAGCTAGGAATACATACTGCTTGGAGTCTAAAAGATGATTCAAGATTTAGATAAACACGAACATATACGAGTAAGGAAAGAAACAACTTGGGTAAGAATGTATACTTACACCAGGACCACCGTTCACTATTGTATAGTGAGCTCTGCTCTGAAAGAGAGAAAGATGCAAAATCTATGAAGAACTTACGGTATAGAGTAAGTGGTGCCTTTTCCGGGGCATCTTGACTCTCAATAAACCAGAAGAAGATATTAATCGGTTTGCTCTGATCCAAGCCAACTTTACGCAATGAGTTTGATGGAAGATGTATGTATCCAGCAAAGCTTCTTGCTGTAGATGATGAAGCGCACATTTCTACTTGCTTGAACTGTATATGTGCCTCAGTGAGCATAGTAGAATCTACGGTGATAACATCTGTAGGTCTATATTCTAAAAATCAACATTGAGATTAATTTATGTATAGGGCACATACGTAGCTGGGAACTGAGCCGCAGTTTTAGCAATCAACACAAATAGCGGCATGCAGGGCCACAGTGTAATATCGTTTCGGAATAACATCTGGTGAGGAAAGGTTGCCACTCCCCATTTGCTGCGCAATTGGTTTAGACTCTGTCGGAGAAGGAAAGCGACCGCTTGACGCTGGAGTCACCTTGACTATTGATCATCTGCAAAGCTCAGTTCATTGACGGAGTGAAGATGGCAGCACATTGCCTGTGCCAATACACTTGCCGAAACTACATGTGGATTACAGCTAACTACCAGTGACCTCAACTACCTGTGTAACCTCTTGCGGTATCATCCTTGGGCTGATTATGTGCAGCAGCACCGCCAACCATATGCATCCATTGTTTTTAGCACCCATAAAGATTCCCCGCAGCCACGCGCTCCCTGTCGATTATTCGCTTACACGCCCTCCCGAGCTAGTACCATACTTGTACCTCGCTGATTATGTACATGTATTTGTTTTGATCTATCATTGTGCATGGCGGAGATCAGAAAGTCTAGGGTGATTTGCCTGGGGCAAAAGGTCCGTCACGCTTCTCAAACTGCATAGAGTTTTTCAGAATCACCTTAGCGTTCTAGTTGAAATCTAGTGAATAACAGCAAATCTATGGCATTCTTGTTTATCGATCTCTCCACTATAGCAATAAAAACACTGGACTGCGTCCCTGTAAGTTATCACCACATCAAAGATCAGAAACATATAGGATTATTATTAATGCTGAGTGCAATTATCACAGATCTTCATTTTAAACAAGTATAAGCGAATTATGTTTGGTGCTTTGAGACAATTCCACTGGCGTGAACATGATGAGCCTTACCATCAGATCCCGCTTGAAGAAGAGGATGAGAAAGAGCACGGTCCTTTTCTGAAGCAGCAAGCAAAGCTGCCAGTTAGGCTCTTCTGGTTACGCCATCTTCTGACGTTCATCCTTGGTCTGGCCGTGGGACTCACTGCAATCATTCCACTGCTGGTCTCCCAACATGCGGCATCGCATCTACGAGGGAAACGACTGAGTACCGCAATTCCGTCTACCGTTTTTTCGCCGAAGATTCCCACATCTTGGGTGCCAGATGATCGATACGTCGGCTTTTCCGAGTTCAGCAACGCCATGTGGCATCGTCTTGTGAAAAGTGGGTTACTTTTGCCGCTGTTGTTTTACTTCCCAATCTCTCAAGTTTTCGTCGCTTTCTTTATTTCCGCTAATCCTGCGGCTACTGACGGAATTCTTAGCATCGGAAAGTGTCTGGATCGGCAACCCAGCAAAATATGGATTAGGAGCGGGTTTTGAAGCGCAATTCAATCACTCGTCGAAATCACAACTTCCGCCAAAGTTCTACCATATCTCTAATCTTCATCAACTGCACTGCCTAGTAAGATTCACATGTTTGGGCAACTCCACATTATTGCTTCACTCCTAACACGGGCACCTTTGCAGAATATTATCCGTGGACGCTACTTTGAGCTGTATCTCGATCTTCCCTCGCTATCTAAGCAATCAGAAGTTGCAGCTCATGATACAGCGTATCACATGGACCACTGCATCGAGTATCTACGTATGACCATCATGTGTGGTGGGAGCTGGGATGTCGAGTCGAGCAGCCCCCCTGGCACGCCCTCAGAATTGCGAAAAGATCCATTCGGTCACCCTATCGGTTGGGGAGGTATTCGAAATTGTGTTAACTGGGATGCTCTCATGACATGGCAAAAGCAACAATTGGAAGCATACAAGGACACATGGCCTTTCTGAGGCTTAGAGGTCGCTTTAAAATGGTGATTGTCGAGAAATCTTCAAGTAAACGCAACAATATTGTAGGGGGCAATCAATTAGTTAATATGCTAGAGGATAAAAACCACTATGACCCAAAGAAAGTCTGTCGCGGCTCATAGCCAAGTTGCAATCCAAAAGGAGGCTGGACACAATGTTTTTCTTGATATTCCATGCTTATCTGGCTACTGAATAATCATCGCAATTTATCTTTCAAGTAATAAAAAATGATGGTAAAAATCTCCATACTCGTTGTTGCACCCCATTACTAAACTCCACGTCTGGTCATACACATACATTCCCCTAATTATCCAGCGTGCTGGCTAGCCCATTCATGAAGTTGCCAAAAGTCTGTGCACATATGTAATTGTCCATCAGCAAAATCATCTGGCTCATTTAACCACATCAAGGTCGTATCCATATTACACATCAAAGTCTGCCGCAACATGTCTAGGCAGTGGACAAGATGGGTCCATGGCGCTACCTGTTTTGTATGTCCCAGGCGATAATGGAAGAGGGCGGTGCGTAGAACGGACTACAATATGACAAAAAAGAATCCCACGTCAGCTGTATGAATAAACATGCGAGAGATTATGGGAACCTAGGTTTGTGATAAAACTGTTAAGAAAACATACCACACAGTGCAGAGTATGAAATCCGGCAATGATGTACAGGGCATTCCCATCAATCAGGGGATCTGCTGCTGTATCATGTAGCCCGTGTTCCCGAGCCTCCGATATGTTTAGAGATATGACACCATTCCCATCTACTCGTCGTTCATGTTAGCATCTAAGAGGTAGCTTAATCCTAGCTACGCATCATATAGGAACGCTGGGGTAGCGTGCCTCTCAAGACTGCTCGACTGCACTTACTCGGAAATAAACCCTTCCATAGGCCGTCTGCTCGTTCTTTGTTGTTTCCATCCTCGTTAAATTCGGTATCCTGGTAAATAGGCTGCATTATGGTTCGAGAGGGTGGATCTAATATTTGTGAGAAACGTTTGCCCTATATCATTGAAGACACATTTATAACACACATGTATCGACACTTTGTGCTTGTGTTAAGACCGGAGTTGAGATCGATGTTGAGACTGACGTCAAAATTGAGGTTGCATGCCATGCCCAAATAATGTTTGTAACCACAAGTAGAAATGAAAGCAAACAAATAACCCATTTGAAATGATTCGCTGAATTTGGTGCAGTCGAGTATATTACTGTGTCGTCGGTTGAGCTACCATCGATGGATGCTTTTGAAGGAACTGAATGATAGGGTGATTCCTCTTTCCGACTCATATTAACCAACTTTTCCATCTGCCGTAAGATGGGCTTAAACATCACGCAATATCTCTTGCCCTCTTTATGCTGGTGTTAACTGATCGTCGTTATTATCTTAGACAGTAGTCCACGTGCATGTACCATGAGGATGGAAGTAGGTATGGAGCTCTTCCAAAACGCACTACATCCAGATTGAGGCAATGGTGCTGCACCTAGAAGTTTTGGAAGAGAGATTGCAAAACTCTCCTATGACCTTGGTTACTGCCCGTTGACTGACTTCTTCGGACAATATGGGGAGTCTGGGAAGAATCCGGGTTGCGGGGTGATGGAATTCTCTGAGCAAACTATTTCCCTCTCTACGCTATACACCCTTCTGCTTGTGAAATATTGCTTACTGTAAGGTAATTGACTGCCATGGTAAGCTGTCTATTTGGCATCGAAGTTACTTGATCACCATCAGTTGACCTGATCACACACCTCTAGAATCGGCAGGAATTACCATACAGGGTCATTTCCTAAATCGACTGTAGCCACTATAGTAATGTTGCGTGAGTAGCTATGCAAATCACATAACTGAGCATAATCACTTCTAGGATTATAATTCTCAACGCCGTGTTGTAAGCATATCTCGCACTGAGGAGACACAGCTTTTGGCGCATGGTCGATGATATCTTTTATATCTCATCTTCAAGTTCAATGTTGATATCTGGAGTCGCTTCGCTGCATCGCACCCTCGCAGCTCAGACTTGTTAGTCCGCCGGCAAACACTTTTCACTGTTTACAAACTCTTTTTGTCAAACGCCTCAACATCACAAAATGAAGCTCACATTCGTCGTTTACATCGCCTCCCTTGTCGCTTCTGTTTCTGGTGCACCCGGTACGTAAACACCGTATACCTTCAGCTAAAGTCCTTACCCCAGAGAAAAACACAGAAGGGAAACCGCGAATAGACAACGTTGCCGCTAATCAGTACTGCAGTGAGCACTGAGGAGGTTGATGCTGGTCTCTTCACTTCTCTGGATGGCGTTTGGAATAGCTACGGCTACGATGAGAAAAAGAGGCGTGATCTCATAAAGAAAGGTACTACTGAGGAGGTCGACGCCGGTCTCTTCACTTCTCTCGATGGTGTTTGGAATAGCTACGGCTATGATGAGAAGAAGCGACGTGAGATTATGAAGAAGCGCCGTGAGGCTATGAAGAGGGGTACCACTGAGGAGGTCGATGCTGGTCTCTTCACTTCTCTGGACGGCGTTTGGAATAGCTACGGCTATGATGAGAAGAAATAAGCAGTTTAAAGCTGAGGCCATCATTAAATTGGCCACACGCCCTCTCCTGCACGTGTGGGAGGACAGACAGAATGGAGGCGAAGCCTGCGGGAACAGAGAATGATAGTCGCTAGCTTTCAAACGATGTCATATCACGCTTTCCAATGCTTTCCCATGAGCCTATGAAGGTGCCGTGGGAGGTTGAAAAGGTCGAAGATAGCTGGATCCAGCGAAATTCAATTGGTATTATTTCTATAATGTTTCATTATTACTCTATTAAACGTGAGATATTGCACGATGAGTAAATCTCTGGGATTCTAGCCAATTAGAAAGTTATGAATTGAATACACATCTATTGTTCGTCGAAATTCTCCTGCTGTATGAGTCCTGGCAATCTGACTTGATGCAATTAGCTATGCCAAAGCTTTTTATTGTTATTTGATCTGCCATGTGATTGCTTTGCACTTGAAGCAGTACGACCAGTCAGCTTTACCAAGTTACAAATAGCTTTAGATATTTACTATACGATATCCTTAAAAGCCACTCTAGATACTATTGTGCGCCATAACAGACACAATTCCGCTAACACCAAAACCTTACAATGTACATCTCTCTTCACTACCGAACAAGAGTGTATCTAAAGACATGGGATGCGCTCGATTGCACTTGAAGTGATATAAATTAGGCCCTGGAGTCATTTGTCGCTGTTTTTTAACACTGAAATTGATTGGATTGGGTTTTTACGCTGCTTGGTACCAGGGAGTTTGGTGTTCATAGGTTCCTGTCTGCTCTGCATTGATTACGAGGACCTACAGTGTAAATTGTGGACGTAAATAAAATACTACAGTAAGATATGCACTGAGGGCAGGTCCCGCCAAGTATGTGATAGAGACAACAGAATGACCACCTTCATCTTTCTCCATACATCGCAGATTACCTTGCGGATTATGCAGGTAGCTATTACAGTATAAAGATGGGCTTTTGATTACATTGAACCCTGGAGGTCATAGATGAAAAATTGTGTCCCAAGCAATATTGCTCCACCCGCCCGACCGGAAAGATGCAAAAGTCTGTTATCATGCAGGACGACCTATAAGCATAAGCAAGTACTTCACACGCACTTTGTAAGTATGCGATTATGTTCAATTGCAGATCACTTTGATCAAACATACTATGCGACGCAATTCATCTCTAGGTTCTGCGTCCTATTCCGCCCTTCAGATTATCACACAACTCTGCGAGCATCAACTTGCATCAATGCATAGACCATTCAAGTGACAAATTCCGCATTTATCTAAGCGATAACCAGCCCAATACTCCCGAAAATATTGTACCATACCAGTGGAGCTTTCATTTTACATATCCCCGGGCCAATTTTTATCGGTGCTGTAATTGCTCGGCTCTTTGATTATGTAGTGTACATAAATAGACTGGCCTGCTCGGTATTTATCTTCAAATAGCATTGGCCAATGCTTACAGTGGGTCAGCAAAAGTCAAGACAACCCCACAGTATACACCAAAAAACAGCATATATAAACAGAAAATTAGCTGTAATAATAATAAAAAATATATATAATAAATAAAAATATCTATAATTATATATAAAAAGATTTATATAATATTTTTATTTTATATTTTTTATAAATATACTGCTGAAAATAGCGGCTTAAAGTTTACGTATTTTTATTTTATTATTTACACTATAGCTAGTGTATTTATAGTAACACTTTAGTGCCTTTATAGTGGAAAATACAGTGCTAACATTAAGTAAAAATTTATATATTTTACTTTTTAATTCTTTTAAAAATCTATAATAACAATAAATAAAAAATAAACCTTTATATAAAAACTTTTTCTATTAAAAAACCTATAAATCTAATTTTATTTAATTTTATTTATATTTATAAGCATTATAAAGGAGTGACAGTTACTGATTTTGTTAAGCAATAGCTGGTGTACTGTGGGGCTCGTCGTGACTTTTGCGTCCCCACTGTATGTATGTAGCAGAACGACTGCATACATCTTCTTGACCTGTAAAACTGCACTTGCCCTCCCACCATAGTGGTCACCCGTAGTCCTCCTTTTTTTTTTCTCCCGCTGTGTAATCTTTTAGAGCCCATTTGCACCCCATACCTCTCTATCCAGTCCTTTGTTTTGTACACTTGGTCATGGCTTTTGCTGCTGCTGGTGCTCAGCTCAAGGGTATGCTCAAGAGAGTAAGACTAAGCCAGTCCACAACTTCAAAGCTTTTCAACCAAGGGTACAAAGTTGTTGATAGCGACGGTGATGATGAGCAAGACAAGGAAGCAAGCTTATTGAAGGCTTGCACTGAATGTCCGCATTGCAATAGGCAGCTTGAGACCGCTGTGACCCGGCGGCGAGGTGGCGCCAACGCGTATCTTACTTACAGCGGATGGGCTACTTCAATATTTCTCACCCTGGTGTTGACCTGGCTTGTCTGGTATCAAGATCATGGACTAAAAAGACAATGCTTTCGTGAATTATCTTCTCACTGTAAGTCATGGCTATCTACTTCTTGCGTTTCCGAATCTTAGGTACTCAGTTCCAGCTAACTTAACTCTTCTTCCTCTGCCACAAATAGCCCCGCTATTGCAAGAAGTTCCAGATACCTTGACTGAGACCATACGTAATGGCTCTATTCGATGGCCCTCTCCATACAGAGGGCCGCCCAGTCCTGATGTAGATCGGGCGTGGGATAGAATTTCCATGTGTAAGTTCAAATGTAGAGAATGGGCGAAAGGAAACTATGAAAGGAAGTTATAAGAACTACTTGTGGCTGATTCATGCCTGGGCAATCATTCAGTTCGCCCACTGAATATTCATCTAACGGACGAAGAATATCTCAGGATTGGCAAGAATCCTGAAACAGCAGCTCGGAACTCTATCGAGTATGGAGGCGGCTATTTTCTGCAGCCGGAATTTTCACATCAAGTAAGAGATCCAAGATAATATGCCTCTTTCATGGTGGAAGTGATTCATAACTGACATGCGGAATTTGATGTCTGGATAGCTGCATTGCGTTGTAAGTAGGCCTCCTTTCTAATAACATGTGCGTCTCGAGTAGCATACTAATATTTGCTTTCACACATTAGAATCTTCTCCGGAAAGCATCTCACTTCAAGTACAGCTATTACAAACAACATGATCCAGACTTTAGAGACAAGCAAGAGACTTTTGAAGTACATTTTGGTAAGAGTATCCCCAAATTCTTCTGAGCCTCTGGTCTGGATTGGGCCAATAAATGAGAGGCAATGATTTCATGATCCCAATTTTGTCGTTCATCCTTTACCAGTGAGAAGAAACTGACTCTTTACAACAGATCACTGTGTAGAGATGCTACGGCAATTCGTCATGTGCCACGCCGACGTAGGACTTGTGACTGCACACTGGATCGAGCAGCGAGCTCGTCCGTGGCCTGATTTCAACACCAAGCAGATATGCCGCGATTTTGAAGGGATTTGGCAGTGGACAGTAGACCATCAGCTGCCCGAAGGGGCCCCTATGATGCCGCTGAAGCCCGACGGAGCCAAAGCTCTTACCTCACCACCATAGATTGTGAGAGAAAGGGGAAGGACATGGGGTCCAGGCCAATGTGCAGGTCCTTAAATTGATCATAGGCAGCATCTTAATTGCATTTTCATATCCTTAAAAACTCAATTAATTCGTTGTAATTGTCTGCACGTGAAGATAAGGCCCGTATTGGCACGGTGCCAGTTAAGCTAAGTGTATAATAAGCTATCATTATATACTATCCACACTTATAAAGAGACTGCGTTTAACTGTTGTACACTACATTAATAAACCTTCTTTCCTCAAGGAATTCCATGTTGACTGCTGTAATGCGCAGCTCTCAACCCCTCCAACCGGATTCGCTCCATGAGGCAGAGTTGGACGAGCAGGTTGGGGGTAGAGATTCTGATTGTGGATAAGGCGATTACTTCTTGTTGCATTTACTAGAGCGCGGTGTTGTAATGGTTCAATTCGCAAGGGAAATCATTAAATTTTTATCTTAGGTAGAAATGAATGTACCTACTTGTCAAATGCCTAACTACCTCCTTCTATGTAGATTGACTTGACACAATTGTTTCCTCCTTGCCGGCATACCTCAACGTCCATTCGCCCTTCCCGGACTCCTGCGCCATATCTGCCTCATATTTTGACTTCATAGCTGTAATGTTGCCTAGTATGCATCATCATCATCACCACCAGAACCAGGACTCTTGGGAGCACCGCCACCACCTCCCAAGGCCGTATCGTCTTCTTCAATAGGGCCATCCAAAATTCCAACAGGCCGCTCCAGGGTCTTGATATGCTCCGTGACGTTATGAGCTATACGCCATTCCTCAATCTTATGCCATTTCTGACAAGCGTGCATGCTCTTAAAACTAGCCTTGGGTCCAGGGTGCCCCCGTTTCCAATTGTACGTGATAACTGAGACATCGCCGAAACACATGACGGCATTGCGAAGCATTTCTACGCAGTGCACTAATGATTTTATCAACGTATGTTAATTATTATTTGTCACAGTACCCTGTATGCATTCCCATCCTTGGTTCCTCTCGGGGTTGTGGGGAGACTTACTCAGATGCTTCTCAGGCGGATCCTTATCAATAAAGAGAGGGTCATTTAGGGCTTTGTAATGCTTGTAATGGAACCAAAGACCCTTACGTAGAGAATCCTAAGGAATTCACGCGTGTTACCTTGCTGTGATGAACATGTGAAAGAGACTACCATAAGCAGGTATTCTTTGATTGTAGAGAATACTTACAACGCAGTGAATTTGGTGAGTGGATGCCAAAGTACCAAGATAACGGCCTTGAGGGTCGTGGGTAAATTTAACACCAGTGCTGGGACTGTCATTCACCTCTGAAAATTGCTCCTCGCTTAGAGGGAACATGGCTCCGGCTGTAACATGTCAGCACCTGGAATTGCGAAGAGAGTATTGTGAATAACAGACTGTTAACAAGGTTGTGCCACAGCTTGTCAGTTTCGGGCCCGGGATGTGCGTTATATGGCGATACCAAGCTGAAGGGGCGAAGCTCCTTTTCAACAGCATCCGTCGCCGGCGCTAGGCAAAGGAAAAGAGAGTCAGGTCAGCTATGCTCAATATTTGCAGAATATAGAAGGGATTGTCGAGGTGATGCTACTAACATGGCGGCAGCAAAGCGACTGTGGATGACATGCGAGGTGACTGGCTAAATAGCCGCCCCTTCTGCCAGAGGACAGTCAGGCCAACCACGAAGGCCAAGTTGATCATTGTCAAGAGAATGTTGGCAACTATCCAATGCTTCAGATCAAAACTGAAACCACAGGAACGCTTTTTCTGAGAACGACGGGTAGTGTGGTTCCCCATCATCTGAAGAAGAGATTCTTCTTCGGTGGGCTCGTCGCTGCTGATACTTGACTTCTCCGCATACTGAGGAGGGTCGGAAGAGGATTTTGGTGTGTCAGTATATACCATGGTAAACACGTAATACAGTGGTAAAGCCAATGGGGTTGAAATAGATACAATTTGCGCAAAAGTGTGAAATCAGGAAGAGGAGATTCGGGGAGTGTTGACACTATACTGTCAATGAAATGAAGATATGTCCTCAAGACGCACAGTGAGTGCAATCGACAAGATTACTAAAGTGATCCATATCTTGGTTGAGTGTGGTCCCGCTATCAGCTTCAGCATGTGATCATTAGAATCAATGAGGTTGGTAGCAAGGGGTCAGCAACACCAGAGGTATCATTCACGTTTCTGGTTGTATGATTAGATTACTACTCCTCATACTCAAAGCTCCACATGGCCTGGCATGGGCCATGGCTAATCAGAAATATGCAGTGATTACAATGTGCCTTTGGTGTATAGCTCTGTCTAGACTAAGTGATCATCCACCCACGGGTAAGCGTTTGTGAGTTGCTGACAGCCCTTACTGGTCGTAAATAGATACCAGATTGTACTACAGAAGCGCGTGCGCTAAGTGTTAAGCTCTCTCAGAGTTTGTCAATACCAATGATATCCCTTCATCACTGCTCTAAACTCCCAAACACCCAAGTCTTGCTTTTGTGAACACTTTTGCCCTTCTATCGTTGGAAAATTATTGCGTTATGTCATTTTCGCCCTTGAAGACTCGTCCGTCACACGACGAGAGTAGAGACGAAGAGGATGTCTATACGCCTCCTCGAAAACGAAACTTTCGCAAATTTCTCGGGTATGGTCTCCTTGCGACCCTGTTGCCCGGCTGGTTTGTAGCTCTTGATATCTACCGCCATCCCAGAGTGGTTGACCTGCCTGGACTTTCTTCTCCTCACCCCTTTCCTCCACAAATATTTGAACGAGTAAAGAAGATATTTGAGCCGGATGAGCGCTATATCGGGCCATCTAATCAGACCCACCACAATTGGGATCACTTGGTAGCCGGTGAGTTGGGATTTAGTCTCACCTTCATTTCAGCAGCACTGGATGTTGACTGTCTTCTTCTCTTTTTGAACAGGCCATGATGCGCTCTATATCGGGAACCCTAAAAAGTATGGGCTGATGGAGGGAATTGGTCCGCCATTTCATCATGAGAACATGGCACATCCTGTGCCGCGCAAATTCTATGTCGTGTCATTACTACATCAAATGCACTGTCTGGTAAGATGAAGGCTCCTTTTCTTCTTCCTCAGCTTCGAATTATCCCAGCAGCTCAAGGATCTAACGATTAATTGCACTACGACAGAACATTGTGCGCTTTCATTATTGGCAAGTTAAGCAGGGGCATCCGACTGTAAGCGAATATTCCGAGGCGAGCTGGGATGCCCACGTGGATCATTGTTTCGAGTATCTGAGACAGTCCATATCTTGTGGTGCTGGATTTTCTCTTGAAGGCCACTCACCTCTCATTGTAGAGGGAGAGGTTGGAGAGGCGTCTACGGTCACAGGCTGGGGTATCGAGCACAACTGCATCAACTTTGAAGTATTGCGGGCCTTTCAAATTGAGCAAGAGAGAGTGTACAATACTACTTGGCAAAGGTGATTTTAGTAGGTATTTCTGGATCTTGGCTAGATTGATACCTTCAATGGGAGATGGAAAGACACGCATGGGAGTACAGTTTAATTCACAACTAGGTACATAGGTACATGTATTCAGTTTCTTGTCCAAAAATGCATCACAACTTGCATGCACACATGGTACAAGTACATAGGTACCTAGGGTAATCTAGAGACTGCTACAGTGAAATATGCCTACAGGTACCTAGGTAAGCATAAAATGTAATTACATGTAATCTATCCAACCTAGTACATACCTAGATAGATGTGTTATTTTGTAGAGTTTGAGGACAGTTTACTTCTGCTTCGGTGTCAGCAGCTCTATCTCATGTTGATTACCTACATGTACCTATTATCAGTGGATATCTCTATCTCGCCAATGCAAATGCAGGATAAGCACGAATAGATTATGCGATGATGTGTAAGCAAAATCCTTTGGGGTGAAAGATACCACCTGTAGACATGTATTGATTGCTGTTGAGAACTTGTATCGCGACATCGACGGTACATGCGGCTGGCGAAGTACACGAGATAACAGCGACTGAAGGTCCTTCGGAGTATTAAATACACTACGATGCTTCCCGAATATATGCTGCACCACACATGCAGGAACATCATCCACACAACCCACTACCTTCCCAGTACATACCCCGCCTCTGGCACAGGTACAGCTTACTGCCCGCGGCAACGCTTGACCGCCTACGGACTAAGTAAGCACCTAATCACCCCCCCTAGGGAATTTTAGCGGCGGGTGTTGCAGGGGTTTCGCTTGAGCTTGTCCTGAGCTTGTCCAGGGCTCTGCTGCCTAAGGATCTGGAGGGGAGACAGCTTCACTTCGACTTGTTGGTCGATCACACTGACGCTCTGGCCCAGCGCATAGACGTCGTGCTGTTTCTTTGTCCAGCGCCATCAATCTCTGTCCATTCTCCTCGCCTCCTCACCTCCTCACCACCCGCTTCCGCATCGTCTACGCACCTTGGCGCTTGTCTATTGCAACTCCCGGGCAATCAGAGTGTGCACTCGTACACCCCGAATGCAATGGCGCCCCTCATCGATGAAGAGGAGACCACTCTGGTCCAACAGATCCTTGATCAGCTGGCTCAGACTCCATATGCCTGCTCGACTCTGACAAAACTGAGCGGTGGCACAGCCAACTTCCTCTATCGTGGCGCCCTTCTCAAGCCTCTTCCAGGAGATACAGCCACGACTGTCGTGATCAAACGTTCTACCGACTATGTTGCCATCAACCGCGACTTCCCACTCGATGTCACGCGCTGCATCTTTGAAGAGTCCATGCTCCATGGTTTGGATGGCTTTACCCAAACCATCAACACTCCCAGTGGCACTTCGGTGGTTGCGGCACCTCGATGCTACCTGTTTGACAGAGACACGCACACTCAAGTTCATCAAGACTTTCCTAGTACCATCGACCTGACTACCATCTTGCAATCCGCCAATGTTGATCAGATCTTGCCTGGGTCTAGCGGCCGATCTGTCGGATATGCTTTGGGCTCTTGGCTGCGTTTCTTCCACAACTGGACCTCAGAGCCAGCCCAGGCTGCGCTCCGGGAAAGGGTAGGGCCTAACAAGGGTATGCGCCAGTTGAAATGCCTCATCACCTACGACAGCTTCATCGAGATTCTTGAACGCCATCCTGAGACTATAGAGGGCCACAAAGAGACATTGAAAGCTGTCCAGAGTGCCATGAAATACGAGTTTGAGCGACCCCCGACTGAAGGAGAGGAGATCCGTGGACTTATTCATGGAGATTTCTGGGCTGGCAAGTAAGTTAAAGTGCCTTTCAACCACCTGCCATACAAAGCGAAACCTCGTCCTTGGTCAAAATCACATCTCTAATCATGGACCCAAAAACAGTGTTTTACTCCCAGATAGCCCATGGTACGACTCCCAAAGTTCAAACCAAGAGCCAAACAAGCTCTTCATCATTGACTGGGAGAATGCTCAGTTCGGCCACCGCGCTGTGGATATTGGTGGCATACTGGCCGATCTTTATGAACGAAAGCACTTTAAAAACGTCTCTACAAGTATTCCTATCATGCAAGGCTTCATGGAGGGCTATGGCCCACTCAGTGAAGAGCTCGCATTTGGCACTGCCATTCACGCTGGCGTGCACCTCATTTGTTGGTATTACCGGCGAAATCGAAACGCTCCATTACCATACCCGTTGCCCATAGTTCTAGCCGCCCTGACTCTTGGACGAGACTTCATTCTCAAAGGCTGGGCCAAGGACAAGAAGTGGTTTGAGAGTTCCGTCTTAGCCCCCTTGTTCACCGATGCGAAGCAGGCCAGGTAGAATTACGCATGTAAATCCTTTTTGATAGAAATCGCATCGGAAAATAAAGATTTCTTCATTTGCCTTTCCTTCTGTTTAGCACGCAATCTTGATTACTGTTGATGTAATCCCATGCAGCCTATCTATGCTCATTGCGACCTAGCCAAGCCCTGGTGTCATTAGAAGAATTTTCCTTGCCATCAATTTCACATGCATTGTGGCCACAATTGTGATCATACATTTATATTGAGGAGTCAAGATGAGGAAGACTACCCACGCGATGCCCATGATGCTGGACCTGTGATAGCATCTTGGGTACGTCTGCGAAAGGATGAACATCGGAACTGTGGCCATCTTAGTTAGGTAGTTCTATTCAAAGCCACAAAATCTAGCTTGTGGCTAGCAGCTTCTTTTCGATGGACTAACTGTCTGCGCATCTGACACACATCTCATCTTTTCATAGATCTGTTCAAGCTACAAAGGCTAGCTTGGATCTAACAGCTGCCATTTCGCTGACTAGCTGGCTGGCCATTAACACTAATTCAGGGTTAGCCCATCTGTGTTGGATAAAAGAGGAATGCTTCCATTTCTGGGTTGAAAGAATAAATTAAACTTTCTAAATCGAAACGACCTCTCCTTATGCCAGCGGTTCCCGAGATTGAAAATCTCCTTGTTTGTTCTCGCGCCGTGATCTGTACAGCAATTTGGCAACCTACGTTTTGGTTACTGTATATCTGTTGGAGAGTACCACGTTAACAGTACACTCTCTAGCAGCTCAACAGACTACAATCATATAAATCACTTAGAGGCCAGTGACTAGCATGGAAATAAACTAGATCCAGGTATCCACTGCACCAGGCATGCCATTGAATACCTATATATGTCATGACAAAGTCCGTTAACATAAGCATGCAACTGTGATTGAAGCTTGTTATCAGGGGTGACTTGCTATGATGGCATATAAATAAATACAGGCTCATCGCATCCCCCATAAGAGAAAAAAATGTAGCACATATTTCCCAAAATGTTGTCTTTCTTTCTAATGCTGATACAAATTAGCATATACCCAAAGATCCAAAGAATGCCTACAGCATACTGGGAATTATACAGCACACGAAGAAACTCACGGTTGATCAACTTAATCCCTCATCGTTTTCCGGCAGTACACGCCGCTAAATGGTGTGGGTTGCCAATAGATAGTGTGCTAGATATTAATTTATATTGAGATACCTCCCATAGAGTATTGATACTTCACGCCTATCTCTCCTCAAACTCAAGGTATAGGTCTTTTCATTTATCGTGATGTCATTCTTGGTACTCTAAAATGAGGGGTATGTCCGCACCTTTGACACCATAGTGTAGACATATAAAGGCTATCCCTTGTTCTTATCAATCTACAAGAGAGTATTGTAACTCCAATTTTCTCGGAGATTTTAGCAGAACTAAATTTGTTTCTGCTAAGCACAGTCTTTACAGCGTTAACTTCAATTATGCCCAGGCAAAGTCTCTCGCAAAATGAAAAGAGACGACGTCAAAATAGAGAGTCACAGCGCCGCTATAGTAAGCTCTGTTAAAAACCCACCTCCAAGCGTCAACGTGACACACCGAAATAGGAGGAAGTCAAAAAGAGATTGAAAATTTGTAATAGGGGAAAAAGTCAAGCTCATCATTGTGCGTAGGAGAAAAACATCGAAAAGAACAAGCAAGCCAGACATTAGACGAAGCGGGCTCAACTTCGCCAACAAACAAGCCCGTAGACGCTGCGGTATCTTCATCAACTGGCATTTATAGTCAGGCTCGAGCAGATACAAATCATTCTGCTGCGGATATTAGTCCTACGTCTATTACAATTCCCACAGCTGGGACTGATTTCCCAAGCCTGGAGAATGATGGCACGTGGAGCCCCGCTTCAGTGGACAATGCTCATCAATGCTACTTCCCGCTGCCTTGGTCCCCATTGAGAACTTTTCCAGACTGCATGGACATGTCTCTGCCGACCTTAAACGACGGTAATGGGAATTCAAGTGTTCCAGGCACGTTAATCTTACAGAACCCTTCGGGCCCTCTTAAAGCTGGCGAGATCCTAATGGGAGCCGAGAAGAAAGCCTCATTACCCGCGGGGCTAGTGGTATCAACTGGGGAGAGTGAAAGCGCTACGGGGAATAACACACAGTCCCTAGTTTCGCATATATCCGTCGTCAGACCACAAATGCGCGAGTCGATCTCACATCACTCCAATAGAGAGAAAAAAGCGATTGCGATAGTGACGCAAAGCGTGACAGCACCTAGTATACCCGCTGTGCGGGATGTGGAGCACCAAAAATCGCAGATATCACGAATGCAATCAAAGTGGATGACTCCACAAACCACGCCCAGCCAGACGGATGCACCCGAGGAGGCAAGGGTGCCGGTACACAAAGTTAGTTTTCATACCCCCTGCTTGCCAGATTCAAAAACAGCGAACATTAAAAAAAGAAAACTCCCCCAGCGTCCACATGAGTCAGATTCGTCGCTTGATGAAGTGGAAGAAATAGAAACTCCCAGCAGAGCGAGAATGCAGCAACGAACAGCGCGTACTGCGCAGGCGACAAGTACCGCGGTGCCAATCTCAGGAACAGTAGGTGAACCAGGGGATTCCAGAGCGGAACGGATGATTACCGAAGTGGAACACCTTTACAACTTTGGCGTCTGCGTCGGTATTTTGCCAGAGGACCGTGATATTTTGACGGCACTGCGGAAGATGAAGAAACGTTTTCGATCTTTGTCCTTGCCGACGTCGTCCAAGGGTCTGAACCGTAGGCGGAGCCATAGCGAAACACAAGATTCGGGAAGCGGATCGAGCGAGGGGACATCATCATTATCTGCAGCCTCGTTATCATCCAAATCCGTCTATGGTCGTGATTAGAAAACGGGACAAATTGAGAAGTCATGAGAGGAAGCTGGAACCCGAGGTCAAACAGGACTTTTCTTTGGTATGTTGGTTCCTTGCATGATATATGATAGGCAAGAAGGAGGACCAGCGGCTTTCCTAGCAGTAATTGTGCGAATTGGAAATCGACGTGTAGCGCCTACACGCTGTATAGGGCAAAACATAATCTACATCAAGGCAAACGAATACAATGAAATCATAAAAAAACTAAATTGAGGACTGAAAACATATGGACTAGGACGGTGAAGTTGAGGTGACACCTCTTTATAGGGAACATTTTGCCTATTTGAACATAAAGTTGTTTATTACTCCGACAATTCTCACAATCGCCTGACCTACATGTTCAAATGAGAAAACTTGAATGGTTTCGGTAATATGAACTACGTTTACTAATTCATTCCTACAATTTTACTGAATTAAATTAAACAACCGTTTATTTTCTCTCTGTTCAGGTTCTCTTATGTAATTGACGTATTCCTTTCCTTTTCCTCAGTTCACCTTCCCTATCTATGCAGTTCTCATCAACCGTTAAAAGTGTTGAAAATTTTATCTCGGTATCTGCATGTTTTCAAAGTTTTGGCCAAGTAAGTGCTTGGATTGTGAGATATCAGAGGCGGCATAATACAAGGACGATTAAAGATCGGTGTGGCAAAATACATAAGTACAGCTGCTGACAAGCTAGGGATGTAATCAAAAGTATGCAAGCGTAACAGAGATAGTAATCAGATGCAATGGAAGCTCATTGGAGGGCGAGGGGTTTCCTTTTTGGGGTTGACTGGTATCTACATGTGCCTTGCCCTCTAAAAATTAGAGTATCATAGTACTTGAGGTTTTGGCATTCGGCCTTGGCAGAGGCCATTCGATGCCCTTAGAATCGCCTAATTACTGGACATTCATGCATGAAACTTTTTAATTCCTCACGCAATAAACTCGGTCGACCAGTTTGCTCATACAGTTACTAACGAGTGAAAGAGATTGTAACGGATCCAAATCGGCATGTCTTCTCAAAGTTGGCAGCCCGAGAAGGCTTTATTCTTGGGGTCAGTAATTTGCGGAGCTGTCTTTCAATTATGCCTTCCCTTAAGACTTTGGAGACTTGGGCGATCCATACCCAGAACTGTACCAGGTTGGATGGCACGATTTCATTCGGTAGGTAGTTTTTGTTTTGATCTGTATCTTCGCTGCTACCTGGGTACCAACATCAGACAATAGATCCTTGCACTGTTGCTCTCAATTATCCTCCTGGTTTCATTGGCATCCATCCGACTTGAGCCAGTCATAGTTTACTCAGTGCTTGCTTCATCCGTGGCGTGTATGGGACTCAGCATCCTTATATTACTTGAGTATGAGAGGTCTCCTAGGCCTTCCGATCTGGCAATCCTCTACCTACTTTCTATTATTATATGCGATGCTCTTCTTTTGACGATGCCCAGTTCCAGCGTCGCAGCGCGCTCGCACTCACTTCTAATAACCCGATTTTCCATACACACAACGCTTTTGGTGATCGAATGCCTTGCTCAACATGGGACTTTAAATCCAAGAGGGCAATCAGAAGTTCCCGAGGAGTGTAGCAATGTCCTGAGTAGAATATTTTTCTTTTGGGTTAATCCGTTCTTATTCCAAACTTTTAACAACATTGCCGCTCTAAAGTTTGCCCCGGCCCTGACCCGAGGCATGCAGCCCAAAACAATGAGGGCGGCAGCGATCCAAACCTGGGTACAACGAGGTAAGCCTCCGACCAAATACCAAGATTAATGTTTATGGCTCTGAGAAAAGTAACTATAATTAAAACGCTATTATAATAGCGCAACCAGAAAAGAGAATAAACTTGTCTCTTACGTTGCTGAAGTGCGTCAAGAAGCCATTCCTTGTGGCTATCATACCGCGCTTGTTCTTGATCGGATTCAAGTATTCGCAACCACGTCTGATTAGGCAGTGCATTTTCTTCGTCGGCGCTGATTCTTCCGCGAAGGATACCAGCTATGGCTACTGGATTGTCGTATCGGCTATCGTCATCTATATCGGTATTGCGGCATGTGCAGAATCTTCATCACTACTTGTTTATATGGGTCCCCAAATGCTGATAGTCCTGATAGGTGTCATCAGGCGCTTACCAGCATAGACTAAACAAGCTGAAGATCATGGTTCGAAGCATTCTCGTGGGTCTTATTCACGAGAAAGCCATGTGTCTTCCGAGTGTTACCTATGACGATGGCGCTGCAACAACCCTCATGAGCACAGATGTTGATTACCTTAATATAAATATCGAGATAGTTCACGAAATATGGGCCTATCTCGTGGAGCTTATAATAGGAGTAACTCTGTTAGCTATGGAGGTTGGCTGGATATGGCCGCTGCCACTGCTACTCATTTTAAGTGAGTCAATATTCAATTCTTAAAGACGCCCTCCTCCTTGTTTACGCTTGTGCTAATATGACGACGTGACTGAGTTTTTTCGCGTCTGGGCCTCTACGTCACCAGGGATCTGCATTCTGCGCAGACTAACTGGAACCAATCAACGCAAGATCGTGTAGCGGCAACAAGTTCAATGATTGACTCAATGAAAGCTATCAAGATGCTTGGATTGAAGAAAAGGCTTTCTGAGCGCATCGAGAAGTTGCGACAACGAGAGCTAGAGCTAGCTTCCAAAGTCCGCTGGATGATGGTTTATTACAACGCATGTGGTCCGTAGCCTTCTTCATGGGATAGCAATACCAGGGCCCGGGATAATGGCCAAGCTAACATTTGGAAACTTCTGCATAGCCAATTCCCTTGGAATATTCTCTCCAGCCCTCACACTGGTCGTCTTCGCTCTACTTGCCAATGCGCATGGGCAACCAATGGACACAGCAACTGCTTTCACTACTATTGCCATACTGAGCATGATTATGCAGCCTGCCAACATGGTCATGACAGCCGTGGCCCGTATCACAGCAGCCTTGGCTAGTCTTGATAGGATTCAGACTTTTCTTTTGCGGCCCTCTTTAGTCGATTACCGAGAGTTGACAACGAATCTCTCACTTAATGAAAAAGAAGGAATCAGTTCGCCCCAGAAACTGGCAAAGCCGGCGCCAGCCATCTTAATCCATGGCTTAACTGTCGGCGTGTTCAAGCACAATGTCAACTTGGAACTGGATTGCGGAACTTTCGCTATCATTTCAGGTCCCGTAGGAAGTGGAAAGTCAACTTTACTAAGAGTACTGCTAGGTGAAGCACCACCGGTTAACGGTAAGATCTACCTTAGCACCCGACACATAGCATACTGTGCGCAGACGCCCTGGGTCCCTAGCGGGACCATAAGAGATATAATTCAAGGAACAACGAAGAACAAGAACGAACATTGGTATCACCAAGTTACTGAGGCCTGCTGTCTCTCTCATGACTTTAGCACCTTGCCCGATGGCGACGCGACGCAAATTGGGAGCAGGGGTCTCAATTTGTCTGGCGGTTTGATGCGGCGTGTGGTAAGCTTCTTCTCGCCATCCATTTTATTGCAACCTCTTTTCCTTTATTCTTCCTGTTATTTTTTTTTTCCTTTTCATTTTATTAGGTTTCAATTTCGCTTTGCTTTTTGTATTTGCGAAAAGATATTGTGACTGTTTTTACTTCTTACTCCCTTACTCCAGAAAATACTTAAGTCATTCTATTTAACAAGGTGCCCAAATTAGTCACTTGCACGAGCTGTTTTTTCCAGGTGTAAGATCGCTCTGCTGGATGATGCGTTCAGTGCTCTAGATGGAGATACAGAGAGAACCGTTTTCAACAATCTGCTTGGACCTAATGGCCTGTTCCGGCAGATGGGAACCACGGTGATACTGGCTGCCAACTCAGCTCAGTACTTTCCCATGAGCGATCACGTTGTTATCCTGGGCAACAATGGCGTGTCTGAGCAAGGCAGATGGCAGAGTCTTAGCACTAAAGCAGCAGACATACACAAATTCGTTCAAGAGAGCGATCCTAGAGAACCACTTACAGCATCGAATCAATTAAAAATAAGGCAGCAGACCGCCGAGACCGAAATATACAAACGAACAGGGGATATCGCCCTTTATGGTATTGAGCTCTTCTTAATCTACGATGTAGCACATAATTAGCACTAGCGATACTGACATCAAATAGGATATTATTTTAGGCTTTCTGGCTTGATCAACGTCGCCCTCCTTGTGGGATGGACGGCGTCGTATGCTTTCTTTATTTCTGTGCCCCAATACTGGCTGAAGCTGTGGACCGAGTCGGAGGATGGCAGTACTTTATACTATATCTCGGGGTTTTTATTCCTTTGCGTCTGTTCTTTGGTATCAACACATGGGACAATCTGGTAAGAACCGCGATATAGCACAAATTAGAGCAATCTAATGCTAACCTACTTGATTATAGGGCTACCGTAATCCGACTTGCTCCCAATTCGGGACTGCAAGCTCACCGGCGCCTTTTAAACATCATTATGAAGTAAGAAATTCCAAATTTTGCTATCTTTTAATGGCCACGTTATAGAAACTAAGTCATCGTTGCCTAGTGCACCTCTCTCCTTCTTTTCCACAGTTGAAAATGGCTCGATCTTAAACAGGTAAGTCGGATAATTGGCAGACGTTTTACGCGTAGAGAAGAGACAAAACCTTATCATGTTCTCTTTTAGATTCAGTCAGGACATGGAATATGTCGATCAGCAATTACCAATGATCATGGCAAGCGTGAGCCATCGTGAGTCAACTTACGCCGCATCTTTAATTATAACATGGACTAACGCGGTGAAGAAATATTCAAGCTTTTTATGCAGGCTGCTCTTCTCTTTACCGCTCAAAAGTTACTGGCATTGTCACTTCCCGTCTGTCTCTTCGTAGTATACATAATACAGACAATATATCTGCGCACTTCGCGGCAGCTCCAGCTCTTAGAACTTGAGTCACGCGCTGCCGTTTTCTCCAGTTTCCTTCAGTCAGTAAGTGAAACAACACAAGGATTCTACCCTGGTGGTAAGGGTATTGAAGATTTCTAACTCATTTTCTGGCTTCATCCTACTAGATTGAAGGGCTCGCGACTATACGAGCCTTTGGCTGGCAGCAGGCGACTATTCGTGAAAATGTAGATAATCTGCACCAGTCTCAGCGCCCGGAATTTCTTCGTCTTACTCTCCAGAGATGGCTCGGCATTGTGCTTGACCTGATTGCTGCGGCCATGGCTGTCCTCGTCATCAGCATTGTGACGAAATTTCGTGACCACATCAGCGCTGGTCAAGCGGGTGTTGCATTGAACGTGATGCTAGTTGCTAATGCGACACTCCTAAACTTGGTCGATGGGTGGACCAAATTGGAACTTGCTCTAGGAGCAATGGCCCGTGTCAAGTCTCTCGAAAGGTCTACTCCACCCGAGGCCCAAATCACAGAAGATGACTTCAAGCCCGAAGGCAATTGGCCCTCTAAAGGGGCGATTATCTTCCACGGGGCAACAGCGGCTTACCAGTGAGTAAACGTCCAATATGAGGGGCTTTGAGCTCTAAAGCAAACATGCTAATGAATGAAAATAACTAGCTCTGGCGCAGTTGCGCTGCAGGATGTCAATTTGAGGATAGAGGCTGGCCAAAAGGTTACCATCCATGGTCGTACAGGCAGGCAAGTTTGCGCATCAACGTGATATGTTTTCGGCGTGCGCTGATCTTGTAAATTAATTGCATACAGCGGCAAAAGCTCTCTCATTTTGTCTTTATTGCGAATGTTAGAACTACAGTCAGGCCAAATTGAGATAGATGGCGTCGACATTAGCAACATACAGCCTGAAATACTCCGGCAGCGTTGCTTCGTCACTATATCACAAGATGTCTTGCTTTTATCGAACGAAACGTTGCGCTTCAATCTTGATCCAGAAGGTTTCCTCTCGGACTCATTCATTATAGAGAAGCTCGAGACAGTTGGGCTCTGGTCCCAACTTGTGAGCGGCAGTGTTGAGAGACGAGGAAGATGCGAAGATGCTGAAGAGTGGAGTGCAGAGTGTGGCAGCACGGAAACAGCACCCTCTTCTCTGGAACCCAATATTCTTGATATCAGGATTGCAAACTTGGCTGAGCTCTCAGTTGGCCAGCGTCAACTGCTTGCCCTCTGTCGTGCTCTCATCAAGGCTGACTCTCTTCGACTTACTCGAATCCAACCAATAATCCTCCTTGATGAGGCAACTTCCTCGCTTGACATTGAAGCGGAAAAGAAAATACATGCTATTGTTGATGAGGAGTTCACCAATAAAAATCACACCGTCATCCTGGTAGCTCACAGGTTGGGAGACATACAAACCCATGCGAAAACCAGCAAAGAGGTTGTCGCCTTCATGGCTGACGGGCGATTAAGTCAGCTTCCAGGTAGATAGGTATAAAATACAACGGCATGGTGATTATAAATGATCATAATGGTAATAAATAAAATACCCTTAGTCAAACCCTCCTTGTCCTACTATGGGTGTCCTTTTCTCGATTTCACTGAGTGCAGTCTCATATATGACAACCAAGTCTAGAAGGGAGGTGGGAGGAGTCGGGATCGGAGAAGCAGTAAAAAAGTTTCCCCGGATATTCTGTGTCAATTACTTCTTTCGTAACGGAATACCCAATTAAACATGATGTCTGTAATTCACCATCCGTTACTGTTGAATCTTCCCATGAGACGAAGCCTTTCCCGCTATTTTTGCACCATAGTAATACATCGCTTTTGAAGATATACATTTCCACCAAGGCTCGCTATTAGTAACCAAATCAAATGGATAACTCCCTGTAATCAACCAAAAGCTATATGCGCTCCGTATGCCCTCTTCAGCTGGCGTGAAAGTATCGATATCGAATGCCCCTCTATTCGAGAGTTACTGGGCCGCCATGCTGTTATAGTCGTCTTCAAACGTAATATCTTTGGCGGATAAATCCTGTACACGTCGCAAAATACGTGTACAGCGGTAAACCCAATTGAAGTCATGGCATTTTCAAACGCAGCCCAAGTTATCGAGGCTTTAGTCCCGGACTTTTTGAAGAGTGTGGAAAAGACCTTTTTTCCCACTGGATTAGCCAATGAATCCCGCAGTGGTCCTCCGTCAGGTGCCTTCAAAGCTGGCATCATATCAGCTGTGGATGTCTGAGGGGGACTTGTATCGTGATCGTGCTTTTTTCGCTCTAATCTCTCAGAGATGAAAGAAGTGTTTGTAACCGGAATCGCGAAGGGCTCAGTTTTATTTAGCAATACTTCTGTCCTCTGACATTGAAAATAAACGCATGCCAAACTTTCTTGGGCAATGTAATGATAATAAAACTCCAGATTTGCACCAGTCTTGCGAACAATGAAGGCGTCAATTTTAGTCAATGCCTTGTTCGCCATTCCGGGCTTTAATAGTTTATCGATTGGCACTGCGAAATCTTGTAAGTCAAGTTCTTTCTTGAGATCGTTTAATGCCGAATGCAGCTCCCGAGATCCTGCGACAAACGCCTGTCCAGTTTTGTGAGAGTGGGCTGGTATTCGTGCGAATTCTATCATGGCTTCGATAAAATCCGTGATCATAACTAGATCGGCCAATGCGTCTATCTCCCTCTCCTGTAGGTCTTTCCTACTAGATGGATGGGCTTCGTATAGATCATCTAGTTTTTTGATCCACTCAAGTGCCTGTGACTCATTGGAGTGACAGAGGCGCAGCACATATTGTAGATGGGCATCATCCTCAGCCAGCTCCTCTGGCTTAATCTTCATAATGACTTTTGGGTTACCGGCCTCGTCGTAAACATTAACCAGGCGCTTGAAACATCTTGCCCCAATTCCTGTCTGGACTTGCCTAAGGAAGTGGGCCCGAGCGCGGCTGTACTCGAAGTGGCATATATTGGAAATTTCTTGGAGAACGATGCGCGTGTGTACTGTATCCTTTTTTTCATCCAAGTGATGCCAGAAGTCTAAAAGTTCGGATATGTAGCACCATATAGCATGTCTTTCGATGGCGCTACAGACTGCTTCGAAAATAGCACCGTTGATATTCTTATCCGTTTGGTGTGGCAACCAGCGTTCTTTATCGTCCATCACTAGCTCTGGTCGACTGAGCAACCGAATGTTGACATCGTGAACAAGCACAGAGGGCTCATTCCAGAGGATGGCCAAATGCTCTTCGAGAGAATCTCTCGTATCGTAAGTACCAGAGAGTAAGCTGAGAACTGTTTCCTCCTCTGGATCCTCCTCCCCTGGCTCCTGTTCCATTAAACAGTTCATCGTGATATCCCAGTTGGCTTGTACAACCTTTTTCCACTGCATATTGGTCCACCATGATCGAGGGGACCTTCGAAGTAATGTCAAGGCCATGTCTCGAAGATTCATCAACATAATATATTGTCTGGTATAGATATATGCCCCGATTGCATACGGAACACAGAGACCAACATCAATCAAAGGTTTCAGAGATATCAAAGCTGCGCTGATGTCATTTGTTATCTCAATGCTCTTTCCATACCGACCCTCTACGAAGAAGGTGTAGCAGTTTGGCAAAGATTCTCCTAGATCAAGCTGCTTATTCTTCACTTGCTCCATAATGAAGGGGCCATCACCTGGTCCACCATCAAAACCGATCCAATACTGCTGAAATAAAGATTGCGTGGCACGATGCTTGAACTGATTCAACAAAGACTTTGGATTCGTCGAGATATCGTACAAATTCATCTCGGGAAAGAGCTGCGACCGAAATTTCCGAGTCCCGTCAGTTTCCAAGCAATTCGAAACCTTTTTTTGGAAATGATTCAGGAAGAATCTCGCCCGCTCATTTCTGTCTAAAATGTGCCAGGTGGCGCTAATTTGCCACGCGCAGTCATTGTATAATCGAGAAAATTCACTATGCGTGCGTTGAAGTAGTTTGACGCTGAGTTCTGCTTTATATGGTTGATACATTGAGCCCATCGAACACTTGACTATTCTCGGACTGGCTTGCGGATGTCTTGGCGGTATTTTATCGCTATTGAAAACATAGGATTGATGAACGCGATCTGATATGCTCGGATTCTGGAGAACATGGAAGATTCAAACATCTGCCGCCAGGTGTTAGCATGTTAGAGTCACGTGGGTCGGCCCTGCTCTTGAAACCTATTGCGGCATGCCTCGATATTGCTGTTTGGGTAAATACATTGCCTGGGCAACGTACATGTACCTAATATGGAAAGTACCGTTATGAAAGCTAGCTAGCGAGGCAGGAACTGTTGAGAGAATGTCGAATCACTGCTGTGGCTTATGAGTCGAAGTTATATTGTGGCCAAAGCAATGCTCATTAGAACTGCCAACCTACCCGCAGGCCAACTGTGTACAAAGGCGAAAGTATCGTAGAAATTCCTCCCGGTGCTGCAAAAGACGATGATTATCTTTATGTTTTACCCTGTACTGCCGATGCATCCCCTTTAATCCTTAGGTTTATGCCACCATGTTCGGAGCTCAGTTCATAGAAGAGTGAAAGGATGTAATCTGGATATCTAGCTAAGAAATGGTGACGAACAACCTCAGTGAGCGAGCATGTACAGTATGGCTGATGTATTACAGAGGATATTGCCGTTAGGCTAGGTTCTAATATCGCACAATCACGTACTGTGGAAGAGAGCGAGATATACTATAAAGTGCATAAGTACATGTAGGTAATGACCGAAGTGAGTTGAAGAAATAAGGTTGGAGATGTACTAATTCAGAAAAGTGACAAAACTTCTGCTTTCCACTCGTTCCGATCATATATCAGCAGATTATTGGCCTTGGCCTACTTCCCCAGCAGAATTTTTCTGCAAATCTTTCCGATCAAATGTTGGACACCCTTCAAATTCACCGGTCATGTGAGATCCTTTGCTCTGAAGCGAACCTTGTTGGCCAGTGAACTCGTCCAATGTTTGAGGAGGCAAGACCTTTGTTCCGTGATGCATAGGTGTAGCATGATGCGTTTCGTGGACAGGCACAGTTGTGTGAATAACTTCTGGGGCGATAGTTTCCTTCTGGATGATAGGCTGGACGTGCTCGTGAACGTGATGGTGGACTCGCTCACCCGCCACAATAGGCGCTTCAGTTGTGGTTTCGTGCGTGGCCTTTTGACGAACAGATGTATCTTTATATTTAGCGGCATCACGGTCAAGAACTGATTGCACATTCTTATCGCCACCGTGCTCGTAAGATCTGTGTTCAGTTGGTAACACCTTATGAGAATGCTTTTCAGGGCTAGATGTCCGCGTTAGATCGAAGATATCCATTTCGGACAAGAGGTAACAAACAGGGTTTCTCTGGTATTGACCGGCTGAACAGTTGTATGGTGGTGGTCTTGATGTATATCTTTATCCACTGCTGTGGTCACATTTTCGTGCTCCTGTGGGCGAACATGTTCGCTAGTAACAGGTTGCCGGACTTCCTCATCCACAGTAGTGGTATGCCTATCGTCCCGAGAAACGAGATTTCCAACGGCTTTCTTAACCTTTTCCATATTGGTTGCAGTATGTACCTAAAAAATTGATAAAGAATGTGCTAAGTGGTGCGAAGTTGAGTGCACATATGTAAATCCAGAAGGGTATATTCTCCTGTAAATTATATCATTTCGCATAAATACCTATCTGTATGGTACGTGTACGTCATTCCTTTGTCTCTATCCTCTGGCAAATGCCTCCTAGTACGAAAAGATGACTTTGATCCTAGCGTTACAACATTTTAGCTTTTATTAGAGGCAATTTTCTATGTGGGTGGGAGAGGCAAAGTGCACTCAGAGAGCATTCTTCAATCATGCTTATGCCTGATTAGCTACGACATGGCTTGTACATATGAGAATGGGCAAGGAAAATGCTCCGGAATTTAACTTTGAAGAGCGGTAGATACCGCCTTCTATGACACGAAGACTATTGGGCAGTAGTGTATCATGATATCAAACGCCTATTATTATAGAAGGGTCCAAAGTTGGATGATTCAAGGTTGGGCCTAAAATGTGAAGTTCGATTAGACTTAAAGTACAATAGAGTAGATCGCCCCAGCTACCTAGTAGAGCACGTCATACAACCCCGCCGTCGCCAAACATTCAGGTTTTACAGCACATGGCTGCTCAGCTAATGCTCGATATTGAAGCTCCTCGACCAATTACGCAGGTGTAATTGAGAATCTCGTAGTGCGGCCGTCATTTTAGATCAGGAGGCTTATAGCTTATAGCCGATTTGTGTTACTGCCGGGACATTTTCACCGCATCTCCACTCTCTTACCTATTCACTTCATCAATTTATCCCAACACTTCAATCCCTCTCAGGAGACACTTGGGCATAGGCACGAATGCTGTTGCGCAACACCGGGAGCTATGTAGACAGCGAAGCTTATTCATAATCACCGTCTCTCTTCCTCTATCTCACACACAAGTGTGCTATTTGCATCACAAATTTCTGCCGTTCTGAAATCTTTTCAGCTGCCCATTCTCAGCAATCAGCTGTCCTGGTAAACCCATCTCGATGATTTTTCCTTCATCAAGGACAACCAGTGTATCAAACTTCCGAACTGTATTCAGCCGATGGACGATGGAGACTATGGTGTGCTCAGTGAATTCGGCCTCAAGAGCTCGGATCATGAGTTCTTCTGTGTGGTGATCCACCGCGCTCATAGCCTCATCCAAGATAACGATTTTGCTTGTTTCTTTACGAACTATGGCCCGTGCCAAACAGAGAAGCTGTTTTTGGCCATAAGACAGAGCCAAGTCGCTCACATCGGTATCGAGAGAGCCGCTCTGGCAAACGGCGTCCCATACTTTTAATCTATTAAGTAAAGCGATAATGTCGTCATCCAAAAGAGTTTGTCCCTGTTGATCAGAATTATAGAGGAGATTTGAGCGCAATGATCCTGGAAACAGGACAGGATGCTGGGGCACCACGATTAAGCCAGACCGTAGAGCTTGTTTAGAGATATGAGAAATGTCTAGCCCATCAATCGTGATGGTTCCGGAATAATCCAACAGCCCAAACAATGTTGAAAGTAGGGATGACTTTCCACTTCCACTTCTCCCGCAGATTGCAACTTTCTGTCCTGGCTGTATTTGGAGCGAGATATTGTGAAGGACAGGATCCCCACCTCTCTCTTTTTTCGCATAATAAGCCTCGATATTTTGCCAGTCTATTTGACCTCTCGAAGGCCACGTAATTGAGGGCTGCAATAGTGTGTTCTGTGGTGGCTCAACTTCTTTTGGAGTGATTTGCATAAACTCTTTAAGGCGGGCAATAGCTCCAAGTGATGTTTCGAGCGATGTCCAAGAAGAGATGAAGTTAGCGAGTGATCCGCTAAATCCAAGGGCACTGTACATGGCAATGGCCATGTTTCCTGGAGTGGAAGTCGTAGTAGTGACTCCAAAAAGAACAAGAAGCACCGCTGCGACAGTTACCAGGAGATCAAGGACCAAATTTAACCAGCGTTGAATGGAGAGGAGCAGATAATGTGGGCGCTGAGAACGATCCAGCAAGCTGAGCGATGATTTGGTCATCGCAGATTGCCAATGGAATGCGCGTATGGTTGATAGCCCCTCAATGGTCTCTAAAAGCTGGGTATTCAATGGTGATTTGGCCTGAAGGTCAAGGACACGTAGTTGGCGTGATGTTCGGAGGTAGAATTTTTGCAAGGCATAGAGGACCAAGATTGCTACTGGCAATGTTGCCGCAAGGTACTTCGCACCAAGGATGATCAGAATGGCATCTCCAATGCATGATAAAAGGCCTGAAAAAAAAATGATGTCAGTATAACTCTTGTATTTGAAGACTCTCATGGTGGATATACCAAAAGTGGTCGTATAAACCGCTGTAGGCAGTTCTCGATCTACAAGGGACATGTCTTGACTGAATCTGGAAATTCATTTTAGCACACTCTATTTATTTCAAGAGATCTGGGTTACTAACCTGTTAATTAAGTCGCCAGTATCAACAGAATTGAAAAAAGCCATCGGTGCCCTGGCCCATGTTAGAGCGCTGCTATGCGGGGTGGTTTGTATTTTACTCACCTCATTGTGGCTTCCAACAGCTGCCAGTGAAGCCATTCCGCTGATCGTGGAATTAAAACGACAAACATGAACCTTTACCAAATAAAAGATGAGCTGAGATCAGATAAGTACATACAGGGTGAAGACGTACCAGCAGTCGACGCCGATGGCTGCAATTCCAAGGCAAAGGAACATGACATATACGCCATAATACATGCCTGTGCTGGCATCAGAGTGGCTCTCATTTGCCTCTGTCCACCATTTGAGCCATATTTCTATACTTCACATTAGTCAAGTATTCACTTGTCAATAGAATGCCACATAGAAAGTTCACTCACGAGCAAACTGTGCGAAAAACTGCTCGGTTGTAGAAAAGAACAAGGCACCCAGAGCCAATTTCCAGCCTATTGATTTGAAGTAATAAGCATAAAGAGATGTATCTCCCATTCGCTGAGTCAGGTTTTCAGTCTCTTCAGCCTCGGTTTCTTGTCTTCGCAAACTTGGCAACTTTTGCTCAATTTCGTCGGACAAATTCTCAGATGTTGAATCGTCATCTCTTCTTTGCTGACTCTTAAGTATTGCTACTGAGTCGCAAAGCTCGTTAAAAGTACCTTGGTGCGCAATCCGTCCATTCTCGAGAATGATAATATGATCAGCATCTTGAATGAATTCCACTGGTGGATTAAGAGCGGCGTCAGTCGGTAGTCAACCATTTTGATGTTCCCCGCCACCTAAGCAATATTCACTTACGCGTATGAGTCGCAAGTATCACGGTCGCTTTTTGGCGACGTAGTATTCCCAGTGGACCAAATACTTGGGTCCAAATGTGACGCCTGCTTTCGGGGTCCAGACCCGAAAAGATATCATCGGCAATAAGCACTTGCTTCCTTGAGTAGAGCGCTCGCGCAAGGGCCTGAACATATTTGTTAGGCATATCACAAAAATAACTGTGATGTACTTACAACGCGCTGCTTCTGACCACCACTGAGTGTAAGACCTTTACTTCCAACAATAGACTCATCACCGTCTCGAAGTTGTTGAAGATCCCTCTCTAATGCACACGCCCGTACCACGGTTTCGTACCATTCAGAGTCGAGTTCTTGGTCCTCCGGTCCGGTGATATTCCTCTTGATAGTGGTATTGACTAACCAAGTTGCTTGGGAACAGAACGCAATCCCGGATGAGGGAAGCTTCAAATTACCACTCTCATGAAGTTCTCCCATGAGGCCAAGCAGAAGCATTGACTTTCCTGATCCAATCTTCCCAGTCACTAACGTCAAAGTTGATGGCTGAATGCTAATATTCAGGCCTTGCAAGACGCAAGTTTCTCCACGCTTCACACTGAATGAGACATCATTAGCCACTATGATAGAAGATTCTCGCTTGCGGAGATGAGTTAGTTCAATATTAAAAGCCGAGTCGGTTTCAGTTTGGACTGATGTATCACAGTGGATGCTGTTTCCCCGCGACGGCGCATTTTGGCTCTCATCAACAAATGCCTCGATTCTTTCAAAGCTGCCAATGCAGCTCACAAAGGATGGGACAGATGAGAGAAGTTTCGCCAGCGGGTTTGTGATTAATGCGATGATTGATAGTGAGGTGAAGGCCGTTGAGATAGAGAGCTGATTTTGCACGCCATTGCGACTAACAGCAATGGCAATGCCAAACGTGAGAATCGGTGCCAGAGCCCAAGGCGTATTTCCTGGAATTCTGTCAGTGGTAGCGCATAATAATAAACAACATTACCCACCCAAGATGTTCATATACGTGATAAATTTACGGAATTTTTTCGAACGTTGAAGTTCCGCCACTCTAAGCAGCTGAATGCTATCTGTCCATGAGCTGGTTTTGCCTAGCATTTTGACTTCCTTTATCGAGCCAATTACACTGGATGTTGTCGTAATGCGTTGCTGAATTGCTTCGTTCCAGGCTTTCATAGCCGGCCCCATAAAATTGGAGAGTCTTGTCATAGCTACCGTGCAAACTAAGTTTCGCTGTTAATATATCTCAGGTCTTCATTTGCGGAGGGAAAAAGTCTACTCACCAATAACAGCAACAGCGGGCCCGATGCATCCCAGCCCGAGCTCCCTTGCCAAAAGCCATATGGCCAGGGCAATTTCTATGGGGTTTGCCCATATTTCATGAAAACTCTCAAAAGCTCTCGTAATGGACGCAACATCAGGGCCAGATAATGTGATAGCTGCGGAAGTGGAAACATCGGAAGACATGGCGCTCACTTCAAGAGTGCGGATGTAAACTAAGGAGGTCAAAGCACCCCGGATCATTGTGAGAGAGCGGAAGAGCTTGTGCTGATAGAATCCGTTGGAGATCTATACATCAAATATGAGCAATGTTACAGTAGGAGGTGGAGTTGGGGATACGTGCAGCAGAACCCAGGTAGACCAATCCAGTCGCTCCAACAAGCGCATACCCAATGTCTTTTCTCGCCCCATCGCTATCTCCTTTTTCCTGAATGTATGTAATAACTCGATTTATGAGAAAAGGCTGTGCAAACTTGAAGCCGATTAAACATAGACGGGGTAGTATTGCGACAGCAAGTGGTCTCCGAAGGGAATCGCACGTAGCGAGCAACAGACGATATCGATGGGGCGCCCGCGACTTAGACCATATCTGACGCGCATCTTGTAATTTATGGAAGAGTTTTTCTGACTTCATACTGTCGTCAATCTCGTAAAGTGTATCAGTAGACAAAGGTGTACGAAATCCGCGAAGCAAAAGGTCGTTGAGCCACCAGAAGAAGCTTCTATTTATGATACTGCTTGTCGTCTCTGGTGCCAGATTATTCCAAGGATGTAGAAGTATGTGGCGCTTCTCTCCAAGTTCAAGAAGAAAGACTAGGAGTTTGCATGCAAGTGTAGCTGTAGAAACTGAGGCCAAGACATTTGTTTTTAGAAGCCAGAGTGTTCGACACTGGACTGCATCAAAAGCGATAGAAAACACAAGATAGACCAGGATGATGGTTGAAGGGCGAATCGACCGGCGATGCTCCAAGTAGCTCAGAATACCCAGTGCCATTCCGTCGGCGAGGCCAAGCGTCGCAGCTGCCAGAGAGGCACGAGTGAGAGCCTCATGATGGGTAGACCAAATAATTAGTAGTGATAACTGCAGAGAAATGAGAGCGGCGTAAGCGACCTAAACGTTTTTGCATCAACGATTAATATAGCCTCAGGTAGCAGTGGGGGCCAGAGTTGAAGTGAATTCACCAATTTAGGTATACCTATTCGATTATGCAGAACCTTGGGCTTGCTACGAAAAAGATAGAGAGTTCGCGGTAGCGAAAAGATCAGAAGTAGCGCACACGGCGCAATATTCAAGATGGATTGTTCAAAGAGGAGAGTAAAGTCGAACCGAGGCGTCTCACAGCCGCTGACAGTTGGGCCGAAGGAATCGTCACAACTAGGGCTTGCGTCTGTGGTCCAATTGTTGGCAAGATCCATCATAACGGCATGTGCCGCTCTCTCAGCAGCGGCATTGAAGATCAAAAAATGAAAAACAGGACGAAGTTAGCTTTTATTAGCTCTGGGGGATGGAGATTTTAGTTACGAATGTTGCGAGTAGGTGAACCGCCAACCGCCCTTTCAAAAGTTCCCACCTACCGGATACAGCCGCCGCGATGTTCGGTGTGACTGATATTAGCAGATAGGAGGAATCAGCTTGGATCACTAAAAGCCCCGATTGGGGATAGAATGGCACATTGCGGGTATTTGGAGGTGATCTAAGCCAATGGGACGGTAGTTGTTGAAGCTATCTCAGTAATATGCAAATGCTAAATCCGGGGTGGACATGATAAGCATAATTGATGATTCTATTGTGACATTAATTCACCATACGACTCGAAAGGTTATCGTAATTGAAGACCAAATATGGATGTAAACCAGAAGGTAAGGTCGCTACTTAGATCTCAAAAGTATTCTGAGTTGGGCACATGCAGATTGGCTGAGTTGTGTCGCTTTCAAGAGGCTACACACTGTATGATTTCTAGTCAATACTACGGATTTCATGGATTCCACCTACGATCGCGTAACGCGATGCTAATGAAGCCGGCGGATCGAAGGATTATATGTGGCTGTTTCGGTGGGGGTTTGCGGGGTATGAAGAGAGGGAGCATGACAAAAATTAAACATATCCGACTGGGCAAACGACAGTACGAATTTCTCAAGGAAATTGGAACATCATAGACAGGTAGAGAATGATGAGATTCTGTTAAATTTCGTTGAATTTGAGTAATTTTTGGTAAGGAGCAGAACCCACGGCGAATGACTTGACAGGATCAGCAGAGCCAACAAGGGCAGTGACAAATGAAATGAATGGATACATTCAAAGTCTGGGAATCAACTCTAAACACCATTGATAGAGCATCTAATAAATCCCATCGATGGGAATATTTTATTTGGTACTAATAGCAGAGCATTGGACCTCATACCGATTTTGATACCCAGTAATATGCCATACCCAATTCATAGCGCCGGGTATAGCCTCGGTTTTGGGACAGAACAGCCACAACTGTGAGTCATCTATCCAAACGTCAAGTAATTCATCGAGAAATGTCATCTTGGTAGGCAATTATAAATAAGAGCTACCCCTCTATGCATTGCGCCGATGATGTATACAATCTCTATTACCATTGTTACACACGATGAAAACTGTGGGGCTGCCACCAGAAGAAGCTGTTGACGGTGAAATCCAGCTTCGCCGGTGGCGCAGCGACGATGTCGCTACATTACACGCCCTAGTCAACCGATCACTACCTGAGCTCTCGCCGTGGATGCCATGGGCAGCAAATGGCTATTCAAAGGAAGACGCAGTGGAGGCCATACGCTTGGGGAGCGAAGGCTGGGACGCTGGCGAGGAGTTTGAGTACGCAATCGTTGTCGACGGTCAGGTTCGCGGGTCCTGTAGAATTGTCAAGAGAGGCGGCCCAGGAGTTTTTGAGCTCGGATACTGGCTGGGGAGCGGCGAGACGGGTCGCGGATTGGCCACTCGGGCTTCAGCTCTCTTGGTTGGCATCGCTTTCGACCAGGGAGCAGATTGCGTAGAGGTCCGGAACGATGAAAGCAATGCTAGGAGTGGTTTAATTCCTCTTCGACTCGGATTCAATTGTTTGGGGCCCCGAGAAATACCTGCGTGGGAAAAACAGCTCTGGGATCAGCAAGCAGAATCGGCGAGCAGATCCGACATAATATGGCGGCTGAGTCAAAGTGATTATCGACAAAGAAAAGCACACTGATTCACAAAGTCTTATTAGCTTGTTGGGACAGCTGGCAAGAGTATATGAAGGGTTTTGAATGCAACTTGAATATTCCTATATATATGCAAGGCATTCCTCCTGGCATTAATAAGGCGCTTATGGGGTAAACTTGATCACAAAATGTCCTCTCTATTAACCTCTCTAGAGTCTCAGGTTGCCTTTCGCCTGAAGCCATGGAACACTTATGAGCATTTATCTATTGAACAATACCGATTCGCGACAAAGGACCGTCTATAGAGTTTATATAGCCTTATATAAAATACTATCGCGTTGACATAATAGCACACCGGCGCGCCGAAACGATGGGATGATACGACGCTGGTAGGCTGACACGCTGATACGATGTCGCCCAATATCCACAGCCCCTCATCATCACGACCCGATATAAATAGCCAATGGGAGTTCGGCAGCTCGGCAGGAAGCCTGTTCTCACGAAAGCTGCTTCAACAAGATGTCGCATACCTGTCTATTATTCCGTCAGAAACTCCTGCCTTGTCACCGCTAATCCAACCAACTATGTGTCGTATCCTTATAACCACTACGACCTATGCCGGATGCCCAGACACCTGCAATACGCACAGCGGTCCCGTCATCACCGAAAACTGCCAGAAATATACCGAAACTGGTGTTGAGTGCGCCGAAGCTGATTGCACGGTGGAATATGCTGGTCAATCAAAGAGCAAGGGCCAGTGTGAAAAACACAGAGATAAAGCTACCATGACAACAACGCTTGTTGAAGGAGCCTAAGGGCTGGGGGGTCAATTTTAGGTTGCTGCGATTGTGGCGGTGAAGGAACATGATCCTGTAAACTCCAACATGCTCTGCAGGACAATGGCTGTAATTGTTAAAATAAACATCACGTCTGTGATACCGGCAGTCTAAATTCACTCTTCTCGCATCGAAGCATAAACGCCAAAGCAATTAAACATCAACATGCTCAACTAAAGTCCCACCAGCATCAAATGCAAACCACTTCGATGCTCCCACTAGCTCCTATCATGTAAGAGCTCTCGAAAAAAAAAGGGGGGGGGAGAAAAGAAAAGAAAAATTGTTGAGCTTTCGAAGGTCCCTTTCTATCATCCATGAACGATATTTCACAAGCCAGCCCAGAGACATCAGGATCCAGAGAGCTAGATTTAATTATTATGACTGCTTTAATGAATCCGATGACTGTGTCGAAGATGTCTTCTAGATTCGGCATTTGCTGCAGTCGATATCCCACATTCTCTACCTGCTCTTGGTTTGCATCGTGAGAGGGTTTCCATGTGATAGCTTTGATAATAATTAGTTGCAAAGACTTCACCACTTTCTTAATTCCCCACGAATAGCTGTTCGAAGGAGTTCAAGACCTGCCACTAGCAAGCCAACAGCTTCTTTATACCTTCCACCCGTGATGCAGTTCTGATGCTCTTCCCACCTCTCAGCTATTAACTTTTCGCAGCTTCGTAAGCCGTACCCATAGGGCCGCTAGTCAACCTGATTCTTGCACCATTTTCCAGGAGCTTGGTAACTAAATTTTTGCTCCCGTAAGCTGCTGCTGTACGAAGAGCCGGTCCGTGATTTCCATGCTGATCGTTTATGTCCACTTTCTCGCGAATAAATTTACTGAATATTTTAACTTTGGAGAATTTTGGTGAGCACAGATGCACCAAACGAAGTCGTAACTAGGTTGCTTGCTTCCTCGCTCCTGGATTTTTGGAAATATCTATAAGTGGATACACAATAAAACTAAAACACAGCAACATCTTCGTCGAATTCGATCAAGTGTTTGCACAAGGAGACAACTTTCCCCGGATCTTCATTTAGTTTTGGGTGTAGCGCTAGATTTCCATTCTCGATATTCAGTGTGGCAACCATAAGTAAAATCTCTTTCTAAACAGACCCTGATATGTGTGTCAAAAGCGTCAAAGTTCTTTGAATTACCTCTATGCTCTCTTTTTCATGGCCGTTAACTCGAATTGATTGACGCACTTTTCATAACATTTATTCATGTCATCAGATAGTTGAGATTGTTAACTATAAGTAGCATCTTTTTCTATTTTCGCATTGATAAGTGCCTCTTTTGATAATACACCCATAGGAAGCTGTGTAATTGAAGCTACGCCTTAGTGATATGGCGAAAGGCCACATGGTGGAGGGGTATACTTGTTTTCCAATTCCATTAGCTATTAGCTTCTTTATAAACATTTCTCCAGGTTTGGGTCGGCTTTGAATAAAGGTGAACGATGTCCTTCAAGCATTTCAGCATATCTGGGGCTTTGTTATCGGGTTCAACTCGAAGATCAGAGAAGTTGTCAAAAATTTTCCAAATAATGTGGGAGCTGAGGTTCCGTGAGCTGATAGCTACGGCGAGGCGGCAAGGGTTACTCTCGCTCTTCAGTCTTTTGATAAGCTCGCAGAGACGGCTAATCAACCTATTACTGTGCTTAGGAAGAAGTTGATCCAGTGCACCAATAGAGATGTATATGTCGCGCTGTTCTCCAACTAAATGATCGATCAGGGCATCCAGGATGTCCTGATCCGTATTTTCGCTGTCTATATTAGTCAGTTGATGGTCCGACAAGGCTTGCCTCCAGAGAGTTAATCTTAAAGTTTTGTACCGGTTTTTCGTAGCAGCATCATCTCCATAGCCGACATAAAAATATAGGACATAGAAAGATTTGGGATCTCTCCCCACGTTCTTCTCATAAATATCTTCAATGACGCGGGACCTATATATAAACGAATTAGCTAATGTTGGCAGTGAGGACTACGAAAGGTAAAATGTACTTGCATTAACGTTGTCTTGCGACGTCCAGCTATTCTTTGGTCAGCACTCAAATTAAACAGCGTTCTCTGACTAAAATCCAATGACTCACAGTAGCCGCTTATCCAAAGAATAGAGTGTCGGCTTTTGTTGTTGAGCCAATCTTTGAATTCTTTCGTTTCCATTAACAATTCGCATGGTTTGAGCTCTTTCCAAGCCCATGCTGTGTCCTTGTGATTTTTCTTCGCCATCTCTGCAGGAGATCGTTGAATTGTGTCATAGGCGTGAATTGCAATATCTTGATAAGCAATGCCGTCAAAATTCTTTAGGTTTGTGTGATTGATACCTACATGCATGATGATTATTTTGGATATTTTGGGCGATTTGGGCGATTTGGGTGCTTCGGCTTGGGACGTTATTAATAATGCTGTTGTTGAATTCGCCTGCAACCTCACTGACTTCGTATCTACCATTGTTAACACCCATAGCGTTGCCAGTGATGTATAATTGTGTAGCATAATTGGCTCCGCCACGAGTCTTCGGTGCTCCATCCACCACATTCTCCAGTGATGGGTCACAGTTCTTGGCGATAACTTTCAGATCCACTAGATTAGGCTTGCTGATCCCTTCGCATTCGTCGTTGCTAAGTTCTAGAAGCTTCTGCTTATCATCTTCAGGAATAAGGCTCTCTAGTGCATCCGTAAGATAGGACATGTCCGCGATAAATCTGTTGAAGTGTTCCTTCTTGTAAAAGGCCCATTTTGGGCTGTTGACCACGTTTGTAGTTTGTGAAGTCCGGCTGCTGAGGAAGTCTTTAAAGCGATTATGCATTTCTCTATTATCAACGGGAATGCTTGTATCGACGTCTAGGGGCTGGCCTGCAGCAGTGTTGGTCTTCTTCTTCCTAGCATCTCGCTGAGCCTTGATAACGGTGGCCCGGATGTCAAGGAGGACTGCAAGGGTAGGATCCCTTGTTGGGTTCTCGGGGTCCTCAAACCCATCGGTAGGCGTTGGCTGACCCTCCCTTGCGATGGTGCCATTGCTGTTATTGTTGAGCCTAGAGACCTCACACCATCGCGAAAGGCGAAGCTGAATAATATCAAGTTTTAGTTGATCTATTTCGAACTCGCTTTCAAACTCCCGCCCCAGTTGGATTTGACTGAAGCAATTGAGCACAAATTGCAGAATAAAGATCGCGTTGCTAGTAGTGTCCATGGTTACCGCAGGAATACAGTTCGTTTGCTTCTCTTGATGGGGAACACGATGGCGTTGAGACAGGAGACAACGCTAAATAAGAGAAAAGGGGCGTAGATAAGAAAGCCGGAGACAGCGGGCATAATATAATGGAGCCGCCAATGACAGCACTGCCACTACTGCAGAGTATATTATACTTCAGGGCGCCATATGAATGCAAGAAAAATCGGTCTCATTTTGCCGCATCACTGGCGACGGTTTCAAACATTCATTGGACAACTCGCAGGATAACGCGTCCATTCTGAAGCGGCTGTCGGCCAATACCTGCTCTCACGAGGCCACCAAGATTGTCTACCGGCCAATCATATGCACATGTATGCGGCAGATTATCGAGGCTGTTTACAAAGCAGGCGGTGCCCAATGCAATAACGTATGTCTGCCTAAACATTCATGCGGATTATCTGACGTCCAAATGGTGAGGATGCAACGACGCTCACCGAAAGCTTGGGCGCAGCGATTTTGATTCTCATTATCACGCAACATGATTTGTAGATGTTAGCCATGGATTTTATTGGTGGCGTACCTAAACTCTAAAGCCATAGAATAGATGCCATTACTTTACCGGAAAGACTGGAAAGACTGGATTTGGTACATGTATGGGCAGCCTTGAACACAAGATGCTTGAATAAAGGTGATTTAATCGGTACGGGATCTCAAAGGCAGCATTTCCACTTCCCAAAGTCCTAACTTAAAAAAAAATCGCGAGTAGCCGCTTCTCAGCTGTATAAGCCAGCAATATAGTGCAAGAGAATCAGTTTGCTCAAGACTGAAGTTGAGTTAAGAAATATATGGTCAATTTGCCGCAATGGAAATACGGCGCTAAACGCGGGCCATCACACGCTAGAGTTCACGCCTCTACGTAACAGGCATTGATGTGCAGGAAATGTCATCATCATCTGACGCTTGGGGATAAAGAGCTATGTCTAAATGTACTTAAAGCCTGCATGGAATAGTAGGGAAAAATGAAAAACAGAACTAGAACTTGGTGGAGAAATTGTATGCTTAGGTCATTGCACAAGATCATCGCATGGATGTAAATATGTAATCTGCGGATAGGTACCTTGTATGGATGTGTATAATGACGATAGCTTCACAATGCAGTATAGGTATGTATCACTCGATAGACTTGTCTGAACCTACGCCAAATTGACACTTCGCATCTCAAACAAACATTATACACGTGTACGCAAATCTCAGCAACAAAAAAAAACTCTCCTCTTCCCACGTTCCCCAGCAAAACCAGAAGCAATATCGTCTTTCATGCGACTTTTCAACAAGCTTTCAGCGTCGTGGAGACATGGCCACCATTTTGACTACATATTGTTGCAAGATGCAGCAGGGTTTCTTATCAAAAGTTGCTTCAAATGATTGCTAGCTAATTGTTCAAGTAAATACCGAGATAATGTGTGAATAAAAATTATGGCGGAGCATCAAAAACATGATAGTTGAAATCACTCGGAAAGATGCGAGGACAATGCTGCCCTCTAATACCACTTCCTTTTACGGGATAGCCCACTCACTTCTCAGGCCTCGGAAGTCCTCGAAAGAACATGGTGGCTGACCTGGACCTGACGACTTCCACGCCTAGCCCAGTTCTCAGCTTCAACAAGGTCCGTATTTCCAAATTGTCGAACCCAATGCCTCCGAGATGAGCCATACTCATAAACGACATCCACTCTGTACCAAACGCAAACTCGAGCCCCGCTAGGCCAAACTTTGCCACTTGCTTGCTCGCGTGGTATCGTCTGTTTCCCCACTGCCTGCGAGCCCGTTCGAGGAGACGCTCAGCCTTGGTCACGACCAAAGTGATAGAATCAGCATCCTCTACCATGTTAGACTTGAAATCAACCTTGGCCCTAGCCATTTCATCTAAAAGATGCTGAACCCTGACCTTGTCTGCTTTAAATCGGCCACGTCTTAGCAATTTGTTATGTAAAAAGACATTTAGTCCTTTGCAATCCGGACACGAGCAATAGACTCCAGGCCGCGAAAGGCTTGGGCGCTCTGGGTAGCGTCCCACCCATGTGTTGACATATGCCTTAAGAATCGCTGATAAGAATTTTGAAATTAGCTGTGCTTTGTAATCTCCCAGTACTAGTTGGAGGCGCTTCATGAGTGGTATGAATTCCTTCACAAGGGGCATCCATAAAGCATCGAATTGAGTACGTCGTATATGTGGAGCAGCGTCAACGACTTTCGAGACAAGTAATTCGAGAACACCGTCAGATGGGTCCTCTGGATCGAGAATTTGGCACTCTGGATCGATGATCTGGTCGATGAAACAGAAAACACTCCTAAAGTGAACTCCTTTTCCTTTCATTCCGCGCTGGGAAGATGTCGAAGATTTGACGTTGCCATACTGCTTTTTATATCCCCTCTCACCAAGTTTGCGTAGGGAACCATCATCATCGTCATGATAGAGATAGGTACGGTAATCATCCACATAAACAAAATCTTCATCGTCGTACGCGTCGCACACGTCGTACAAGTCGCGTCCATCATATTCTTCCTCGATGTACTCTTCGTATTGATCCCCCTCATCTTGATCCTCCTCGTTGTGTTCCTCGTAATCATCGAGATCAAGGTCATCGTCATTATGAAGATCGTCACCCCCATGGTAGTTGCCGTTGTGCAGATTGCCGTTAGGTACAGCACTCCCGGGACTAACAAAATAACGACCATCGGGTATGCCACGCCATTGTACGAAGTCTGCCGAGGAAAGTAGAGATTTGGCTACCTCCCGACTAAACTTCAAACAATCCCCCTTGGGCAAATATCCAGATATGCCATAGTAGTCTATTTTATGGATAAGCCCGAGTATTGCCGCCAATTGGCGCTCCAGACCAATCTTATCGATGCTACTCGGTTCTCAGTCTCAATTTCCCACATAGATAGAGAAGGGACAACAAGACGACTTACGTCAGTGATAGAAACTCAAATGGATCGTCAAAATAAAGGGCAAATTCGGCTAATGCTTGCCCATCTTGCGCTTGCAGGCGTTTGTTTTTACAAGCCTCAATGCATGAATTCAGAACTCGGCGAGCAAAATGGAGGATACGTCCTGGGATTGCATTGAGTCTTCGCCTCGGTGTTCCGTCCTGCGTTCTTTCTTGCCGATAATGAATAGCTCCTTTGAGTGATTTAAGTTGTTTCACGGGCCCAGGATATGTGAGAATCACATACAAAAATCTGCGAGTCAATTGTCAGCACGCTGGATCTCTAGTAACGACACCAATTTTGAAATACATACGACTTCTCAATAGCTTCCAATCTTTCCTTATTGCCGTCATCTGTGATGGCAAACCAATTACGGAGCCGGGAAAGGAAATATCTGGGCAACTCCAAAGCGTTTTGAATATATTGGCTGAACCAAGAATAGAACTTGAGTACGAGCATGGCCTCTAGAACATCAATAAAATCCATGTCTATCGGTCTTGGCCTAGCCCAAAACTGCTCCGTCTGTTTAGGCATAGGAGCCATCATGAAGCTACAAATTTGTTTGAAAACGATTGCTGAGCTTGGGCGAGCGTCCTTCTTCAAACAGTCCCTAGCATAGGTAGCGAATAATGGCCAAGCGGCATCGCCGGAATGGGGGCGACCGTATTGATCGCAGCCGTAGAAGAAAGGTATGATTTTATCACGAGGTATGATAATAACACCCTATGCACGGTTAGTATGGAAGTAAGACAAAGATATAAAAAAGACCCACGGCACGAGCAGATCTAGTATCCAATGAGTCCAATGAGTTGAGAACTCCCTTGGTGATGACGCCGTCATTAGTGACTTCATTGCCTGCCAGGCTGAATATCTGTGCATTATACTTCTTAGATTGATCGAGAGATTCAGCATGACCATTCGGCCTCCTCCTAATAAATGCGAGAAAGACCTCAAATGGAAACTCGCCGGAGAGCCTCTTAAGATGCCGAACCAAAATATGATCTTGTGGCTTGAGGTGGTCCGAAATACGATATCGATGGTATTCGTCTTGGAATAGATAATAAGACGCGTCTGGGCTGCGCGACCCGCAATCTTTGTCAATCCATCGCCTCAACGCACGCCGGAGAGGCTGCAGCTCGCGTCTTGGCAACTCAAATTTCGTCGTGTCAAGTTTTTGCCAGTTGGTACTGGTACTGATGGAGAAAATTAGAACCAAGAGGTAGCCTGATTTGATTGGACGTGAGTTGATCTTGTAGTGCCAAGTTGTAAATGATTGCGCCGCTTGGCTTGGTGCAAAAACAACTTTTTTCGTCTTTCTATGATTGAACACTATCTCGCCGCCTTCATGTCTAGACGGCAGAAAAATGGCAAGACTACCTATGGCTTGGATCTCTGCAGTCCTGCATTGCTGGTGTCAGATAAGACAATGGTCTTGATGTTCCAGGAAGATTTTGACTGACAGAAAAGTTTCGCTATAATCGAATCCGCGCTTCATCAAGAGCATCCTAACGGGCTTCGCCCGGAGCGGTGTGGTCACACCGAGATTGCGGGAAGCCTGCTCCAAGAAGCCTTGAATCACATTCGACCATATGGCATCATCCAAGGTATATTCTTCCGGGTCAAGCTCTGTGAGATTATCGCTGTCATACTGGTCTTCTTCCTCACGAGCGTGGGCACTGATTTGCTGAGCTTGTGCCTCTTCAAGTGGCAGGGCAATATTTCCGACCCCTTTAACAGATACACCACCAAGAGAGTCAGGTAGCGTATGACAAGAAAGAAGGCGGCCCGTCTTCCCAAAGTGCCCCATGGCATCCCAAAGGTCGGCCTCGAGGTCTTCAGCGCGTTCATCCTTTCTCAGATCGCTCAACACGTTTTCTGCGTCATCTACATCCATGTCATCGTGCTGTGGGTCCAAGGCCGGAGCCACGGGTTCTGGAGGTTGGCCATCCATTGAATATAACAATCTGGTGAGTGTTGGGAGATGGGAGAAGGTGTCAGCAAGTGTAGAGCACTTGGCGGGGGAAGCTAGCTCTGGCCGATATGAAGCTACTGATTGGCTACCTGCACGCAACAATTCCATGGCTATGCAGTATATTCAGGGGGTTGGCGAACAAGACTTCAGCCGTAGCTCCACCTTGGTTAGCTGACGAGATAGCGACAGGGAGTTGTTCAGAAGAGGCAAAGTATTTGTTTAACTTCTATCACACGTATATAGACGTGGGCACTGTTAAATATGTTGCTTACGTACGGAGTACTCCATTCTTCGACTCCATAGCTACAGGCAATTGACCAAGATGAGCGCTTCAAAAAACAACCTTAATAGCCCACGATACGGAGCGCACGTCAAGGTAAATTACAGGCATTGGTTTCAATGCTTCCACACAAACTGAGGATTGCAGCCAACAAAATCCCACAAAATAAGTAACCAAGAATCACAGTCAGCCAATTCAATCAGCAAAACCTCTAAAAAAGGAACCTCGACTGGCCCTTCTGTGCTGCCAACTCCAAGGGAGATTGGCATCAGCGTCTAATCTCGCTCCGGGTTTGAATGGAGCGCCATCTTGTGCGCATGCTGATGGTTGCCGTTACATAGTTGGTAGATGGCTCGATAATCATCCGGGTACCGAGCGACTTCAGCACACGTATTCCTGCCAACTACGGTATGTTGGCTAATGAATTATGCTACCGGAGGTTTAGTTGAAGTTTTCACTCTTCTGCTACGACTGCCATGATCGCTCCGACCCCAGTTTAGTGCATGTAAGTCAGTGGTCGAAGCAATGCTAATTTTATTGATGAATGTATTGATGTATTTGAAAGTAGAAAGAAATAGAAATGTAACATATTATTTTCTTAACGCTTCAAATATAATATAGATGCTTCCGCGACGGCTGTCTTTGCCCCCCCGAAGTTCTATCACGCCGCTGCATGCGCATGCATTCGCTTACACCAGTCACTCTATACTTCGCCCTTCCCCATAGTAGAACATCGCATACCCTTGGGCAATCATCCATTACCTTTCACCTAATTATGTATTATACCTTATCTAATCTCCTTTTCTATCCTCCATCCCCCCCAAAACCTACATACTCTCGCCACGCGTCAGACGCCGCCCAAAACCGGCAACTGATCAGCAATGACGCCCTCAGCGTGTCATGAATGGTGGGGAACCCTTGGACAACTTGACCTTCTAAAGCCACTATTTCCAGGTTTTTTTAGGTACCAGCTCAGCCTCCGTGACTTTGCCTGCACGCCATTGATCCTGTCACAAGTAGTCAAGGACATGCCATCCATGTCGGCGAATCCTGAGTGGGAGGTCTGCTAATTTACATAATGCCAGAGCACATGCGAATAGTACCTCTAGCATGTACTTTAGTAGATGGCGGCTGAGATCAGTTAACAATGAGAGCATTACACGTCATTGTTCGGCGCCAGGCTCGTGACGTCATGAATGGCCTCTTACATGCACAGAGTTGATCATCATCGAGATGTCAATGAATGGGATATTATTTCGTGATGGCTTCTTTTTTCTCTCTCTCTCTCTCTTTTATCTACTTCTTCTGTCTGTGACTGACTGCTGCTAACCAACTGCTCTGGTAACATCCATCTCCATCAACCAAAGTGAGTCTCGTAGAACGCCTGCTCACAACACCACTAACACAACATCACCACCATCCAGCCGCCCACTCCCATAAGCACAAAAAAATTCCACCACAATGCCTGCAATGAACGACTGGCTTCGCGAGGACCTCCTCGGCAAAGAACACGACCTCTGCACCGCAATCACCTCGGCCAATCCCGCTCCCGCCGTGCTCAAGATGTGCGCTCCCGACGCAGCCCTCATGTTCCCCAAGATGGAAATCATCTCACCCGAGGACGAGGACGCCTTCATGGACGCCATGCAGCCGCCCTTCCACCGCTTCGACCACTTCGAGACTGAGGACATGCGCGCCCATTTCATCGGCCTCATGGGCGGTGTCGTCACGTACAAGATCCGCGCGACCAGGGGAAAGGAGAAGTATCGTGCCACGGCTTCGTCGACTTGGAACCAGGGCGCCGATGGGGAGTGGCTGCTGGTTGCGCATTCTGAGACTTTAATTTGAGGAAGGATAGTGAGATCAAATGTATCAGCCGGTTGTTCGGTGGCGCAATTGCTGTGCGTTATAAATTAATTTGGAACGAAATAATCTGATTACGACTTTTAACATACCTCGTCTGCTTCTTCAATTACATACATGCTCTCAGCGAGTCAAATACGAGAGTAGCTTAGTTTTTTCACATGTGGAAATATACACCTTTTATCAACTAAACCAAGATGAGTCTCTCTATTTGTGATTCTTTCTAATACAGAGCCTCCATCCGCATATTCACATACTCCATAGAGTTCACTGGCTCGTACTTCTTCGGTCTCCCAGGTCCCCAACAGACGGGCACACAATCCACCGTCTTCTCCACATCCGCGCACATAAAATACACAATCGAATACCTCGCCTTCGTCATCCTATCCTTTGGGATATCTCCCCCATCCCTCACCAACGGCGGAGCCTTGACCCGATGCATCGTCGACTTCAGCTCATCATTACTCCAGCGCATCAAAAAGTCCCCAATATTCACCACCGCTGTGCCGGGTATGTACGGCACAGGATTAAACCTCCCCTTCTCACTGACATCCTCTACCTCAAGCCCCCCAACATCATCCTGGAACAGCATCGACATCGTGCCGAAATCCGTATGCGCAGCTATCCTCTCCGCTTTGCCCTGCCGCAGAAGATGCTCTTCGATGGTCGGATAATGCAGCAGCCGAATCTGGTTATCCTTGTTCATATGATACTCCACGAAATACTCTTTATCAAGCCCCATCCCCAGCGCAACGAGCCTCAGCATCTCCACTTCAGCAGCATAGCAAACCTCATAGAATCTCTCGAGGAATTCCTGAAATCCAGGAAGGATTTCTCGTGGCGGCCATACATTCGCCATAGGCGCACCGTCGTCCCCACGCCCCATGTCAAATGATTCCTTCACATCGGGTACATTTCGTGCCGCCGCGAGCGACGCCTCGTCAAAGACCATCTGTGACAACTTTTCACGACCCACACTTGAGTAGCCGCGTTGGTGCCATGCCTCTTGTGGGTGAGGAGCTAGATCTTTGTCGCTCTGCGGGAGGCTGAAGAATTTGCGACTCTAGGTGACAACGATTAGTTGAGCTTCGATGTTATCTTGAACAGTCCTTGTGAGGTATAGGCACATTGTATTATGAGAATGAAGGAGATGACTTGACATACCCAATTAAATGCTTCATCGACAACATCCTGGGGCACACCATGGTTCTTCACATACGCAAAGCCAACATTTTTGAACGCCTCGTATAGTTCTTTGGCCACATTTTGGACATCCTTATCTGAACCAGAATGAGCTGGTGCGAGATCAATAATGGGGATACTCGAATGCTGGTCAATGTTATTTGACATTTTATCTTCTCGGGTGCTCTCTCAAATGTTAACAATCGGCTAAAGAGGCAATCTGGTCAACAAACTTGATAGATTAAGCCTTGATATTCTCGGAGATGACAGTTTGCATCATCGTCTCACGTCTCACGCTGCATTTGCCGGTATAACGCCGTGACGTAGATGTGCATACCGAAATGTGCACATCGATGAGGGGACGCCACGTGCCGATTTGACAGCCAAACATCATCCAACAGTCCTTATCATGGCCGAATAATATATTCCTCAGGCTGCACTCAAAAGATTCATAATATGCATGTGCCAACAGAAATCAGTTCTATTAATACAATATTCGAATATTTGCATTCTTGGTATCTAAGAGAAGTGGAAAGAGAAGAGCGGGAAACCAGGAATCCAACATACATGACCAATCCATGCCAAGTCATCGTTCCAGCGACAACAATATTGTGTCTACATGTCTCAAGCTCTTTCTTCCGCCACAAAAAAAAAAATCGCTAATGAAAGCAAGATTGTACATCATACTCCTAGAGACACTTCTCCTAGAGGCACTTTTGCCTCCTGCGGTATAGTCAACCCTTCTGGATATGTGTTCAATGCCTGTCGCACTCCCAATTCCCGACCAATGTAGAAGAGCAGGCCCTCTGCAGCGAGTCGCTGCTCCGCTCGGCAGATGGTCATCACATACACACAAATAAGCGGCCATATAACTCGCAAGGCATCAAAGACCATCTTTGGAGATTTTTCCTGTCCGCTGGAAAGGGGCCCGATTACACGGGGCACGCCCTCCAAAATCCCTTGCGCTGCGGTCTGAGCCGCATCGATGCTAAACTTTCGATCTTCATGAAGCTGCTCCAGAGGAATCGGGCAAGGAGGGTAATGTGTGAGAAAATTGATGAGAAGCTGCATAACATGGTATCCCTTGACGATAGCAGACTGGTACAGACTTATCGCGTAAATCTCCAAAACGTGATTTCCAATAGGGTTTGATTCGACCCAGTCTTCGAACTCCTGTTCCGCAGCTTTCATTTGAGCAAAGAGTTCAGGATATTCTTTAGACGCGGCGGGAAAGTCACGGCGTCGGAGGAGGTTGAATATCCGTGCCTGAACGGTGCATACTTTCATGATGAAATAAGAGATGGCTACTCCCAAGCCCTCTCCCGGATGTAGCGGCAGTGACCGTTCTATTGCTGCGAGCCATTCGTTGGATTCTGCAGGACACTCTGTATTACTAACAAGGGCCTGGATTTGCTGTGCACGAGTCGGGTCAGCACATGTGACAAGTGACAAGTCTTGTTATGGGATGAATGATACATACCACCATGCTATAGGCAGGCCAAAAAGCTGTGCGACCTTTACTTGTATATAGAGGGCCGGTACCCCTTGCCTTGAGGATGCTGTATAGCCCTCTGGCGTGTAGATGCCATGGACTGAGGACTTCGGTACGGGTCAGGGAGCCAACGAGCAACTATTGAATAGTGAGCTTTTGACATGGGGCATTGCTCCATTTGAATGCATGGTATCAGAGTCTTACATACCTCGTAATTAGTAAGAATCCATACCGTGGCGAGGATGTCGTCTCTTTGAGCACCCTCAGGCGTTTTGAGTGCCTCGCTCACTAAATTCAGCGTCTTGCCTAGGTAACCACCCAACTCGCGTTGAGTGTCAGCATAGGCATCCCTACTCAAGGCCGTTGAGTACTGCAGGTTGGTCACGTAGGTGCGCGAAAAGAGATGGGCGGCCCAGACGAGGGGTCCGTCATCTGTGTAGTCGCGATACATATTTTTGATGAAATCAAGATTTGAGTAGACATCGAGGAGGATGGGAATGGAATGAGACGTCCAGTGTTCAAACACCGGGCGAGTGAGTGGAAGCAGCGCATTGCAGTTGACGCCGTTGGCCAAGACGAGGTCCGTTGAAGAGGTGAAGACGAAATCTCCGTTTGGAGTAAGATTGGGTGCTGAAAACGTTCCCCCATCGGAGGATGAAGATGAAGACGATGAAGACTCGCTGCTGCTAGGGGACTGCGGCAGGGGCACGCGCTTCTTGCGCTTCTTGACAACCGTGGGGTCGGCATTGCGGAAGACCAGCTCCTGTTGATCCCGATAGCCTGGACACTGAGCGCCGTACTTGGTGCATCTCTGACAGGCGGGACGGGCAAGGTCGCACTACATGAGATGAAGGTGTAAGTAGGTAAAGTAGGCAAAGTAGGCAAAGTGAGTAATGTAATACGGCACGGCAGCTGATGGGACAAACCCCGAGCCGAGCCAAAGCAGGCCAAGCAAGCAAGCAAGCAAGCAAGCAGATTCAACCGCCAAGAGCCAGTCATGAGCCAACTGAGTGACACACATCGACAGCCTTGCAGAAAGGCCTCAAACTGCCGCAGACCCACTCGATCGATCCATCTACATATATCCCGGCTTCTCTCCCCTTGGTTCACGACGGATGCATCGTCCATACACGTATATAACACTGACCTTGACTCGCCGCTGGCGGCACAGGTGACAATCCCGGCTAGGTCTGCCTGTGTTGGGCATGGCGGCACAGCGTTGCTCGCTCTCTTCAGTCGCAGTCAAATCGCAGGAGAGGCCAGCGCGGTTTTAGGCATGTCGCCTGGGAGGCCTCGTCTGGAATTCTGGAATGTCTGCGATGCGCTGAGACAAAGAGGAAATGCCATTCGAGGTGGGGGGGCGTCGCATCTTGGCGCCGCTCTGCCGCAGCACGACGTGACGGGCCAATCAGCGGCGTCGGCGGACATGAGAAAGGCCGGCTCCGCTTGACGGAAGCACGTGAGAGGCTGTTCTGGGGGCTCAGCCTCTGGAGTTGACGTTTGTCACAACGTTGGAGAGGGTACGCTATCCTGCCTGGGGCTTAAGCTGGTTGCTGTGCTGTGTCATAGCGAGAGTGGCTCGTTACATGGCGCTGGGAAGAGGTTCTTGAAACACCAATACCATCGCTATACAAGGTGTTTACCCGCTGCATCTCGTTTTCGATGCTACCCATGTTTTGATATAACTCTATAACTGCTTCCTCTCAACCACGTACAACTGCCCATCATAACAGAACCCCCAGCCTCGGCAAACTCGCTCCCTCGGTAGAATAAACTTAGTGCTATTTGTTATTGTAATCATCGTCTACCAAACTTGGAGACTTAAAAATCTCCAACTTCTCACAAGTCCAAAAGTCTCGACGCTTCCCCATTCAGCCACACCCTAAAAGTCGTCACCCCCAAGCTTTTCTCCCCGCAACGGCAGTCGAAATATAACAGCCCCAGACCCTCCGCCATCAGAAAAGCCCCGATTCAGGCAGGCAACGACTCGTTCCTTGAATTGTCCTGATCCGCTATCAATTTCCTGATTCGGCCGTCCCCTCGCATCTGAATGGCTGCGAGCTACCCCACCTTGTTTACAAACCTCGGGTAGACAGACTCGTTCCCCCTCTTGTTCATTTTGCCTCTCTCCTACAGCACTTACACCTTTTCACGCCCACAATCCCATACATTGCAGTATTTCTCATCTTAAATCAAATCATCATCACCATGCCGCACTACGCAGACCGAAAGGACCTCTTCCCCATGCAAGGCGGCTGTCCCTGCGGCCACATCCGCTACCAAGTTAACCTCCCTCCCCTCATCGTCCAAACTTGCCACTGCACGCTCTGCCAGCGCCAGGTGGGCAGCGCCTTTGCCATCAACGCCATCATCGAATCCTCCGCCATCACCCTCCTCCCACCGGCGCCTCTCACCACTCCGCTCTGCAAAGCCGACGCGCAAGCATCGTCTCCGTCTTCCCCAGCCTCGGTCAAAGTATGCGGCGTCCTCCCCGCCTTTGCAGACTTCACCAACGCAGCAACCACAGCAACTGTATCCCAAACCGCTACTTCTACTTCCGCTACACCAAACAACCCCATCCTAGTGACAATCCCAACCCAATCAAAAGTCGGCCAAACCGTCGCCCAATGCCCCCAATGCCGCGGCAGCTTGTGGAACTACTACGCTGACGGCGGCCTCTTCATGACCTACCTCATCGCCAGTACCCTCGACCTCCCCTGGGAGCTCGAGCCCGACGTGCACATCTTCACCCGCAGTCGCAGGGATTTCGTCACCATCAACGACGGCAAGCCCCAGTTCGAGGGCCAGTACCCCGACAGGTCCGTCTTCTTCAGGCCTGACTCAAAGGCCAGGGTCGATGCCCTCTTGGAAAAGCAAGCCGCGTGGAGGAAGCAGCTCAAGGCCGCTTACAAAGCCCAATTTGCCAAGATTTAGACACATAGGATTGTCAGATATATGAAAGAAGCATTGCATGTACACGCAGAGAACCTTGCAGCTCATATTTGCTTATGATTTTATTATTTGAATTTAATCTTCATGCCCGCCACAACCTCAGTTTCAAATCAGGGGTATTTATCCATCATCCTCCACATTTCCGTGCTTCCCTTCTTTCTCGGCTCCTACATCGGTAGGGACCGCAAGCGAAATGAACATAAAATAATCCCAAACAAAGAAATACGCAAACATGAATAACAGGCCTCAAGCAACATAGTAAGGTGTCAAGTAGCTATGGCACCAGCGCCATTTCTCCCAGTAAGGGTATACCGGTAGTATCTTTGCTTTATCCAAATCGAACCTCTTTTTTGAATGATAATTATGATTGTTCCTGCTGTGGAGCAGATACGTGTAAAGCGTGCCAAAGTAACTTCTGCTATCTTTCTTTTTTCATATACCGTCTTGAAATTCGACCAAATAAACCAGTGCATAAATATTCCCGTATCCAAAAATCATGTTAATTACCGAAGAAGAAGAAAAAAACGCTTTATCGAAATGTCGGAACCTCGCCAACGCCAGTTGAGTTTAGGTCATATAGAAGGTAAATAGCACGCCATATATGCCGCTCGTGAAATCCAGATATGAAGAAGAGATGGGTGAAGAGAGTGAGAGAGAGTGTGAGAGAGAGATAAGATCGAAGGAAATTCTAGAGTTGCCTTACTCTAGCGTAATGATGGTTGAATTATGATTCTTTTTTTTTTCCCGGTTCGTAGATGTCGCTGGGCTAGCCACCCATCTTGCGGAATCCCTCGACGCCGAGCAACGGCACTTCAACTTCATGCAGCGTATCAACGCCCTCATCGCGGCGGCGCTCAACAAAGTTGTTGCACTCCGCTACCACAAGGCTCCACTCGGACAACGCACGTCCCGAATAAACCAAGTTCTTGACAAACGCTCCAGCGGGCTTTACAGCCTCTGCATTGGCCTCCCCTTGGCGTTCTTCGCTCAGTGTCAGCTGGACGATGGGAGACGGAAGAAGCCTGGATTCGCTGGGGGTAGATGCGCCACTATTTGTCTCGGAACCGCTTGTAATAGACGAAGACTCTTCTGGTATTACCCCGCCGCTTAGAGATAATTTTCGACGAGGCTCTGTGACTGGTGAACTAAGTGGGCTTGCATTCCTTGCTGCTTGCACCAAACCACCCTGTGAACTGCCAGAAAACTTTCTCGTGGGTATCAAGAGTGGGGGAAGGGTCGGGCCACCCCCACGTTTTGCCTGGAAGCCAAGTCTTGCTTGGGCTGGTGTAGGAAGTCTCGGGCACGCGAGAATGCGGTCTAGCGAGGGCACCTGTTGCTGAGGTTGCGGCCAGCCCAGAACAAACTTGAAAGTAAACTTGGGCTCTTCGAAGACTGGGTTCGAGCCATCAGAGTCCACGCTCTTGTCGGATTTGGCCGTCCTGGGTGGGCTGGATGGAGTGTTCTGCCGTGCCCGAGAGTTTGCAACCTCGCGCCGTGCATTCTGAAGTCCATCCTCTGAAGGTGATGAATCTGTCGCCGTTCGGGTGCTGGGGGAGGCGGCCGAGTTGAATGTTAGTAACTTGAGAATAGACCACTTTTTCTTGGGGTCATTCTTGGCTAGAAGGCTTGCATCAGCGCTGCTGTCGCTGGAGGGCGACACTATACTTGACGCCTTGGTGAACGAATCAAACGTCACAAATAGGCCCGGCTGAGGTACACTGATTTCCTGCCGAATGATGATGAACCGCTTTCCCAGAGTAGGCGACATTGGTGCTGTCGCGGGGCCGGGCTGGCCAGCTTCCTCGGCAGTCTGCTTAAGATATAGATAATGCGACCAAACGCTCTTGAGCCTCTTTGAAGCCAGTGCAAAAATTTCCCTACAAATACTGATTAGACCTTGTTCCGTTTCAGAGCGTTATGAGCAGGAATCTTTTTGACTTACATGTCTGTTTCATTCTGGCTACCCTTGTCGCGACAGATTCTCCAGCAAAGCAGACGCATGTAGTATGCTCGCACCATTGGGCACCAGTTGTTGAAAAATGAATTAAAGGTCTCTTCCGTCAACAGCCAGTCACGGCATATCATCATCTTATGCTCAGGATCCTTGGCAATAGCATCCCATACCGTGAAAATGAAAGAGATCATTCGAATTTCTGATAGAGTGTTCAACGAGGTCAAGGCCAGTTTGCAAACGTCAACCCAAAAAGGCCAGTCAATATAGCATGTTGGGTTTTCAGTCGTCTCAGCCCGATGGTAGATGAGGATAACCTCCTCCAATAGGTCACACAGTGTTGAGCATGCGGTACTGTTGTATCTCGGAGTCCTGCTCGCGGCAGCTTTCAACAGTGCAGAGAAAGCTTCGGCAAAGGTATGTCTTGCTCCCGAATTGAAAGAAGTGTCATCGGATAGAACATCTTTCAACAGCACCACCAGTCTATTCTCTGCCATGCTCTTCATCATGTTGTTCGACGGCATAGGCATCTGTAAAGCTGCTGCTTCAGCTCCCCGAGCCGAGGTAGCCAAAAGCGAGGCTTGAGGCTCAAAGGCAGCCTGGCGATGGATGGTGCCATCGAGGATCGACAAGAGCTGTGCATGAACAAGAATAAATGCAGGCGACTGTGCTTTCTCAGTCAAGGAGAGACCTTGCGGCATAAACTGGTTGGATAAAAGGTGAAAATATCGGCAAAAGATGAAGAGAAGGTCGGTATCACGACCCTTCCAACGCATAACCCAGGGTCCCGTCCACGGCACCCTCGCTACAAGCAGAGGCATCTTGGGGATACGTTTTAGAGTAGCCCACATGCCTCGAGGCGACGACCAGGCCAAGGGACTCAGCCTCGGCGGAAATGAGGCTGCAATTTCCCCATCGACTGGCACATTGCTATTGCTTCGGCCCAGGCCCATGCTTTCAGAGGCGCGGCGAATCAAGTCGGGAGTCAGACCCCAAAGCCTCACCAAGATATCAGACACACCAGGCGCGAAGAAGAAGGCGTATGCACACGTCTTGCCGGCGAACTCGATCAAGCTTGGGGGCACGTGGCGGAGGGACATCTTTTCAACAACAAAAGCCATCTGCCTCACCAAGTTGGACACAAACATGGTCCTGATGTTGTGTTCAGCCGACTCTGCCAGCATGGCGGATTGGTTTGAGCTCTGCGATGAGGTGGATGAGTTGGTGGATGACCTCGCCCGCATCCGGTCTTGAGGGGACCGCTCCGACAAGGGCATAAAGTAAGAGGTTGTCTGGCGCCACTCAAGTCGCATCATGATAGTAGTAGCCGTCTCGAAAAGTAGCTGTCGATCAAGACCCGGGACCGGCTGTTGGTGCTGTACCTCGAGCATGTCGAGGACGCCACCCCACCACTTGTTGAGGATCGAAGCCCGGCAGTCGACATCTTCGGGCCGCAGACCGCCAAGTGACTGCTGGCTGGTGCTGCTCTTCAGAAAAGGCAAAAACAGGGACTCGATCAGGGCGCATTGCTGGGCAACAGCCTTGGAGGCGAAACCGCGAAACTCGAGGTCTAAATTCTTGAACTGCGACCACAGAGGATCGGGCATGCGCGCTGGCATTTCGCTCGACGACTCATCTGTGGTGAGCGCCGTGGAGTTGGTCTCGGCAGAAGAGGTGGATTGCGAGACATGCGTGTCGATGCTACTAGAGCCCGGCTGAGCCAAGCTGGTGGCAGACGAGGCGCAGCTAAAATCGGAGCCAATGCTGTCACTTGTTTTAGACAACGTGGACGCGGGTTTTTGCTTGATCCTGGAGAAGTAGCTGGTGGCACGAGCGAATCCCTTCGTCGCGGGCTTAGCACCTGAGTCGACTAAGCGGGTTTGGCCCGTCTGATTGGCTGTAATTTCCTGGATGCTGGCCGTCACAGCCCGTTTCAGCTGGTAGCGGTTCGATTTCGCTTCTTGCTTCACGCTCGTCGCAGCTGGAGCGTCTGATTGGATTTTGGGCAGCGAGCGCGACGACGGGATCCACGACCTCTTGGTGAAGCTGGCAAAGCTTGCAGTTGTGGATTGAGAGCGGTCCCGGGCTGCTCGGCGGGCTGCCTCATCGCTGTCCATGGGGGCTTCGTTTGCTGTAGCTGGCCGCCGTGGTTCGTCCAGCGGAGGAGTTGCGGCCTCGTCGTCCTCGTACTGAGTATCTCGAATGGTCGTCAAGCTGCGCAGCCATGAGCGAGGCCCATCGTTGGACGAAGCTGCAGATTTTGTGCGTAGATGTTGCAAGGTTGTTGGTGGAGAAGGGGGTCTGGGGTCGGCATATTCAGAGGTAGTAGAAGGGGGCGCCTTGATCTCTAAATCAAGAGGAAGAGAGATGTCGAGATTGAAGTCTAAATCGGTATTGAAGGAGGGTATTTCAAACGCCGCGATCTCGGCCAAGTCCTTGATATCCAAGGCGGGCTGTTCGGTCGAGACGGGCTGGCCAAGCGAGGGCGACTTGGCTCGCGATGGCAGCGACGGAAGATCGGGAGAAGAATGGGATCGTCGAGAGAAGGAGAGGGAGGAGATTTCCACGGCCGGGGCCATGATTGCCGTTCCGCTCATTGCATGACCAGCACCTTGGCGGTTTCTGATTCGGGTGGTGATTCGGGTGGTGGTTCTTGTTGTGATGCTTGTCGCAAGATCCGACGAGTTCCGCAAGACGCTGTCGCCGTCCAAGGCGCCTGTATCAACCGTGAAGCTGTCCGAGTTAATTCAACATTCCTTTCAGCGAGTGTCTAGTCGGCAGCAGCGATTTGGGGCGCAGAATGGGAGCGAGTGCCAGACTCAAGGCCGCATGAGAAGCGAGGGGGGGCCTGCAGGGTTGTGATGCAACGAGATTGAAAGCCGGTACTAAAAAGAAGGAGGCGAAAAAAAATTCAATCACGATAACGATAGACAGACAAGGCTTCCGGGAACGGTCTGCGGCCGCATCGAGAGAATTGCCACGGCAGCCTGGCCGATGGGATAAAAGCCGTCGAGTCGATATACAAGGCCGAGCACAAAGGAGCTGCACAAATGGCCTGCCGATTGCGCCCAGGAGAGCGGAATGACGGAGATGGGCAGATTGGATGCGGCTGCCGGTGGCGTCGGCTAGTGAGCAATCCCTACAGCACCAATTGGGGGAGTTTTTTTGCTTTTGGCGAGATGCCCGGAGGTGGAATTGGATTAATTAATTTACAGCAGGTGTGCGAGCTCCATTCAGGGGATCGGGCCTTGCACTAGAGCCCATTCTGTCTCTTTCAGCGCCAGCACCAGCGCTAGGCTTCACGACTCTTGAATCAATAGATCGTGCCTGGCATCGGTCTTGAAATAACAGCCTAAGCGTTAGGCAGAGAAGCCATCGAGTTGCCTCGGGCGCTTACAGATCCAGACATGGAGCATTACGTAGGTGCTTAACCAAGCGCGCCACAAGCGAATCGATGCGTTCAAAGTGCAAAGTGCGCAGTGCTCAGTCTTGGCCGTTCGCGCCAATTCCGTGCTGCATTGACGACGAATCCGGGTGGACGAGCCGAGAGGCCAGGATTGATTCCTCTTGCTCCTGTCCCGCCCGTTCTTGATCAGCACGACAAGCGAAAAAAAAAGGAAAAAAGAAAAAAGGAAAAGAAGAAGAAGAAAGGGGGATTTCGGATTTCTACATCCATCCTCACGGCGTTCCAACCGCTGGCTTCGTCCATTAGCGTGGCTAGCTGCCGTCCGCCAAGTCTATCCAAGCCTTCAAATTTTAAGTCGCATCGCGAGTCACCGGCCGTTGCCCACCTTGGTAAGTATCGAGTACTAAGACACCGGGCGAGCCGTGGCGCCATGGACTGAGCTGGACAGTTGTCAAGATCCTATGTAAACAAAGCACAGGTACAGTACAGTCTCTAGTCTACAAACATACTAGGTAATCTCATGAGAGAAAAGAGAGGAAAAGAAAAGAGGCGATCCCGATGCGCCCTTGCATCGTCACAACTGCAGAAACCAGAGGATGGACAGCATCCACACCATGTCTGCTCTCGTCCGTGTCCTGAGACATCGACGGTGAACAACAACATCCAATATGCTCGTAGCATACTTCCCCGCAAAAAAAGTGGCGCGACGGCTACGAATCACCAGTTCTGTCCGCGATGCAAAGGCATCATACGGTTGTCCGACTCCGACGACTCACATCAAACGCCCTACTGTTGCATCCTGCTGTAGGTGTGCCGTCATCCAAGCATTAGCAATGCAGATCCCAACTCCGTGTCTCTCCGCAACTTCACGCGCCACTGCCCCTAAAGAAAGGCGCAGATCAATCCTGTCACCTTGAGTCGCCTAATTGGCGGTTGGTTGCCTCTACAAATCAATACTACTGCGTGCTACAACAGTACGCCGCAACTGCCGGGCATACAGCCAGGATGAAGAACAAGATACCTTCTCTCCAGGGAATAGGCTACCAGGAGGTGCCGAGTACATAGGTACTCGTAGTACTTGATACATGTACATGGACGTGACTCGCACAGGCATCAGTTTCGGCAGAAAGAAAGAAAAGATGGCAAAAGGTTCCACAGCTATCGTGCCATAATTAGGGATGATTGAGTGTAATTAAATGCCCCATTAAAGGTACATGCAGTGAGATGCGTGTATGCGCCGCCCTGCAGTCGTCATTATGCTGGATGAACTGTTTACAGGTCATAGAGCCCACGTGCATGTACCCATGGAACTAATTGAAGTGAACCATTTGATTTGATTTGCACATGCTCGTATGAGCGAGATTCAAAAGTCAACATCGGAGGTGCCCCTTTGCATAAACATGGAGCAGTTCTCTCGCACTCACACCACAGCATCACAGCTCTCTGAGCGGTGTGTGCGCCGTGCAACGCTTACTGGTATCAATCAAAATCAAGCCGCATGCAAGCCCGTTTCAGATCTCTACCGTCTCACAGCTCACCTCTCCTCTGAGTAGTTACTTATCGGCCATTGCTCCGAGGCACGCGAAGACAAAGAAAGATCATCAGGGCAGACACGGCTCATGCTGGACAACCTTACCGTACTTGACACTTCATGCTTGATACTACGGGTTAAAATAGTGTCTGGACAAACCAGCTGAACCGCACGAGGGGCCCGACTTGGAACCTGTGCGTCCGAGACTCCAGTCCGCGGAGCCCAAGCCCTTTTGCGATGGGGCTTGGTCACAGTAGCTGAGAGTAGCAGCTCTTGGCAAGCACGGGCGCCCTCTCTAAGGTCACTACCTAGGTACTAATGGTTGTTTCAATCCATAATGTACGAGTAGTATAAGGCCTCGTACGAGTACCCGTAGTAGCGATGGAGTGTGGCAAAGTGCAGACGCCGTGCCGCTTTGCGGTTGTTTTCAGCTTGGTGAAGACTTTGCAGGTCAAGCTGCAGTTGTACGGCTTTTCAAGAATATCGGCCTTGTTATCAGACATGCATCAGGTAGCACCCGAGAAAAACAGGCGTCTCAACATCATCAGAGTGTACAAAATATGCACCGAGTGACTCCATGGCGTCCATCAATCAATTATACTTGAGAAAACAAGTACGACAGACACGCTTGAAGGGAGAGCGGCGATCTCTATCCTTGGCAGTGGTTCTGCGGCCCTCGCACAATGCAACCAGCCGAAAGGGAAACCAACCCACAATGCAACCACTACGCCACAGCAAAGACAAAGACAAAAAAAAAAAAGGATAAAAAAGGATAAAAAGTTGTCTCCCTAACGTCATGCACCATGCCCTTGGGTTATCAAGACATCGGTGTTTGGTAATAGCAGGGAGAGAATTGATCTTGGCACGTTGAAAACTTCCTTCAGCAATTCGAGCACCTGAAAAGCTCGCTGCTGTACACACATATGCCGTCGTATTGTATCACAGATTTCATCTTGGACCTACCGTTGCTCCGCCAGGGCCATTTCAGTGCAGATTTGCATTGGGATTGGAAATCTTCATCCCTGAACAAGGTGTACAAGGCCCAGGCGGTAGACATCCATAACAAGGGTGTATCCATGGTAATAATGTGAGCCCCCTGATGAGGGGATTGCCAATTGCTGCGGGCGTAATCCGCTTTTGCTTTTCGCTTCCTCGAGACTCGAATGCATGTCGAGCTGAAAACAAAATGAGGTTTGGGCCAGCAAGAAAAAATTTCTTCTCGGGAGTTTATGGAGGGGCATCGTGATTACATAATGCACGGAGACCCGGCAATAGCGCGTGCGCGAGTACTGGATGCGGATGTGACAGGAAATATTCCCTATGTAGGTAAGACGAAGTGGCATTGATTTGTTATACAGGCACAGGTACGGAGTACAGTAATAAGCCTGCAGAGGTACGGTCGAAGGAGGATTTGTCTTGTTGCTCTGTTTTCCTCTTCTTTCATTTTTCCTTTGGCACACCATTAAAGCCTTGAAGTCTTATAGAGAAGCCTGTGTGCTGATCGGCACTACATATTTCCGGCGGCGTGGGCAGATCAGCTTCTGCAGACTCGATTTGCTCGATCTACAAACCATGGCGCCCCACCGCAATCTCACTGAAGCTCGACTTCATCGTCGACGTTTATCATGTGCTCGCATCGCCCGTCTCCGAGATTTCAATTGAATTGAATACGAATTGATCCGTTCAAATCGCCTTCAGGCCCCGAGTCTTGGCACCTGGTTTTTATTCAATAAGCCAATCAGCCAATCAGCTCGCCGTGCTATGGCGCGTTTCCTGTGCCCGCGCTACCCCTGATCACCAGATGCCGCAGTTGTTTCCTCGGGATGTGTGCGTGACTTGTGTGCGTGAGAAGCTGAGGTCACTCTGGCAACCCCGAAAGGAAGGGGGGCAAACCAGGCGCAGTTATTGCTTGGCAGGATCATGTCATCTCTGACGCTCCCTGAACTAATAGTACCTATGCCTACCTACCGTAGGTAGTAGATATCCATTACTATATTAGCAGGAAGGGGAGTGCAACACTACCTACAATAATAGATCATCTGGACAAAGAAAAGGCAAAGAGACGGGCGAAACGTGCTGTAGAAACAGCTTTTCATTGAGGCCCGTCGCGCAGCTAAAAGCATCAGCTACTGTAACACTTCAAGTCATCAGGCCACGATGGCCGCTGCATGTCTTCATGTACGGCATCCATGATCCCTCCACCCGCGAGGAATCTTCAAAAAGAAACAACCCGCCTGTCGTCATTGGCGACGCCGGTCCACACTAGCTGCCCCCCTTAGTCCCCTTTCCGGCCTGTTTACGCCTGTTTACGCCTGTGCAAACTGCTGAGATCCCTGCTCCCAGCCCAGTAAAGTTGCCAGATCCCCGTTCTAGCACTCGCTGTAGCGTCAACGTAGCTCCCCAAGCTCCCGCAGCTCCACTGGCCGAGCAACCTACTGTGCAGTCGCCGTTCGTGACCAAAGTTTTCCTTTGTTGCTGAAGCTCGACTCCCCAGAGCACAGGGCGCCGCTTTGAATTTGCATCCGTCAAGGACAATTCGGGAATCGCCGTTTGGAGCTGTTTCTGCGCGTCTAATCCGTCAAGGTGCGCGACCAGAGATTGACTGCCGGTAATACCTTCAAAAACGGGCGTCTTCGGTAAGCTGCAGGAATCGCAGAGGCCGCCAACTGGGGGACTTGGAGTCGCAATCCAAACAGCAATTTACCGCTGCCGACGAGCCTGGATTGCATTGTATTGCATTTCTCATCTGTTTGTTATCCATTCATCGCATATACCAGCACAATAGCACACCGGCACAAGCATGGCATCGCAGTACGACAACGAGCTGGGTGACATCGACGCTCAAAACCCATACGCGTCCAGCAGCAAATGGCGACATCAAGAGTCGACCAAATACGCCCGCCACGAGGCGCAACAACTCCAGGCGCGCGACGCTACCACAACTGGCACGACCGATGATCTAGCCGAGTATCTCAATTCCACTCGGATTGAGCCCCAGGGAGACGGGCATTCGTCGAGAAACCACCAGCCCATCCATCTGGCTGCCCACAATGGCGAAGAAACGGCCGTCGGCCAACACGATGAGGAGTCAGATGGTAAGGAAATCGTGTGCGGCCCTCTTCTCAACTATCGTCGAATGGAACATGGCTACTGGTTCGGTAGCGTCCTCATTGTAACCAAAGGCGGTGGCAAGGACGTACTCTACCAACCATCTCTGGTCTTGCGACGTGCTGGCGGACAAGGAGAGGCGTTCCAATCCCAGGGCGAGCGTCTGTATTCTGACAAACGAAACACCTTCTGGGCATTTGGCATTAGCGTACCGCTCGAGCCCAATGAGACAAAGTACGAATATGAAGTGCCAGGGCTGCGATTCTCCAGCAGCCACAAGCCACGAATCAACAGCTTCTTCATCCCCGCCATAAACGAGTCGATGCGCATAATGTTCTATTCTTGCAATGGCTTCAGTGTCGGCACCGACGAGGAGGCCTGGAGCGGTCCGGCCCTGTGGAACGATGTTATGCGGAAGCATGCAGCTACGCCTATCCATGTCATGGTTGGCGGCGGTGATCAGATCTACAACGACGGCATCCGAGTCCACGGTCCTTTGCGCACCTGGACGGACATTAGCAACCCCAAGAAGCGCCAAGAGTACCCCTTCCCGGAGAAGCTCCGTGCCGAATGCGATGATTATTATCTTCAAAACTACCTCCGATGGTACAATACGCCGCCCTTTTCCACGGCCAACGGCCAGATCGCCCAGATCAACATCTGGGATGACCATGATGTTTGTGCAGCCCCCAGTGCTCCAGTCTAGAGCCCCAAGGCTAATACTTTGTACAGATCATCGACGGCTTCGGCTCATACGTTGATAAGTTCATGCAATGCGACGTGTTTCGCGGCATTGGTGGCACTGCCCACAAGTACTACATGCTGTTCCAGCACCATCTCCCTCCTCCGCCATCCACATACACATCCGGTAAGCTTTGCTGCATGAACTAGAGATATGAGGGGGCGTATAAACTGGTGCTAATCAAACAATGCATGGACAGACTTTGCCGATAACGATACCGATGGCACTCAGGGCATTGATCCCAATCAGTTGATTGACACGTATGTCGCACCTGGAAAGACCGAACCGCAATACATTGTCGGAAACAAGCCTGGTCCCTATGTTGCGGAACATTCGTATAACATCTACACCCGATTGGGTGCACGTATTGCTCTGCTTGGCATCGATGCCCGAACTGAGGTAAACACTTACTTTTCGTACGGATTCTGCATTGTGTTGTGTGCAGATAGTTAACAATGCCTGCAGCGTACTCGACACCAAGTCAACTATCCTGAAACTTATGACCTGATTTTCCAAAGGGCACGGGATGAGCTGAGCGCCGCTGCCAGATCTGGCCAGCCTATCAGGCATTTGATTCTACTTCTCGGCATTCCCATTGCTTATCCAGTATGTCCACTCTGGCGTTATCCTTTGTGATGGGGGACAGGATTGCTAATAAAGTACGTCACAGCGCTTGACCTGGTTAGAGAACATTCTTCGAAGCCCTCTTATCGGCCCCGTCAAGCTCCTCAACCGACGATTTGGTGTCGGCGGTGGCTTCTTTAATCACTTTGACGGAAGCGTAGATTTACTCGATGACCTTGATGACCACTACACAGCCAAGACGCACAAGGTTGAGCGAGCCCAGCTGATTGTGGAACTTCAGAAGCTTTCGGCCGAGTTCTCGGTGCGAACTACTATTCTGGGAGGCGACGTTCATCTGGCTGCCTTGGGTCGCTTCTACTCCAATCCTAAGCTCAAGGTGCCTGTTGAAGAAGACAGCAGATACATGGTCAACGTTGTCTCGTCGGCCATTGTCAACAAGCCCCCGCCTCAAGCCGTGGCCAATCTCCTGGCGCGACGAAACAAGATTCATCACCTAAACTCCAAGACAGACGAGACTCTGCTGGATCTGTTTGACAAAGATCCTGGCAATTTCACAAAGACTGCCAGTCACAACAACTGCACGATGCCCAGCCGCAACTTTGCTATACTGACAGAAAACTCTCCTACAAACCAAACCAACGGTGTTGTGCCTGAGGTGAATGGCGAGTCGCAATCATTTGAGGGGGTTGACGGCCATTCGCAATTGCACAAGGGAGAGGTTGGTGCTGGTACGCAACACAAGGCAGCTTCTGATGACAGACACGGCCGAGGCCACGATGGCAGCCTGGACATTCGCATCAGCGTCGAGATTGACCAGCACAACCCCGAGGGCCTAACAGAAGGCTACGGCTTGACTGTGCCACTACTGACGTATCGCCCCAGGACCCAAGCGTCCTCGAGGGCAGTGTCTACTGCAACGAGCACTCCAAGCCAGTAGAGAGGACGGCCATAAGAGTTCGTTTTCTCGCCTTGGACATATGGCACGGATTTGCCATCACAACATGATACGATACCCCGGGGCTTTTTTGGTTGAAGGCAAGGGTCATGAGTTGGGACGTTATGATTGGCAGTCAAGAGTTGGGCATGACGGAGTGATGGAAGATACCATGTCTAGTTTCAAGGGAATGTATTCTTGCCTTCTTTTTCGATGTTGAGGGCCTGTATAGATACCTAATACCGTTCGTTGCAAGTGTACGCTAGTCATTCGCTAGGGATGAAGGACTTGAGCATGGTGTAAGTTAAGTTAGTATTAGTACGCAATTGCTTGATATTCTTTGAACCACGACTAAGCGTGCCTTGGTCTTTCATGTGAAGCTGCCAAATTCCACCTTAGTAGTCATTCACAGCTGCGTATGAGTCGTGCAACTCTTCCATCGTCCAATTCAAGAAAATCAACCCCCACATCCAGTCTAGCTCCGCAAAAATAGTTAAGCATGCCTCGTTTCTTTTTTCCTTCTTTTTCTTCGCAACGGCTCTCGACGGGATCCATTGGCCGACTTCGGTGCCCCAATTGTCCAATCCCCAGAACGCTCTATCGCGCCTCCTGGGGAATTCTGCGAGCCGCCTGCTCACGTCACAGTCGCCGCCCCCACTGCCCCTCATCTCCAATCGCCCTTTAACCCGCGATAAGCCGAGCTCCAAAGACGCGATAGCCAAAGATAAAAAGAAGTTGGGGAAGAGACGTCTCTTGATTTCCTTGTTTGCGGGGGAAACTCGACTTGAATCTTTCTTTATTTCTTCGTCTTGCTTTGGAATTATTTCTGCCTTGTCTAGGTTTTGCGAAAAGAAGAAGTCGTTCATGATGCAGTCTGCCGTGCTGAGACGAGCGGGCGCAAAGGGCCTGCGCAACTGCGGATGCAGAGTCCCAAGAGCTTCATTGGCGACGCTGGCGACATTTCGACCTCCCACAATCAAGAATGAGCCCAACGTGAGTAAACGGAAATGATAAAGGAATTGGGATAGATTCATTGATGCTAATGTAAATCGCCTGATAGCAACACTATGCCAAGGGCAGCCAGCAGCGAGAGGGGTTGACGGCGGCGGTAGAGAAGCTGCAGAGCAAGCTGCCTCTCGAAGTGCCAGTCGTTGTAGGAGGCCAGCAGGTGTGTCACATCCCTTTGGAAACAAAATATTTGGCATCAGCAAGCTAACTGAGTGAATCTCTTCAGATCAAAACCTCGTCCCTCTCCAGACAGCTCAATCCCTCGGACCACTCCAAGACGGTCGCCTCATACCATACCGCCACGCCCGCCGACGTCTCCAAGGCCATTGACGCCGCGTTGGCCGCAAAGCCGGCATGGGAGTCGCTCCCCTTTGCGGACCGCGCCGCCGTCTTCCTCAAGGCGGCCGACCTGGTGTCCGGCAAGTACCGCTACGACATCATGGCCGCCACGATGCTCGGCCAGGGCAAAAACGCCTGGCAGGCCGAGATCGACGCCGCCGCCGAGCTGGCAGACTTCTTCCGCTTCAACGTGCAGTACGCCCAGGAGCTGTACAGCCAGCAGCCCGAGCACCACTCGCCCGGCGTCTGGAACCGGCTCGAGTACCGCCCGCTCGAGGGCTTCGTCTATGCCGTCAGCCCCTTCAACTTCACGGCCATTGCCGGCAACCTGCCCGGTGCTCCGGCGCTCATGGGCAACGTGGTTGTCTGGAAGCCCAGTGACTTTGCCATTGCGTCCAACTGGCTCGTCTACAACATCCTCCTCGAGGCCGGCCTGCCCAAGGACGTGATCCAGTTTGTGCCCGGCAACCCCGTGGAGATTACCAAGACAGTCCTGGAGCACAAGGAGTTTGCGGCTCTGCACTACACTGGCAGCACCGCCGTGTTCCGGAAGCTCTACGGCGCCATTGGCGAGGGCGTTGCCGAGGGCAGATACAGGTCGTACCCCAGGATCGTGGGCGAGACCGGTGGCAAGAACTTCCACCTGATTCACCCATCTGCCGACATTGAAAATGCTGCGATCCAGACAGTCCGCGGTGCCTTTGAGTACCAGGGACAAAAGTGCAGCGCTACGTCTCGCATCTACGTTGCCAAGTCTGTCTGGCCTGAGTTCAAGGAGCGACTAGTCGCCGAGACCAAGAAGCTCACTCAGGGCGTGCCCTGGGACCACTCCAACTTCATGGGCCCCGTGATCCACGAGGCCTCTTTCAAGAAGCTCTCGGGCGCCATCGACGAGGCCAAGAGCGACAAGGATCTCGAGCTCGTCTTTGGCGGCACCTACGACTCGTCCAAGGGCTACTTTGTCCAGCCCACCATCTACCAGGCCATCAGCCCCTCTCACAAGTTCCTCTCCACCGAGTTCTTCGGCCCTATCCTCACTGCGCACGTCTACGACGATGCCGCGCCCGATGCCTTTGCCAAGGTCTGCGAGCTGGTCGATGGCACCTCCGAGTACGGCCTCACCGGATCCGTCTTTGCCAACGACCGCGAGGCCGTGCGGTTCGCGGAAGAGAAGCTGCGCAACGCGGCAGGCAACTTTTACATCAACTGCAAGAGCACCGGTGCCGTGGTCGGACAGCAGCCGTTTGGCGGTGCCAGGGCCAGTGGCACAGACGACAAAGCCGGCAGCCCGAACCTGCTGACGAGATTTGTCAACATTCGCTCAATCAAGGAGGAGTTTGCGGCCACGACACAGGTGTCGTATCCTAGCAACGAGGTTTAAGCCTGTCTGTCAACATTTGTATGATGGATTGGGGCACCGTATAAGAGGGATGTGAGCTTGATGTATGGCGTTGATATTTCTCTTTTTTTTCCCCTTCTATAATTCCTTTGCATCTAGGGTAGGATGCTGGCGTTGAGCGGCGAGAATCGTCGACATGCATAATCTCCTATGTAGGGAGAACCCCATCAAAACTACGTTGATAACATGAATTGAAACCAATTGAGAAATGATATGACGAAATGCATGCGTGCGTGCTGTATTACCTTCTCGGGTTATACCATGTAACTTACCTAGTCTTTGGCATGAATGTTGTTTACGCGCGACCCTGCCGTTGCATTACGACATAAAGACTAGCCACGGCAAATGGGATGAAGAGCCGCAAGCCAAAGGCAGCCGTTCAAAAAAAGACTCGATGCTAGTTGATGCAATGCGAAAGTTTATACACTCAGATCCTTGGCTGAAACCTTGGCATTGAATCAGCAACAAGACCCAGACAAATCAAGGTGGTGCCCATCCCCTTCGTATACACGAGGCAAGCTCCGAGCAGAGGACAACGCTATTACAAGGGGGTTCAGACAAAGGGCTGCACAAGTCTTTAGCCATCGGCTCTCATCTTGTTCTCGAATAGGCTTAAATGCACGCCCCGTGGGAACAAGGCAAGATCAACGGGCAGAGCGGGAATTGAGCGTTTGGGGGGCGCAGCTGCGTGGGAGTCGAACTGTGAGTGGACGCTCTCCTCTCCCACAATGCTTCCGGGGATCTTGAGCTTGCCGGATTGCCGTGTGGAGAGCGTTACGGTTGATATGCCGGTACCTGGACAGTAAGTAGATAACATGTGGTTAATCGGGTAGTTTATTTCCTGTTCTTTTCCTTTTTGCCTGATCAAGAGCCGTGCATCTGTACGGAGCACCAACACTCAGCTTTGTTGGGACGAGGGCGACGAGACACTTGCGTCTCATATTCAAGCGAGCATTTTTGGAGCAGCGAATTGCTGACCGGCAGCAGCTCCCGCGACTCCAATGGATAGCTCTTCAATTGCGAATCTTGCCCTTCTAGAAATGCCTATTTTCCCTCTCATCTCCTCGCTAGCGCTGCGCTGGTCTTGCGTGGCGCAACCCACTTTGCAGCCAGGCGATGAAGCGAGTAAGTGGTTTTTTCTTGGACATTGCCACAGGACACGCGAGCTTGTCCAACGTGGTTATCGAAAGTGAAAAACCCCCCGAGCCTGGAGGGGGTCCGTGCAGATGTCATCCGCAAAAAGAGGGCTTCGTATCGGAAAAGGGACCAGAGGCCCGTGTGCTTATGTGTGTACAAGTACAGTATTGCCTGGGCGAGAGGATCTTGTTTGTTTGGAGAGCGGAAGAAGGGAATGAATGTCGGAGCGCAATCTCAGTTGAATCCCACAGCTACATAACTAATAGATAACCAATGGATAAAGCCACATGATCATTATGAATAAACAACTCAATGAAGAGAGAAGAGTACAAAAAGAATAAAAAAAACATCGCAAACGGGCTTCCGGAGCTGTACTGTACCTCGCCTCGACCAAAGGTCCGCCTCGCTCTCACCAACTCCGTCCTCCCGCCCCCTGGTCCTCTGGCCTCTTCCGGCGTTTGGCGACTTGGCTCAGCGAGCACGAGAGCACGAGACTCGCCGGCGAGGTCTGAGAGGATGAGACGGACCGTGTCGACGGCAAGTGGAGGAGCAAAAGCTGGAGAGGCCAGAGAGCTTGCAGGCGTTCAAGGGTCGAGGCTCGCCACATGGGCTGGTCCGGGCTGCTGATTCGTCCACACGCCGGCGACACCATGGGGAGCACGCGACACTTTTCTCGATGATGCTTGGTCAATTGGCAGAGGCACGTTTTCGGCCTTCTTTTGCTGCCTTCAGTCGAAGTTCCTTTTGTCGCAAGCTGGGGGAGGAGAGAGGGGGCCGACCTTTTTTTCATGTGTGATTTTCCTGTCCAGCTTATCAGGAGACCCCAGGTACTTGTGCTGTACATAGTGAAATAGCTGAGGCCCTGCCATGGCACCGTCCTTCTCTCAAGCGCCTCACTCTCGACCTCTCCCCTTTTTTCCGATTTCTGTTTTTCCTTTTTCTACTTAATTCCTCAGAGAATCGCTCGCCCCCTCCGTCTTCCCAGGGTGCATAAGTGGTCTCGTGCCGCCCATTGCCTCTGCGATTCTGCCGTGATACCTGCCGCCTCTCACCGGCTCTGCAAACGGAGTTCTTCGCCATCCTCTCTCCCTTCCCCAACAGACGGCATCTGGGTTTAAACTTGTTATCTTGTTTTTTATCTTTCATTTATTCATCCCTCGTCAGACTCGAGATTTCAAAGGCCCTGCGTCCACAGCATAATCGATCGGAAAGCGGACTCCGTCTCAGCAGAAAAAGACACACACCAGCCGAGCCGCTGCAACACCAACAGAAGGTGGCCCAAAGCCATCTCCGAGCTTATCTCGGCCAACCACGAGTGGGAATCCCCAGCCACAAAACCCTTGCATCAGAACACCAAACGCTCGGTTAAAGCAGCATTTCCGTGGCCCGCAAAATTCATTCAGTCCACCTTTTTTTTTTCTCTGAATCGCGGCCGCAGAACAGTTCCCATCGCGGAGGGTAGTGCCGCTGTCGTCACCAATCTCTTGTTGCAACTTGCAAAAAGAACCCCTGCTGGCAAATAGGTTCGACTGCGCCCCACGACTTGCCGCGTACTCCCTGGACAAAGAAGGCAGTTTTTTATGCTAAGACGGCCCTGTTGGTGTGTTGCGTTGTGTTGCGAATAATCAACCTGCGGCTCGCGGATCGCGGAGCGTGGCCGAGACCTTAGACGCAGATCTGGTGCAGAGAGAGACACACCCCCCGTTTGCTTACAGAAAAGACTCGTCATCTATCTGGGGAAAAAAAAAGTTGCTCTAGTCCAAAGCGGCCATGCCTCGTCCTGCGCTGCCGCCGACTCCCGGGTCCTCGTCTGATATCAGGGGCAAGGATGGCATGCAGCAGCTTTCGTCTCTGCAACTCGCCTTTGAGCTGCCTCCGCCAGCCATCCACGATGCCGATGCGTCGCGCATTTCTCCAGTCGACTCTAAGCTCTCCCCCCTCTCCACAAGCTGTCCGCCGCCGTCGCTAGGCCTGGACATTGCCACGTCGCCAAAGACGGTCTATCCTATGCAGGCGGCCGAGACAGTCAAGTCCCGTAGACGATCGTCCGCCGCCACCAAGGAGCCCAAGGAAAACACCTTTGCCCTGCCGCCGCCGCCCACGCGCTCCAGGAAGATCATCCAGATGAAGCCACGAACACAGGACACAGCCGCAGCCTCGGCTTCCACCAAGGAGTCTGCGCGGGCCGCCGGAAAGGCTGCCGCCGCCAAGACCGCCGCTCCGGGGCCCGACGCCGGGGCCGGGGCCGGAGGTGCTTCGGCCAAGGGCGAGTCAAAGAAGAAGCAGCCCAGCGCAACTAGCGCTGCCGGCAGGAAAATCGCTCGCAAGACTGCCCACAGCTTGATTGAACGGCGGAGACGGAGCAAGATGAACGAGGAGTTTGCCCTGCTCAAGAGCATGATCCCGGCGTGCACGGGCGAGATGCACAAGCTGGCCATTCTACAGGTTTGTCCCACCTCCTTAACCCGCCACGCAAAATCCAGCCCTCATTAACACAAACTCTCCTTGGTCTAGGCTTCCATTGAATATGTCCGCTACCTGGAGGACTGCGTCGCCAAGCTCAAGGCCCAGCAAGAGCAATCTCAGAGCAGACCCGAGGCCTCACACAGCCCCCTGCCGCCCATCCGCGAATTCCACCCAACCTTCCGTGAAGACCCGGCAGACGTCGAAATGACGGATTCCGAGGCCGCATCCCCCGTCTTCGCGCCCCAGCGGCCGTCCGTCTCGCCCGCGCTGCACGCCGAGGACTCGCGCCATCGCCAGCACTCGTACTCGTCCGTCTCGACGGACCAGCGGCACTACAGCTATAGCGCCTCCACCACGACCTCGCCGGCCTTTGGGCCGCAGCTGTTTGCAAATAACGCCCCCTACACGCACAGCAGCACTTCGGCGTCTGGCTCGACATTGACGAGTCCTGCGCTGCTTCCACAGACGGATCTTGATCATGAGGCTACGGCGGCGCTGCTGATGCTCAACAGCGACAGGAGGGGCACGGCGAACAACCGCGGCGCCCTGTCTGTTCGTGATTTGCTGAGCTCATGATGGCGTTCCTCTACCTCCCTCATATACCCAAAGCTGCGATGATGCGACGATTTTTCAATTTCCAAAGTTTCTGTTTCAGTTTCTCTCTATTCCTCTTTGACATAAGGCTCTGTGTGGGCCCTGGGCAAAATACACGATGCTTTTTTATGCTCCATTTTTTTTTTCTCTTTTCTCGCGTCTTGAAACAATGATAATCCGAATTCAGAGGCAAAACCACCCGTGGACAGGAGAAAACACATGAAAAAATGGAGTCTGTAATGGGATTTGAGGAGTTCCGAGAGGTCATGGGTTCTGGCGACCAAAGGGGATCCCAGAAAAATATACATTTATCAAAATACCATTTTTTTCTCTTTTTCTCTTTTCTTTTCTTTTTCTTTTTTTAGTTTCAACTTGGCTGGGCAACAACTATCAACAATTGTGCGGACGGGAACAGGACCGCACTGGGATTGGCACTGGGGGGAAATACCATGGCAAAAGACGGCCTTGAGATGCGTGGCTACTGATTATAATACCACGAGGAGGAGTCGCCATCTCTGGAATATATTCTTCTTTCTATTTTTCATCTCAACGCTAGTAGTAGAATCAAATCAATGATAATTCTTCACATCCAACGCCGCTAAAGTGTTTTTATGTATACTCGTATGCATTATTTCGAATCCCCACATCTTTCTTGCTATGTTCGCTTTATTCCATTAGGCTTTTAATCTCTCGCTTCCAGCAATATCGTCATTTGCATCTTTGACCAGGAAGCTATTGAATTTCGTCAGTAAAGATCACAATTGCAACGAATCTCCTGCCATGCCTGCAGAAACTTACTTATACCACAGAACGGTCGGTCCAATTGTCATCAGGTGCCATAGGCTGTGGGCATCGATGCAGCCCAGCCAAGGCGGGAAGTCAAACAACTCCATGCTCATAGCAAACATGACCCAGGCCACAGCCAGACCAGGCCACATAGCCCAGACACGACGTGACTTGCGGTAGCGGTCGAAACTGAACCAACTCCACATGGCGTTCTGGATGACGCCGAGCACCACGTTGGCGGCCATGTTGTACGTATAGTCCCAGCTGACGCCCTTGAGATATCCGACGTGGCAGGCGTACAGCACAAAACAGAACAGCGTCCATGCCCGCAGGACTGAGCGTCTCCGTGGTGTCGGGCGGTCGAGACGGAAGATGCGAACATTGGTATAGTACATTCCGTACAGCACGCTGGCGCCAGCGGCGAAGTAGTCGAGCTGCTCGGTAACAGCGAAGTCGCGGGTGTGGAAGATGGAGCTAAACACCCACGAGGCGAGCCCAAAGTAGGAGAAGAACTCATAATAGGGCCGCAGTGAGTAATCGGCCGGGATGAGGGCGCGGACTTTCTTCAGGCCCTGCCAGTGCGCCCAGAAGTTGCCGATCGAGAAGAGCACGGAAAAGGGCTCCTGCATGCCCAAGAAGCGGTAAAAGGGCCATTTGCCGTGGAATTGCTCAACAGAGAGGTCGGAGGCGACGCGCTGGGTGGTGATGATGTGCTGGCAGGTGTAGTCGCATTCGGAGGCGCAGTTCCAGAGGAGGAGGCGGCGGGACAAAGCTGGCGATTCTCGTTAGTAGCTGATTTGCTCGATCATATTTGTTCTGTCTTCGAAGGGCGAGAGTGAGTTACGGATGGGAGTGGCAGTCTTGCCCGGAGCGCAGTTTTCGGCTTGGCAGATCTGCAACAAGGACATCTGTCAGTAACAATTGCGCTTAGCATTGGATCGCGAGAGAAGACGTACGTCAAGGCATTGTCGAAATTCGGGCAGCTGGTCGCCGGTAGAAGCAAGGCTGACACTTGCAAAGAATGCCACCGCCAGCAAGATCAGGGAGATGGCGCGAAAGCCTGGCTGCCCGCCATATGAAGCAGTCATGACGCCAGCATCGACGGAGGGGAAACTAATAGCCCAAGCTATTAACAAGAAGGAGGAGGAGAAAGGCTGAGAATTAAATATCAGAAATATCAAAGAGCTGCGCCGGGAAAGAGGGGACGTGGATCAAAAGGCCACGGTATAATTAATTACTAAGTGGTGGTTGAACCTGGATATGAGTGCGGATATGGATCTGCTGGGTCTCGGAGGTTTGGGGAATAAGATTGAGTGGCAGCCAAAGGTGCGGATTATGGGGCAGCAGCAGGCCGTTTGGGCGGGTAATTCGGGGCCATTCGGAGAGGCAATTGGGCATCAGGGTACAGGTACAAATTACGGAGTAAGAGCACTGCACTACACACAGGTACGAGTATAATATGAAGTCTTCCTGCTGCTTGTGGTGAGTATTTCTCTCCCAAAACAAATACTATTGTGGCTTTACATAAACTGAGACCTAGATGTGAGATTTTGTTTAATTGCAAACCTGCTATGGACGGCGCTTGTTTTGGCAACAAGGGAGACACACCTCTGTTAGTGTCTCTTGGTAACGATGAATGCGGTATTTCACAGAGACGTGCTTGTACCGGTACCTCCAAGGTCCACGTCACATGCAGTCCACCCAAGTCGTCGATGCTGTTCGCTACCCAGACTTACGAATCCGTCTCTCTGCATCATCACCACCGCCTGTTCAGCGCATTGATGCACTGCTAGCCTTTGCCGGGCAATTGCTTCTCTCCCGGCCTGTCCATGTCTTGCTGTGAACCAGCGCCATTTCAGTCTGTCGCACCCATTTCACTTGCTACCCTGCATAACATCAACTGGACCGCTAGCGCCGGTTCCAGCGCCGTGCCTGGATCGGTCGTTGCCCACGGCAACCGGAAGGGCGCTGATTGGCCGCTGTGTTAGCAAACACCACAGGGCAAAAATAATCCTGGGTCTAGCTCTCTCCGCTCTTCGTCCTCGATCATGCACCCCTTCGCGACGGAGCTCCCAGTTTCTTAATCGCCTGCTGCCCTCCGGATCACGGGGAGGCTGCACACGTAACATATTTTATTGATCTGACGACAACCAGCTGCCAATCGCTCGCCAGCCACGATCCGTTTTGCTTGACCGCCAACCCGCAATCACAAACATGGCGACGGCTGCTTCGCCGACCCCAATGGGAGCCGGTCCTACCCGTAGGGTTTCGCAGCGACAGCAAGCCTTGCGCCGGCCGCCCTCACGACCGGCCATGACCAGAAGCGAGAGCCAGCAGACTGCTGCGTTCCAAGCCCGAAACAACCCGAAACAATTCAACGACGACAGCTCCGAGGATGAGATCCCCGTGCCTATGAAGCTGAGCGCCCTCACCAAGGCGCTTCTCAACGACGGCGAGCCCGAGGCCTCTCAGCCAGCAGAACGACAGGCCTCACCACCGCGGACGCGAAGACGAATCAGCCAATTGAACGCATCGACATCGTCCGTTTCTGAGCGGGAGAGGCATCTGAGATCCAACAGCGGGCAGCCCGAGGGCAAAACGTCAAGGACCTCGAGTCCCGCCAGGGATCGTGGTGCAAGCCCCGTGACAAGGAAGAGGGTAGTGAGGCTCAGTAACACGCCGCAGAGCCTGAGCCAGATCCAGCCATCCAAGAGGCGCTCAAGCTCCTTCTCTCGATCAACACAGCGCCATCAACAGAACAGCCGGCCGTCCAGCAGAGAAAAGTCGGCCGATGAGAAGCAAGAACCACAGGCCGACATCAACACACCCGCTCACGGCAACCGCGTCGTAAGAATTTCCACAAACTCTTCTGGTAATCGCAGTAGAATGGGGTCGACGGGCATGTCGTCGGGGCGATCATTTGATCGCTCTGCTGTTGACAAGTCTGCCATTGACATGGATGACTATGAGCCAGAAGAGATTCCCCAAACTGTTGCACGAGATACAGCGCCAGCCGCCAGCTACGGCAGTGTCTCGCGATATAGCTCAGCAGCCAGAGGCCGACTGGAGGACAATGCCAATCCGCAGAGCTCGATGCGTATCAAGCGTGTTGGTAAGATCCCTGGAACGTTTCTTAGCGGACCGGCACGGCGTGGTAGGCGGAGACAAAGCGAAGAGGATGCTGAAGAAGAAGGAGAAATGGATCAGTACAACCCTCATCAAGAACAAGACAACAACATGGTGGACGATATGCCAGAAGTTGCGTATTATCCCGATGGAATTCGAGACTTCAATTCTGGAAGTCCTGTTAGTGGGAGTGCTTCGGCTAGGGCCCTTCATCATAGGAGACACCTCTCTAGCATGGACTCCCGGTCTGGGTCCGGACGTCCCTCACCGCGGGGGATTGAGCTTGAATCGGAACCCCAGCGATATCCGCCATTAGAGAGAGAGAATGACGATGCAGAAGAAGAGGAAATACCATATAGAAAATCGGTGCTGCGGGCCGAGATGCCTTCAGCTCATGACCAGGAAAACGATGCTCATCCCAGCTATAAGCGCTCAAAGTCTTCATATGATGATCGGATGGACAAGGCTCCGCCACGACCCATGAGCGTCGATCTTGCTCCCGCCAGGCCTACTTCACCAGAGCGAAAACCACTGGCGCCCGTTGCCAACAACACACCTCAACGGGCTGCTCCCCCGCCTCCTCCCAAGATGTCTGTCATGGAGGCTGCTACATCAACGACTGGTGCTGCAGCTGCAGCCACCTCAACTAAGCAGCGGAGGAACGTGTTGCGTGTTAATGGAAAGACTTATACGAGGCTTGATTGCCTTGGCCGCGGTGGTAGTGCCAAGGTGTATCGCGTAACTGCTGAGAATGGACAAATGTTTGCTCTGAAGCGCGTGGCTTTGGAAAACGCCGATGAACTCACCATCAAAGGGTACAAAGGCGAGATAGACCTCCTGGGGAGACTCGAAGGAGTTGATCGGGTTATTAACCTGTACGCCTACGAGATGAACACGGAGAAGCAGGTGCTCAGTTTGGTAAGTAGCGTCGCCATTGCTTTATGACAAGTTGGGTGCGAGTTGAATGTGGCTTGCTAACCGGTTGACAATGGTGTAGGTTATGGAAATGGGAGAACGAGATTTGAATGCTCTCCTTGCTAGTCGCCAGAGCCCTGAGGCTGCCAGGTTCGACCCCGTATTTGTTCGTTTCTACTGGAAGGAGATGCTCGAATGCCTGGCCGCCGTTCACCACCATGACATTGTTCACTCGGATCTGAAGCCCGCCAACTTTGTCCTCGTCAAGGGCAGACTCAAGCTGATTGATTTCGGCATTGCCAACGCCATCCAGACTGACGAGACTGTAAATGTCCATCGCGAAACCCAGGTCGGAACGCCCAACTACATGTCTCCCGAGTCCCTGCTAGACTCCAACAACCCGCGGGGTGGTCGTCTTCCGGGTCGCCCTAAGCTGATGAAGCTCGGTAAATCAAGCGATGTTTGGTCGCTGGGTTGTATCCTCTACCAGATGGTCTACGGTATGCCGCCCTTTGGCCACATTGCGAACCAGATGGCGAGATGCCAGGCTATCATAAACTGGGATCACCACATTGAGTTCCCCTCTCGTGGCATGGGCGGTGCTCCTGTTCCGCCTTCGCTTATTAGGACCCTGAGGCGATGCCTCAACCGAGACCACCACATGCGACCAACGTGCGAGGAACTCCTTCATGATAGCGATCCGTTCCTATACCCCGCAGAAATTAATAGCGACAAGGCTCTTCCTATTGACGAAGAACTCCTGGGGAGAATCATCCAGAGCGTTGTCTCAAGGTGCCGAGAGCGCATGCCAACAGAATCAGAGGGCGCAACCGTCTGGCCGCAGGCATACTGGAACAGCATAAGAAAATCAATGGCAAACAGACAGCAATAATATTAATGTCAAATAGACGAAATACGTCTATACGAGAACATGGGCAGGATAAAACAGGGCCAACAAAGTCATCAAGGAGCAGGCGTTTTTATTTTCGTTTTTGGCGATTTTTGTCTTTTTCACTCAAAGAAAGACTAGGGAAAAGGGAGAGGATAACCGGGAAAGACGGTTTTCATTACGACATTTCACGAAGGCCGCACCAGCTTGGTGTTGAGGAGTTTTATTATCTTTTTCTTCTTCTTGTCTTTCTCTTGCGTACATACATGCTGTCTTGTATTAGAGCGAATTATCTTTTTATGAATTGGGTGGGAAGGATGATAGGATAGAATAGTTGTTTTGGAGACATGGCCTTGCGATATGGCGGAAATGAATGGCACATATCATGACGGTTTTTGCATGATTCTCTTTTGGTCAAATATTGGATTCTAATTGGTGTGATCCGTGCCGTTGACTTTATTGTTTTTTATATCCTTTTCTCTTGGTATTGTACAGCCAGCTATATACGTATATGCTGGGCGCTAGATGATACACATTTTGCCTTGGACCGTCGTGACATTGTTCATCAAAACTTTCGCTTTGGCTTTTTCTCCTTTGCCTTGTTTCATTTTCATTCCCCAAAACCGTTACCCAACGAGACTTTATGAGGATGCCTCAATCTCATCCAGATTCTTAATGTTCAACTCAGAGATGCGCAAGATGGTATATCGGTGCTTGCTCTTTGCCTGACGCTTCCTCCTCTGCCTCCTCTTCGTCTTGACCTTGATCCGCAGCGGCTCCGATTCAGTCCCTAGGACAGTCGCACGGCACTCAAACACCCTCTCGTCAACGTTGGGAGCGCCCTTCATGGTGTAATCTCTGCTACCGATGACGCTGGCGCGGTTCAGGCGAAGCACGTCGCCGGGAAGGACACCAGGCATCTTGAACGGCAGACGAATCTGGTCGCCCTCCTGGACAAGATACGGGAAGCCGTGGATATGAATGGTGATGTAGTGGCCGGGCTGGGCGGCAAGGAGGGGCAGAAGGTTCTTGACGGAGTCGGCAATTGGCGTGGGAGGCTCGACGGGGTGGCTCTTTTTGAATGCCAGAGGCCGGACCTGATCGTCGGTGGGATTCGGGGCGTTGTTGACGTGAGGCTGCGCCACAGGCTCGACGATTGGCGCCGTGGTGTTGAAGCCTCGAGGCTGGATGTGACGAAATGGTGCGAATAGAGGGGCGATTCGCGAGCTGGGAGCCCTTAGCTCCAGCACGGAGCGAAGGAGTGCTCTGCTCATGCTGGGTAGATGTGAGGTATCAACCGCAATGCCTGGGTTTTGAGCGGTTGGCACTGTTTTCTCGCCGTGTAGGCTGATGGCATACAAAAACCGAGCGCCCGATATGGTGTTTTCAATGGCTCGATGAAGCTTTGCGATTTGCGGGCCGGATTAGTGTGGCGCCGGGGTCCGACGAAATCTTGGCGGGCCAAGTTGACGGGCCAATGTATTTTTTTTTTTTTTTTTTCAAGGCTGGGAATTTTGCACCGAAGCAGGTTCAGTCTCCACTGGGTTTTTATACATACAAGCAAAGTCCAGGAACAACACCGCCAACATGGTATGTTTTATTCTGTAGTCGAAATGACTTTGATTTGGAGGTGAAGATGGCTGTTCTAACTCCCTGCAGCCTCAGAACGAGTATATGGAACGGTGGCGCAAGCTGCACGGCCGCCGTCTCGATCATGAAGAACGAACCCGCAAACGCATTGCCCGTGAAGGCCACAAGGCCTCGCAAGACGCCCAGAACCTGCGCGGCCTGAGAGCCAAGCTGTACCAGAAGAAGCGTCACAATGAGAAGATCCAGATGAAGAAGGCCATCAAGGCCCACGAGGAGCGCAACGTCAAGACGGCCGACGAGAAGGAGCCCTCGCAGCCTCTGCCCTCGTACCTGCTCGACCGATCCAACCCCTCCACGGCCAAGGCCCTTAGCAGCGCCATCAAGAACAAGCGTGCGGAGAAGGCGGCCAAGTTCAGCGTGCCCCTGCCCAAGGTGCGAGGCATCAGCGAGGAGGAGATGTTCAAGGTGGTCAAGACGGGCAAGAAGACGCACAAGCGGGCGTGGAAGCGTGTCATTACGAAGCCGACGTTTGTGGGACCCGACTTTACGCGACGAAACCCCAAGTACGAGCGTTTCATCCGCCCCATGGGTCTGCGTTACAAGAAGGCCAACGTGACGCACCCCGAACTGGGCGTTACCGTGCAGCTTCCCATCATCAGCGTCAAGAAGAACCCCCAGAACCCGCTGTACACGCAGCTGGGTGTTTTGACCAAGGGTACGATTCTCGAGGTCAACGTCAGCGAACTGGGTCTGGTCACGGCCGGAGGAAAGGTTGTTTGGGGCCGATATGCGCAGGTCACCAACGAGCCGGAGAACGAGGGATGTGTGAACAGTGTGCTGCTGGTCTAAGGGTCGGAGACGAACAAGAGAGGTTTTTGGAATGGGGGATTATTTTTTTGACAATGGACCGTGGCTGTCAAGGTGCATGTATTGGCGTTTTGGGCGTTTGGTACATACGAGTGCTTGATGCGAGAAAAGGAGACACCAGTTAGAAGGGCAGATTAGGAAGCGTATAGAGTCTTCCGAGGATATCAGTGTACTCGTCCTCTGCGAGAAAAAGGTTAAAAACTTTGAGAGGATCCGCACATAGAAGCAAGCCAATAATACGAAGACGATTCTCAATGTTATATTTCTTTCTTTCTTTTTTTTTTTTTTCTTAATCGTGATAGTATTCCCATTGGCAGAATCCTGTATGTAAAGATTGACAGACAGCATTAACCTGTAATGTCCAGTTAACTCTGCCTGGCCTTCTTTTTACTACCCATTCTTTTGTCTAATTGGTAGCTACAATACCCGGTTATGAGAAATGCCAATATCCATCAGATTCACCCGAGATATGATATGGATCGTTATCAATCCATATCGTCTAGTTCCAACAGGCTCTGATTTTTCAGTGGCTCTTCCCGCCACCGACTAGCAAACGCAAAACTTCGTCCGCCAAAAGTGGATAGCGGGGACCCTGCCAAGGCGGTGACAGCGATAAATTAATTTTCTGCCCGACCGAAAGCCTGCGTTTCGCCGCTCCGACTCGAGTCCCTTCCCGCCAGCCAAAAAAAAAAACATCAACCAGAACAAACAAGGCACCTTCGTCCTTTTTTTTTCTTTCTTTTTTACTTCTTCCGTCTACTCGGATTAATTTTGTTTCTCTTGTCTCTGTTGTGCCACTCGAAAAGAAAGAGTAATAGACCTCGTGGTGAAATAGACGGGCCTTGTTTCGGTTTTCAATTTTTTCTTCTACTCCTCCCAAAATGAGCGGCGACAAGATGGAAGTTGAGTTGGCGGAGCAGAAGCTCAAGACGATGGAGCACAGCGAGCAGCACTACTTTAAGAGGTACGTTGATGAGCCTTGGGAGGAAAAGAGGACAACTACAATTTTCTTCTTCTTCTTCTTCTTCTTCTTCGTCTTAGTTGGGCGAGTTTGACAAGTCTGGAGAATCCTTGGCTGACTTATACCTTGCGTCCAGTTACGATCATCACGGTACGAATAAACGAAAATGAAAACAATATTGGTTTAATAGGAGAATGCATTGTCTAACATTTATTTCTTTCGACGTGCGCAGGAATCCACGAGGAGATGCTGGTGAGCACTTCTTCCCCTCCCCCTCCCCCTCCTTCTTCGCGGTTGCTGCTGCCCCTCTTCAGCTGAGAAATGGATGCGCCAGCACATGGCATTGCCATTTCCACAGGCGCGGGCCAGGCACAAAAACGCACATAAAAAAGTATGCCAACTGACATTTGATGGTGAAAATAGAAAGATGAAGTGCGCACGAGGTCGTACATGAACGCCATTGTTCAGAACAAGCATATTTTCAAGGACAAGGTTGTTCTCGATGTTGGATGTGGCACTGGTATCCTTTCCATGTATGTCCGTCCGCAAATACCCCCCATTCTCCCACGATTACGCTGCGTCACTCGGGCCTTTTTTGCGGCAATCCGTCGAAACAGCCTGACGCAAAGAGCCCAAAAATCCACAAGAAGAGAAAGAGGATGATGCTGATGTAGTTTCTGATTTAGGTTCGCTGCTAAGTCCGGCGCCAAGCATGTCATCGGTGTGGACATGTCCACCATCATCTTCAAGGCCCGAGAAATCGTCAAGGTCAACGGCCTGTCAGACAAAATCACCCTGATCCAGGGCAAGATGGAGGAGATCGAGCTGCCCTTCCCTCAGGTTGACATCATCATCTCCGAGTGGATGGGCTACTTCCTCCTCTACGAAAGCATGCTGGACACCGTCCTGTATGCGCGAGACAAGTACCTCGTCAAGGACGGCCTGATCTTCCCTGACAAGGCCACCATCTTCTTCGCCGGTATCGAGGATGGCGACTACAAGGAGGAGAAGATTGGATGTGAGTTATTCCTCAAAACGTTTCTCTTTCCTGCCATCCCTGGTCTGACCAAAGTCTGCAACAAATAGTCTGGGACAACGTGTACGGCTTTGACTACACTCCCCTCAAGGCCACTGCTCTGTCAGAGCCTCTGGTCGACACTGTTGACCTTAAGGCGGTTGTCACCGACCCCGTCCCCGTGCTCACCCTCGACCTCTACACCTGCACCACCGCCGACCTCGCCTTCAACACCCCCTTCACTCTCACCGCTAAGCGCGATGACTTTATCCACGCCCTCGTCTCCTGGTTCGACATCGACTTCACCGCTTGCCACAAGCCCATCCGCTTCTCCACCGGCCCTCACACCAAGTACACTCACTGGAAACAGACCGTCTTCTACATCGAGGACGTCCTCACCGTACAGAACGGAGAGGAGGTCCAGTGCAAGCTTGACGTCAAGCCCAACGACAAGAACCGCCGCGATCTGGACATTGAGATCGACTACGCCTTCCAGATCAACGACGAAACCAGAAACGCTTCCGGCCACAGCTCATACAAGATGTGCTAAGTGTATATTTCCACTCTGTTTTTGACTAGCAGCGCTTGGCGAAGGAGCAACAGATGAAGAAAGGGAAAGATGTAGCGGGATTTCCAAAGAGCTAGAATGTTATGGTGAAGAAAGATGACAAGGAGCTCTTGGCGGCGTATATATGTGACTTTTTTTTCGTGTGCAGGCTGAGGGATTAAAAAAGTAGATAGACCAACAGGGGCGAGTAATACGACTCGAATGAAAGAATCAATGAAAAGGATACCAGTATCTATTCAAACCAAAAAGTTTACATATCGGCCAACCTGCTTTAACTGTATGAAGGAGATTTTTACACGTCGACAAAGCCAAAAGTGAACTTGTTTTAGGCATGCTTTTTTTTATCATCAGCTGCTACTAAACTTTGGTATATATTTCTTCCCCTCGACACTGAGAACTAAATGGGCATCTATGTTGTTGAGTTGCGAATTTCTATATATCGCTTTTCATTTTGTAAAATTTGGACTTGTGATATTCCAGCATTTGCCGTCCCAGAGTTTTCATAACCATCATTCAAATTCGTCAACTCTTTTTTTTCTGCTTTTTATTTTTTTCCAATGTCGTCGCCAGTCATCAAATAAACTCAAGAACTGCGTGACTCGGGGGTCTCTCTCTCCTTCATTCTCTCTGTTCCCCTCTCTCACTAATTTTTTTTTCTTTTTCCGTCTTCATTTTTACTGTTTTTCATAGTCGAGGAAATAAATTCCTGCGATTAGACCGAGCCGTATTGCTTGATGATGCTGGCCACCTTGGTAGCCAGCTCATCAGCCTCGTGTCTTGTAGCAGCCTCAGCATACACACGGCAGGCATTCTCAGTACCGCTAGCACGGGCAAAGGAGCGAGCCGTCGTGTATTTCCTAACGCACTGATCGATCTCGTCCTGAGCGCCGGGAGGGTGGCTGAGGCGGCGCTCGGCATCGGTGGTCTCAAAGATGTCCTTGTTGCCCACTTCGACGCGGACGAGGCGGTTGGGCAGGTCGGTATAAGTAGTGGCCCAATCCTTAAGAGACCACCCCTTGTGAGCCAGAATCACCTCCACCATGAGCATGTCCGAGATGGCATCGCCGACGGTCTGGTTGATGAGGTCGCCAACGGCAGCCAGCGTCTCCAGAGCGTCCTTCTGGGCCGGAGACTGGGGCTTCTTTTCCCGGAAGACGCGCAGGGCCTCCTGGGAGAAGACGACGGTGCCGTGGCCGTTGGCCTCAAAGTAGACGCCAACGTCGAACTGACAGGCGGCGTGGTGCAGGTGCTTGACGCCGGTAGGAGTGAAGACGACGGGAAGCTGCAGGTTCTTCTCAATATAAGTGGTGCTGGCGCCGTTGGCGTAGGCGGTCTGGACGACTCCGATTCGAAGCTCATCCTCCAGGCCAGCAGAACGGACAAGGTCGCTGATGAAGGAGGCGTTGAGCGAGGAGATGCGGTCTCCGTCCAGCATGAAGAAGCCAGAGTCGGGATCGGCCCAGTAGTAGATCAGACGGTCGGCATCACCATCGAGCGAGCAGCATCGGGCTTCGGGGGTGGGCTTGAAGTTGGGAGGGGCTCGCTGCTTGGTCTTGACGAAGTCGGCACCGCACTGAAGACGCTGTGTTAGCTTGAATCCGGTAGACGGAACAAATTTCTACTTACATCAAGGTTGAGGACCTCGGGGCGCAGCACGTCGTCGTTGACAACCTTGACGTTGAATTCAGTCACATCCTTGGGGATGACCTTGAGAAGCTCGGTGAGCTTGGGGCCTCCAACACCGTTGGCGCAGTCGACAATCAGCTGGCCCTGGACCTTTCTGCCTCGCAGCGCGCGCACAAAGGCCTCGGAAAGCTTGTTGTAGTAGCCAGCCTCGCTGACCTCGCCGTACGCCTTAGGGGTGCCCTCGGTGTTGACGCAGCGAGTCAGGTAGTGCAGCTGGGGGGTGGTGAGGATCTTGTAGTCGGTGTGCTCGATGCCGGTGGCGTCCAGAGCATCAGCCAGGGCAGTAACCAGGCTGTGACCAGAGGGACGGGTATCGCGGCCGTAGACAACGCGGCCAGGGGTGTTGAGGTCGATCCTGAGCTGCGAGGCAAGCTTCTTGTACGTCTCGAGGAGCTCCTCGTGCGTGGGGGCGTTGACCAGGAGGGTTGCGTGGGCCTCCCAGTCCTGCTCGAGCATCTCGCCCATGGGGTCGACAATCTTGACGCCGTTGTCGGGAGCAGGGTTGTGGCTGGCGGTGATCATAACACCAATTGCCTGGCTGTTGAGCTTGCGGCTTCGCAGGCCAGCAATCAGACCAACGCGGAACGAGACGCCGGGCAGAAGGTCGGCCTTCATGCGGAAGCCGGCGGTGCCATACTTGTAGACATGGCCCTCGACGATGGGGTGTTTGGCGGACGCCTCGAGGAACTTGGAATCATCCATTCTGACGGTGAGGATGCGCCGAGGCGGGTTGTCTTTCCGTAGAGCTGCGTAGGGAGAAGAGCTGGGAGGGGGGGCAAGGCGGGCAGAAGAGTTTGAGACGAGAAGAGGAAGAGGGAGAAGGAAAGGGTCAAGGGCCCAGGAGAGAGAAGAAAAAAGAAAAGAAAAGAAAAAAAGGAGAAGAGCAGCACAGGATTGCACAGGCGCAGGTCTGGCAGGTCAGAGAAGGCGGTGCGAGGGCTTAGAGAGAGGCCTTTATTTAGACCTCGCGGGTGGAGTCAATTGTGGCAGACCCCGTGGCGGTTCCACGCCTTTGATTGCCTCGATGGCCTGTGGCTTGTTTTCTGTGACAGGCGTGATGGATGAATCGATGGAGAGAGCCGTCAGCCTTGATTCAGATTCAGGATGCGGTCAAGTCAATCCGGCCAATTCCTCCAGCCTCACCCAAGCCGCCTATATATACCTAATATAGTAGTGTTCCTCCAAGTAACAATGCAATGCAATTCATTCACCACTTTTGCATGTATAATCCCTCAGAAAAGCCCGCCTTGTCTCGTGTCATCGTCATCATTCTCAGCCGTCACAATCAATTCCAGGTCACGTTGCCCATCCTATGAGCTGTCACCCTCGCCCGTACCAATCAATCACATCAAATGCTGCTGCTGCTACTCTATCGCTCACCTCCTCTCCAGCTGCTTCTCAATAGTAGGGGGCCAGACGCAAGACCCCGCGTTGCTGCAACAGTCGCATAGATCCATGTCCCAAAACCCCACCCTCGCAGTGTGTATAGGGTGATTTCTGGATTGAGGCCGCCAGCAGTCAATTCGATTCTGGCATGTTGGTATTTCTCTCATATAGCTGGAGGCCTACTAGGTATTTGCCCTTCACCGTCTTTCCCACAATGGAGCTCGTGGCTGGGCGGCAGCAGAACACTTACAGATATTAAATGCCGTTCGAGATGGATGTGCAGGTACCTGCCCAGTAGTACATCTCGTACCGTCTAGGTGGTATAGGTATAGGTACAGGTACAGGTACAGGTACAGGTACAGGATCAAAGGGGCCAAAGTCCCGAGTCTGCAGCACTGCTAGCACCAACACGCTCCAACATGCAGGAGATCGGCCTCGCTAAGAGGCATTAATACCATTGGAAGTCTTCATCGCCTACTACTAGGTATACTAATCGCCTTGGGCATGAAGCACGGTACAAAAGTACTACTGTTGAGTACCTTAGGTTACTGGACATGCAAATACGAAGCCGTCTGTACCCCCATCGCAGGTACCCCTGTCCCTGTCATCGCTCCTGCACGTCTGCTGCACAATGATGCAAGCCCTTCACGTGACCTCGCGCCTGGAACGGGCTTCTGCTTTCTTTGCCTGACGCGTGAATGAAATCCGTTTGCTTGGACCAGCCTGTATTATCGTAGCAGAGCAACGAAACTCCCATTTTCTTCTTCCTTTTTCCCATCTTTCTGTTTTCTCTTTTAAACGCTTCTTCTCTGTTTATGACTTTTCGCTACGATGATTCTCTGATAAAACTCTGGGTTTGGCCGCGAAGAATGTCTCTTCTCACATAAATCTTCCTTATTATTCCCCTGCGATTGATCGGCATGGAGGACTCTGAATCTGCAAACCCCCAGTTTCTGGCATGGGTCAAGGAGTGGCTTGATGTTGCTAGAGAACGGAATTCCAAAGGCTTCACGGCGTATCGGAATGCTTATGAATCTCTCAAAGCGTGTCCCATTGCGTTTGAGCATCCCGCATCGCTTCAGCAGCTTAAAGGGTTTGGTCCCAAGCTCTGCGAACGCCTCGAGGATAAACTGAAGCATCACTGCCAACAAAATGGGCTACCCATGCCAGAGCATCCCCAAGTGAAAAAAGCCAATGAAAGAGCGCTCAATGAACAAGCAGGAAATGATGATGATGCAGGGACAAGGCCCAAGAAGAGAACAAGGCAGCCCAAGGCATATGTCCCTGCATTTCGATCGGGAGCCTACGCCCTGATACTAGGCCTTTCCAACCTTCCAGAGGATGTATCCTCTAGCTTGACCAAGGCAGAACTTATAGAAGCTTCCCAGCCGCACTGTGACGCTTCCTTCACTGCGCCGAGTGACCCGACAAAGTTTTACACTGCTTGGAGCTCAATGAAGACTTTGATTCAGAAGGAGCTTGTTTATGAGAGAGGGCGGCCTCTGCGTCGGTATGCATTGACAGATGAAGGGTGGGCCGTGGTGAAGAGAATCAAGGAGACGGCCCAGTGGCAGGAAGAAAATGGTGCCAACGAACAGCAAAACTCAACACGTCCACCACAACCGTCAGTCGCAGCAGCAGATCATGCCTTGACCCTGGATACAAGGGGCACCCAACCGACAGTTGACGAGCATTCATTCTATCAAAATGTTGTTTCAGATGGCCCTGTCGTTCTGGAGGATGACGATCTACCTAGCTTCACCCCGATTAGGATTCCACCAGGGTCCTTCACTGTTCACTTGGTGTTGGATGTCCGCGAGGTCCGGGCGAAAACAGATCGCGACTATATGCAGGAGGAATTGGTCAAACAAGGCGTAAAACCAATAATGAGAAGCCTAGAAATTGGCGATGTCCAGTGGATTGCCAAGTGCCACGACTCGACGCTGCTATCGAGACATGGCGCAGAAGGAGATGAGATTGTCCTAGACTGGATCGTTGAGAGAAAACGTCTAGATGACTTGATTGGAAGTATAAAAGACGGCCGGTTTCACGAGCAGAAATTCCGGCTGAACAGGGCTGGCGTGAGAAAAGTCGTCTATCTCATTGAAGAAATCTCGATGGATTCTGCCGCATACCAGCGTTATGAAGAAGCGGTGCAATCAGCCATTGCGTCGACGCAAGTAGTTAATGGCTATTTTGTGAAACGAACACAAAAGATGGACGACACCATCAAGTACCTGGCCAGGCTGACCACAATGCTCAAGCGCACTTATGAGAAAAATCACTTGAATGTTATCCCGACAAAGGTGATTACTGCGCAAAATTACTCGCGTCTAGTCCAACACCTCCGCGAGAAAGAACCCACGGTGGCATATCACGTTACATACCCGGCTTTTGCGTCCCTGGCTTCCAAATCAGAGACGATGACTCTCAGAGACGTCTTTCTCAAGATGCTCATGACCACCAAAGGACTCACAGGAGAGCGTGCACTTGAGATTCAACGCAAATGGAAGACGCCGTATGACTTTGTGAAAGCATTTGACGCCTGCGGCACAGATGAACAAGGCAAGAAGCGCAAGAGAGATCTCGTGGCCAACGAATTGAGCCACTTAGTTGGACGCAAAAAAATGTCCAAACCTCTGAGTCACAGAATCGCCGAGGTATGGGGCGGCGCCTAGAGTTGATTACACAAAGTTTGAATTCGCTCCAATAATGCTTAACCTGTCTATGGATAACCCTTTCTCGTATTGTCGCTGCATTATGGCTTTGTTCCCAGGCTTCTAGCGACTACACGCTCAACGATCTTCTCAAGGAGAGGAATGGAAGCAGCGGCTCCGTCGCCGCCAAGGATGCCGGCCAGAGACTTTTCAGCGTACTTGGCCATCATGTCCACCTCGATGTTGACGGTATCTCCCTTGACCTTCTTGGCCATGATTACCTTTTCCTGAGAATACGTAATCAGCATGATCTCCCACCAGCCTTCAGCGTCGTTGACCTGAGTAACGGTCAAGCTGGTTCCGTCAATGGCGATGAATCCCTTGTGCACAATGTAGCGCAGAAACTCGCGCTTCTTGGGCTGGAAGCGGAAAGTGAGAGCGTTGCCATCTGGCGTCACGGAGAGGATTTCGGCGGTTGTGTCGACGTGGCCCTGGACAAAGTGGCCGCCCATACGAGTCTCGGCACGGACAGCACGTTCCAAGTTGACTGTGCTCGACTCCACCAGGGTGCCGAGGTTGGTGACGCGCAGCGTCTCAGGTGCGACGCCAATCGTGAAGGCATCGTTGGTAAAAGAAGTCACAGTGAGGCAGCAGCCGTTGACAGCGATGGAGTCGCCCTCGTGGCAGTCTGTGAGGAGGTTGGATCCAGAGGGGATGGTGATTGTCATGACCGAGCTGTTGGTGGCGGCATCGTTCACGAGCCGGGAGATGACTCGTCAATGTTAGTTGCCATGTGCTGTAGGCTCACCAGCGTTATAGACTCACCTCCGACCTCTTCGACAATTCCAGTGAACATGATGGCTTGTTGTGACGGTAACTCCGAGTTCTGTTCTGTTAGAGATGTGATGAAGTGTTAAAGTGGACTAACTCACCGAAGCTGCTAGATAATGTCCGTGAATAAGCCGAGGATTCAATATGTGAGTGTAGTTGTGGATTAGGCGCTCTCTTATTCTTTCCACGGCAAGAATCGCGAGAAGAAAGGTGGACGGGGTTTTTTTTTTTGTTAGGGATGAAGTTGTGAAAAGGACAGAGAAGCGATTTATTCACTTTGCTTCACCAAAACTGCACAGCAATGAGTCCAGTCTTACCAATCCCTGGCTTGAGAAGTCGGGTTGATGCCAAAGCAGAGCCCCGCATCCATGGTGGGCGTTGATGCGCTTATCGATAACGGGCCCGCCGAAATTTCAAGTTTTCAGTTGAATCGGGATGCGGTGCGACTGAGCGGCCACAAGTTCAGCCAACGCTGCTGAGGTGAATCTCTCTATAGAATTCATTGACTCTGCGAGATCTCTCTTTTTTTCTTTCCATTTTTTAAAAAAATTCTAAGACTCCATAATCAGCATCCCTATTACTACTACTTCTACTCATCAACCTCACAAACTATTACACTCCAAAAATCTCAGAATGGCGCCTCGTGCTGGCGACAAGAAGGATGCACCAAATCTCACCAAGCTGCTTGCCGATGCAGAGACGCAGTATGAAGTGGGCAATCTAGACGAGGCCATTGCCCTCGCTTCAAAAGCTCTGGAACAGACGGGAGAGGGCGGCGATTTCGAACTCAAGGCCTTGAACTTGCTAGGAGTCTTGAATGTCGAGGATGGCGAAGTCGAGGAGGCGCGGGACTACTTCTTGCGAGCCATCAAGCTGGATGAAGAGGGTATCCTGGATGAGAAGATTGGTGGCGGGCCCGAAAAGTTCTTGTTTCTGGCTCAGTTGAGTGAGGAGGGCGGCCAGGACAGTGTTCAGTGGTTTGAGCGTGGTGCTTCTGCGCTGCGAAAACAGATTCAGAAATTGAACGACGTCGCTAATAGAACGCCGGAGCAGCAGGCTGCTCTTGAAGAAATGCAGAGCAAGCTTGGTGGCGTCTTGTGTGCCGTCGCCGAGGTGTACATGACGGATCTGTCTTGGGAGACGGACGCCGAGCAGCGATGCGAGGCTCTCGTCACCGAAGCCATGCTCATCGCGCCCAACTACCCCGAGACCTGGCAGACAGTGGCCAATGTGCGCATCTCACAGGAGAGGCTGGACGAGGCTCGCACCGCACTGAAGCGAAGCCTGGAGCTCTGGCAGGATTTGCCCCCGGAGCATCCCTCGGTGCCAGAATTCCCGACCAGAGTTAGCTTGGCGCGACTGCTCATGGAGACGGAGATGGAAGAGCAGGCCCTGAGCGTTCTGGAGCGCCTGGTCACGGACGACGACTCCAGCGTCGAGGTCTGGTATCTGGGAGGATGGTGCCTGTACGTTGCGGGTGAGAAGCTGCGCGAGGCGAAGCCCCAGCAGAACGGCACCGATGGTGGCAGCGAGGAATGGAAAGCGACGTGGGGATACGCGAGGAAGTGGCTCACTCAGTCTTTGAAGCTGTACGAGCTGCAAGAGTACGAGGACGACAGACTGGGTGAGCACGCGGTGGAGCTTTTGCAGAGCATCAACAAGGAGCTTGGCGAGCCTCCGGAAGGAGAGGACGAGGAGGAGTGGTCTGGCATTAGCGATGACGAAGATGAGGATGATGACGAGGAGATGCACGATCACGATCACGATCACGAATAAAAGTGGACAAAAATGGTTTGGTGACATTGAATGAATGGACGGCGTTGGATGGATGCAAATAAAAAGAAGACTTGGTTTTTCATTGTTGAGTTGTGGGTAATGGAAAGTAGTGCGTGAAAGCCTTTAGGGAATATACTAGATGTGACAATTTCGAGTCTGATGTCGATACTCATTATTTCGCTATGCCAATCTCAATATTTTACATCGTACAGACACTTCTATTCTCATCAGTCTGGCCCTGTCTCTTGTGAGATTCAATGGTTGGTTTGCAATGCGTTTTATTCCGCTTTTCGTCCCTCTTTTTGAAACCAATAAAAATGATACAAGATTCCCAAGATGTAGACATTCATAACTCCCACCGAAAAATAGCAAACAAAAAAAAAACTCCTATAGATGTTGTATCCCAAAAGATATATACGCTCGCTCGCCCCCGTCTAAACAGCCTCCACCTTGAGCTGCTCAACACCATCCGCCAACCCCTCTTCTTCCTCCTCTTCGTCACCCTTGCCAGCCAAGCCCTTCTCCCAGAGCTGTCTCCCCGTCATCTTGACAGGCTCCTTGACCTTTGCCTTCTTCAGCTCGGCCAGCCGCTCCTCCTCCTCACGCACGCGCTGCTCCTCCATCTCGCGCAGGAAGCCCTCGCGCCACTTGAGGAACGTCTCTGGCGTGACGGGCGTGCCGTGGAACTTCTTGTTCTCCTCGCGCTCGGCCGCAAGCTTCTCCTCCTCAATCACCTTTTCAGCCGCAGCCTTGCGGTCCTGGACGAGCTGCTCGGCGGCTTCCTTGAGCGTCGAGTACAGCGTGAAGACCATGGCCATGCCGAGGTTCTCCTGGATGGTGTCGGCGAGATCGGCGAGCAGCTGGTCGCGATCATCGCCTACGCTGAAGTGCAGGTGGGACGGGCAGTTGGGTGAGGCCAGGATATCGAGGTGAGGCGCCTCGTCGGGGTAGTCATCGGGGTAGCGGACGGAGAGGAGGAAGCTGGGAGGTTCTTCGTCTTCGGGGGTTTCTTCGTCGGGGATGTCAAGGACGACTTTTATCCGAAATTCCGTCTCGGAGATGTCTAGAATGAACGAACATGTTAACAGAAGCCTTTTTTTTTCTTCTTCTTCTTTTCTCTTCTTTGCGATCTTGGATCTCTCGAGATGCCGTAAGAGGAGCAGAAGCCAGCATACCTGTGATTTCTTCAGGGAAAATGGATTCGAGCACTTCGCGCTCTTCGACCTGCTCTTCGCGACCCATTGCGGCGACTGATGTGGTGGTTTTTGCTGTATGGAAAGCTGCGTTGATGTCGATGATGGAGCTTTTTTGGTCTGGTGGTTTACTTTCTTTAGGTGGGGTTGGAAGGAATTGAAGGCTGTAATATGGCGGGGTTCAATCGTGGGGACGTACGACCTCTTTTGGGACTGCGGATATTATGACACTGATTGAGGCGCAGATAATGATACAGATGAAACTAGGACATGGAAATCTTTTGGTCTATTTATTTATCTATTTTTTAAATACAATTTAATGGAGCTTATATATGAGGTTGGAGACTGGAGAGGCATCTTTCTATAGCAGGGCAGTATGTGCAAATATATACATATCAGTACGTGCATAACATAAAATGGCCGTCATGTAAATGCATCAACCCTTATGAACTCAATGCAGTGTCGTACCGCTTCCCATCGCAGTACTGCACAAACCCGTCCAGGTTCATCTTCTTCAGCACCGTACTGAAATTGCCAGACCCGGCCCCAATGCCTCGATGCGAGCAAAGATCGGCAGCCCGCGCAGCATCAACAGCAGGGGCGCCATTGGGATACTCGATGTGGAAGACGGGCTTACCAGCCGCGATAAAGGGGGCAAACGTCTCGCATTCCGAGAACTCGGCGCACTGCTCGTTGACGGAAAAGTTGATAAAGTCGAGCACCTTTGGGATGATGCCGCCGGCGTTTTTCAGACCAATGGCCATGTGGTACGAGCTGGCCTCTTGATGCAGGAACTGGAGGAAGTTGATTGAGTCTTGGGCCGTAAGATTGAGCCCATTGTCGTTTTGCTACCCATGGCGTGAATTAGCACAGCTTCCATGCTTAAGGTTCAAGGTTCTGTCACGTTGGGAAAAAGGAGGCTTACATAACCGTCGACGTTATCGGGGTCAATGGCATCGCAGCCCTTGGACGAGGCGAGCTTGATGCGGTCCCTCATGATGGCCCGAACATTGTCGCTGTTTAGGTCCAGCCAGCGCTCGTCAGGCCATCCGTCGAGGGGCTTGCCCAGATCCGACTCATTGAATCTGCCCTTATCCGGCCGGAAGTTCTCATACGAGCCGGCGCTGAAGTAGCAAATGACCTTCTTCCCGTTGCTCTGCAGGGCACGGAAAGTCGCTGCGTCGTTGGTGAAGAGGTCCAGGTCCCAGATGGCGACATCCGGGCTGGCGGATCCGTTGGTGAGTTTGATGGCGCTCTGGAGCACGATTTGCCACGTCGCGTTGACGCTGGGCTGCCATGTGCTTGTGCGATTGCGATTGTCTGAGTCGGGGTCTGAGTCTGAGTTGGCATTGTCTTGGTTGGAGGAGTCGTCGTGACCGCCTCTCTGCGTCAATCCGACGCCCAGGCCGACGCCGAGCCCGATGGCCACGACAAGAAGCGCGCCTAGGATGGCAAGTATTTTCCAGCGAGGCCGTGGTTGATTGGATTTACCGGCATGGTGCTGCTCTGGGCTGGAGTCGGAAGGCTTCATGTCCTCTCCAGCTTCAACTCAAGTGTACAGGTATGGCATTCAAACGTATGGAAAGATTCAGGTTGGTTACACATGTTTGTCCCCAATTACTGCTTGACAATTAAAAGCTAAGCATCGAAACAATCATGGCGCAGTCTCGGGCTTCTCCCGCGCAGCATCTTGGCTACCTACACAGGTATTCTGGTACTCGCACTCCGTACTCTCAGCGTCTTCGTGATACCATATGATACCATCAACCCACCAAAGGATCAATGCGGCGCAGCAAAGGGGCCAGAAGGGTCCCCAGTGTGGCTCAAAGGGAGGACCACCCAATTAGCTGAGCGCCACAGCGAGCTAGCACCCAATCCATTTGATTCCATCGCGTGCTAACAATAACAACGCCTTGAGCTTGAAATTTTGACAGCCCAGTACGGGCACTGTCTACATCCGCAGGTACTCCGTGAGGTACCCGTAAGCAACCCACGACCTAAAATAGAGAGAGATTGGCGGCACTTTTTGTGCGAGAACCGGGTCTCTGTAATTACGGGGGACGGCTCCGTAATATCGCAATGAGATTTCGACTCTGCGTCTATATACCTAGGTAGGTACGCACTGGTATGACGAGTACACACGAGTACCTGTACTTGTGCTCTGCCGTGGTCAGGATAAGGTACCTACTGGGTGTCCATATCCCATAAAGACGGCGATAACAAAGACGGCCAATTGTCGCATGCGCATGTGAAGCAAGCCCTCAACCGCATTTCCATGTGATTTGCTTACTGTACATACTCCGTACCTGCAAAGTACATGTATGTACCTACCCCTGCTGGGCTGCATCTGATATCTCAACAAATTGGCTGCGAAAATCCGGTGTGAGCCCCCTGTCGTTTGCCTCGGCAGGCACCGGACCAGCCTGCTTATGTATCTTCAGAAACGAATGGAATCCCAGCAAGGAAAAAAAGGCGAGTAAGGGAAAAAGAAAGAAAAAATTCAAGGCCTGGCCGGGCCAATCTGCTCGTGCCTTGATTATGCAAGGCCGCATGCGAGATAGTGCCATGCAATGCGACGCTGATGCAACGGTGCAGCGAGCAGGGGCCGTTAGTGGCCCTTCAGGGCTCGCAGCAGCTGCTTAGCGGCCTCTGTGGTGGTCCGACAGTCCACTGTGGGCACTGCGAGCAGCACGATAGGCTGCGGCGACCCGTATACCCAGCGTCCCAGGCATGCAGCTGCTATGGGTCCGATTGAAGCTGTGCAGCCTCGCGACATGGCACGATTGAGCTCGTCGATGGCTTCCAGCGCGTGTTGGAGCGTCTGCTTCCGGTCGGCGGGCTTTGCACTACTCGTATGTACTGCGTTGTACCGCGACTTTAGCACTGCTAGCAAAGCTAACAATTCGTCAATGTACTCTTTAAGTACAGCTCCCGGTACTGCCTGTGCTAAGCTGCCTGCCTGTGTGCTTATCTGCTTGCAGAGCAGCACAGCGCCCCCACCGCCTCGCCGGCCACATTTAATTTCGCACGATTTCAACACTAGCAACTCTTCGCACCTCAATACTCATACTGTCCTCGACGCCGCTGGTTCTTCCATCCCGGGCTGTGGCGACCCTCGAAGCTTCTTTCGTCGTCATCGTCGTCTTTCATCTCTTGATCCTCGTCTTTGTTTCAATACTCGCCATCTCCCTATTTTACTCTCCCCCTCCTCCCCTCCCTCGAGCTACGCCCACGACCTCATCAGCATCTCTAATTCCTAATCGCGACCATGGGCAGCTACACTTTCAAGTGGTGAGTTTTGCGCTTTCCCATGGCGAAGCTTTGCGCCCCAACCCCCCGTCCAAAAAGTCCGGCACTCGCGCCGCTACGAGTTTGCGAGACCACGAGGGCACAAAGGAGCCTCCACCCGCTTGGCGCAAAAAAATTCAATCCCAGCTGGAATCATATTAGCCTACGGAAGCTGACATTTGGGGGTTTTCCTCTCTAGGGAGCATCCCGCCGAAGAAGTGTTCGTCACGGGCACCTTTGACAACTGGACGAAGAGCGAGCAGTTGGCCAAGGAGGGTGACGTCTTCCAGAAGACGGTGGCCCTGAAAGATGCATCCCAGAAAATATACTTCAAGGTAGGTCGGGATCTTGCTATCGTGCTGCGGCTGTCTACCATCTGCCGCCTCTGTCGTTGGGTTTTGATGCTTTGCCATGCTCTCCTTTTCCCATCTCTCCCTTTGCATACGCCATTGGCCATGGCCCTGTTGGATACCGGCTTCAATGCGCCATTCAACCCATCTCTCGATATGATCTACCGGGGGGTTAGTGCCTCTTCCCATGTCATGTTCACCATGCAGCGAGCAGTAAAGGCCCGCCCAATCAAGCTGCACCATCTTGTCCACTCCTCACAATTCCGCGAGATGCAATTCCATCCTTAGCACGAACCATTTGAGGCGGATCGGCGAGGCAGAGCTCGGCTGAGTCAGATTGCGTCCTTCCATGGCCATCGATGGGAATCTCATTGCACGACTGGCTCAGCGTTGGCTTTGCACGGGTCGCTGAAACCCCCCACGGCGCTTCTGCTATCGTCCGCGCCGGGGGCTGTGACGCAAGCAACCCAACGCGACGCAATGCCCGCGGGGTTGGAATGTTGGTGCTGATAGCAGCGCTGGTCATCCGACTCACCATCCTTTTTCCCCCGCGAGTCCTCTAGCGCACCTCGAGTGTGGTGTAGCGGTGAGAACGAGAGAGCTTGCGCCACAGCCGCAAGAGATTGGTGATCTATCCAAGTTTGGTTTTCCGTCCCTGTTGGCGCTGCCATAATCCGCTGCTGTCAAGGGGCCTTAATCTACCTAATTCGACCTACCTAATTCATCTCAACCATGATTCCCGCTAGGCGACCACTTAATTGGGGGATACGGCCATACCCCCTTGTCGGCGTGCCAAAGCGGCCCCCGCACTGGCCTGGCCAACCCCCTTCCAAGGCTGTTGTCGTGCATATATCACGTCACACGCACCTGGATAGTGGATTCAGCCTGTTTCCCACTGCATCATAGTACATATATTTCGATCCTCCAGCGAGGGGTCTTCTTACTTTCTTGACAAGCCGTTGCTGACCTTTTTTTTTTCTTTGCCTCATATAGTACGTCGTCGACGGAAACTGGACGGTAAACGAGTCTGCCCCTAAGGAGGCCGATCACGAAGGCAACGTCAACAACTTCATTACTCCTGAGGACATTCTCAAGTCCGACCCCGCAGCTGCCTTTATCAGTACCGTTACTCCTCAGTCCACTACCGCTAAAATGGCGAGTGAGCAGCCCGTTGAGAAGTCCGAGGGTATTGCTACCCCCTCTGACGTTCCCGGCGGCTTCCCAGCGACCCCCAACACCGAGTTGGACAAGACGGTCACCATCAATCCTCTGCCCGCTGCTGCTGGTGCCATCAATCCCATCCAGCTCGCGCCTGGCGAGAAGGTTCCTGACGTTGGCATTGAGAGCACCAATGAGCACGTCAAGCTGGATCAGGAGTCTTATGAGAAGAGCGACGCCCTTCCCGGCGTCGTCGCCGCCGACCTGCCTCCTATCACCAGCAATCTGATTCCCGAGTCCAGCCTTCCCGTGACTGCCGCCACCGAGGACGTCCACATCAACACTGTTGGTACTGACGCCACCACCGTCGGCCTGGCTGCTCAAGTCCCACTGGAGGCCAAGGTTCCCGAGGTCGTCAAGGAGAGCCAAGAAAAGGCCAATGTCGAGCCTGAAGCCGCGGCCGTCCCCGAAGAAGTCGAGGCCAAGGCCAAGGTTGAGGAGGAGCTCAAGGAGAAGGTCACCGAAGCTCCAGTCACCTCTGAGGACAAGTCTGCCGTCGAAACTGGTGCCATTGCTACTGATGCCGCCACCACCGACATTGTCCAGCCGGAGCCCGTGGAGGAGACTGCCGCCAAGGAAGAGACCCCAGAGGTTTCTCCCGAAGTCCCCGCCGAGGTCAAGGAGTCCATCGTCGAGGCCGGCAAGAGCCCCGAGGCTGCCGCCAACACTGCTGCTGTCGAGGAGAAGAAGGAAGTCGAGGCCGAGCTACTGAAAGAGGTCAAGCCGGTCGAGGCTGTTGACGAGCCCAAGGCTGAGGAAACCAAGGCCCCAGTTGAGGTGCCCGTTACCTCTGCTACCATTACCGATGTGGCAGCAATTGATCACCCAGTGACTGAGGTCAGCAACGTCCAGGTAACCAAGACCGAGGTTCCCCTCGAGGAGGTCAAGGAGGCTGCCCCAGCAACCGAGGAGGTCAAGGAGGCTGCCCCAGCAACCGAGGAGCCCAAGGCCGTTGAGGAGTCCAAGACCACTGAGGAGCCCAAGGTCGAAGAGCCCCAGACTGAGGTGGCCAAGACCGAGGCCCCTGCCCCCGAAGTTGCCCCCATTGACACTACGGTTGCCTCAGAAGCTCCCAAGGCCGACGCCGTCGACACCCCTGTCACCGAGACTGACAAGACAGAGGTGCCTCCTGTTGACGCGCCTACTGAGGAGCCCGCCAAGGCCGATGCTGCCAACGGCACCAACGGCACTCACGACGATAAGGCTTCTGAGAAGAAAAAGAATCGTTTCAGCTCCTTCTTCAGCCGATTCAGGCACAGGTTCTCGGACAAGAACTAGGAGTCATGGTAGTGACAGGACAGAGCGTCATCATGTTGAGATGCCTGGTTTACGTTTTACAGTGTCGGTTTTTCTTGGGCTGCTGGAGTGGCTTTGTTTATATGTCTATGATTCCCCACTTTGGCAGAGAAGTGTGACTTGGGTCGAATAACGTCGGATACCTGGATCACCATTTCATATACCTAAATTCATTCCGTTTTTATTTTCTTTGCAGCTTTCTTTGCTTTCTTTGCTTTCTCTTCCCCCCAGTCTTGTCATGTGCCACTGCTTTCCTGATTTGATGCCTTGTCTTAGTTGGGTATGCCGCGAGTGCAATTGTTAGTCCCTGCGTGCGTGTGTGTTCTGAGAGAGAGGGGGGCCTGGCAAGTCTCCTAATTGTTTATCATGCGGCATGGAATGGCCCCCCCTCCCATGTAAATACATTTCGCCTAATTAATGTCTATCACTATACTTTATTACTCTTGCTGTCAGATCTGTGCGGTAGAAATCAGCAATCCGATGGAGAAAGGAAGACAGCCAGCTAGTCCAGACCTTGCCGATTCCTTTTGCGGGGATGGCTGGGTGCTTACGAGTTGTACACTGTGACTCATTTGCCGGGGATGATCTGCTCATTTCTGTGCAGGATTATTACAGGGAGTGTCTCTCTGTCTGATGCCAATGCAAATATGAAGCCATGGGTGTCTGTTGTCTGCATTCGGCGCAGAGCAAAAAGTCTCAATTATGTGCAACATGAATATCTTAGCTATCTACAGTAGTACCTAGAAATACATGTGAGACATTGATAAGGATAGAGGCAGCGTCAAACCGTCACATGCCGGATCACGTGGTGCCGGTATGGCCGTTGCAGCTCTCCGATCAACAGCCTCCATGATTCCCGTGCCATTTGCCCCGCCGCTGACTCGCCCATTTTACGTGCTGCCAGCATCCGGACCTAGACTCTGCTACTTTGCCTGCTCTATCCTCCACTGCCGGGGCCAACCGGGTCCCTTTTGGAGCTCCATCAGTCATCCTTTTCTTCCTCTCGTTGCATCATTCATTTCCTTTGTTCCTTTGTCTCTCCTCATTGTCCAGCATCTCCATCTCTTCCAAACCCTGGCCTGCCGTCCCACGATAGTCTAAGTCTTGACGGCAACACACGGGCTGCGACTGACGTGCAGTTCGTGGGCATGCTGGACTTGGCGCCACCCGCTTCCGACGACGTGGGCGGCTGAGCAGCCAATCTGCAACCCGTCGGCCCTGGCTGCTTCCATCATCCTCTCGGCCGTCGCATCATGAACCCTTCGAACCCGAGCGCGGGCAAGTCCCTTCAGATCCAGTCAAGCTACCCTGTGCCTGTCCAGCCGGCACCAGCGCTCCCGAGCTTCGAAACCTCTCGCCGCGCGAATCCAGCAGTCGGCGCCTCGTTGCCGCAGCCCACGCCTCGAAAGGGACAGAGCTCTCGGAAACAGCACCGGACGCAGCGCCGGCCCAGCATGGGACACCGGCCCGTTGACGAGTACGACGCCATGGCCGAGCTCAGAGCGCTCAGAAACCCGACGAGTCGGCGTGGACAGACTTCCATCACGCATCTGCTGAATTACTCAGCGCCGCTGTACCACCAAGACCATGGTCACCATCATCACTACACGAACCCCAGGTCATACCGGCGGAATCCAACCTGGGGCCCGGGTTCGGGATACCACGCGGTTGATAAATCCAGATATGTCCATGCCAACTATCGCTTCGTCGTCTCTCCCGAGGGAGACTACTCTAAGCATGCCGCAGATGCCGACCTCTTCTTAGACTGGTCCAATGTCATGCAGGTCATTGCTTCATCAGAATCACAGGCATCGTCGTGTCCCATCTGCTTGTCGGAGCCTGTTGCCCCCCGAATGGCAAAGTGCGGACACATTTTTTGCCTTACATGCTTGCTTCGCTTCATGAACTCGATACTGAGCGAGGACGAGGCGAAAGCAGGCAAGGCTGCCAAATGGAGGAAGTGCCCCATCTGCGAAGACAGCATCTATCTTCCCGAGGTGCGGCCAGTGCGGTTCTACGCCGGTCAGGAGAGCCCACTCCCCCGAGTTGGGGATGATGTTGTCCTGAGACTCATGGCGAGGAACGCAGACTCAACTCTTGCGCTGCCCCGGGCAAGCGGGGCGGAAGTTCTCAGCTCGGGGGATGGCATTCCGTGGCACTTTGCCGCCAACGTTTTGGATTACGCTCGTGTCATGAAAGGCACGGGAGAGTACATGGCCGCCCAGTTTGATGAAGAAATTGCGACCATGCTGCAACAGGCCATGGAAGATGAGGCCTTGTTTGGGCAAGATGGCGAATGGACTCAAAAGGCTGTCAAAGCTGTCAACGCCGCCAAAGAGAAGGTTGTTACCCTTGGCGGTGCTGATGAAGCAAGTACAAGCTCTCTACCTGGCTCAGCGAAGAAATCGTCCGAGTCCGACTTTTACTTTTATAGCGCCTTGCCTCACTTGTATCTTTCGCCTTTAGACATTCGGATTTTGAAAACCAAATACGGCTCCTTCTCGGAATTCCCATCTACGTTGCTACCAAGGGTTGAGCACATCTCCACGGGCCATGTCGTCGATGACGCATTACGGAAACGGGCAAAGTATCTAGGCCATCTTCCTTATGGTTGTGTCATTAGCTTTCTGGAGTGTGACTGGACAGACATCGTCCCTGCTGAGACGCTCGAGTCATTTGCTTCAGATATCGAGCGGAGACGGAAACGCAATCGCGAAAAGGCTGCGCAGGAAGAGCGGGAGCGCCTTCAGTCCGAGAGACTGGAGGCTGCTGCTCTCCGGGATCTCACCGGATCTCGACGGCCTCACTCCCCACCCGTTGAGGATGATTCCCCTCCATTCATGGATATGTCGGAGTTTCAGCCCCTGGCGGCGCCGTCCGGTACAACACCTCCCGATCCAAGACTGGGATTCTCCACGCTGGCTTCCATGTCCACAAGTCCCTCTGCTCAAAGGACCGTATGGGGCACTCCCGCCATTTCAACAACTCCCGGGATGGAAGACGTCCCAGTGCCCACCAATGTCGATGATGGGTGGCTCAAGGATGAGGATCTCTTCCTCAGCCCCAGTGAGCTCGCCAGGCAAATGGAGGCACTGAACGCCATTGATAAGGAAGAGAATGGACAGAGCAGCAGTGCCCGTGGCGGAGGGGGCGGGGGCGGTGGCAAGAAGAAGAAGAAGCAGAAGATTACCCTCATGAGCACTGGTGGGCGGCGTGGCATCTGACGAAGAGATTCGAAAGAGTCGCAAATGCCAACATAGACGATTGTGTGTCTTTTCACGGAGTTTCTATCTATATGCTTAATCCAGGATGGAGTCTTTTTTTGGGTTATGGAGGGAGTGATGTAATCATCTCAGCCATATAAATATATATAACAACTAAGCGACCTTGCAATGGAGGCGGCGGGGATGCTTTCCTATGGAGTCGTCGGTGTAAGAGAATTGCAAGTCCTTCTCTATACTGCTTAGATTACGTAGCATGACGCAAGCGCTGTTTTCAATGATATCTAACCACGTAAAAAGCTGCCATTGGTGTAGTATTCGCCTTGTAAGTCCAATTCGTGAGGCCATTCATTCAGGATGAAATTGAATCCTTATCGCGATAAGACGTGCTCAATTAGCAGCAGAATTACAGCGACTCAGCCACTTCTGCACAAGTATAGCGCAGCGCTGGCGGGGCCAGTCTTTGGCTGTGGGGTGATTACCTTAGTAGTTGGCTTTTATCGGACTGCAATCGATAGCCTAAAATTTTTTCCACTGCCAGCCGCGTTATCGCTCTAGCTTCTACTATCCAGAGCAACCAAAGAAAAAAAACCATTCTTGGGAGAAAATATCCCTTCATTTGCGGAAAAGAGCATGGCCGCCAACACATCGCCATCTCTGACAAACTCGTCACACACAATGACGGCCCTACCGCTCGTCGCGGTGCCACCAATTTCCTCCATGAGCATCAATGGCGAGAACAACAAGGTGCTGCTGGCTTTGCTAGAGAGCCTGCGGCCGGACAAGAGGCACGTCTTTTTGCAGCCGAACGATTCCCTGCCGACGGGATCTCTCAATGTGGTCAAGGAGACGCTGGAAGGATTTGCGGGCGAGGTTGGCGAGGAGCAGGAAGTCAGGCTGAAGGAGAGCCGGAAGAGGAAGAGGGAAGGGCGAGAGGAGATTGATGTGCTGAAGCTGAGGAGAGTGTATGTGGATGGCTTCGAGACGGAGCAGGTGTGGCAGCAGGCGAGGAGGATAATTGGCAGCGTGTTGAAGTTTTCTGGGGGGTTATTGGATGAATTGGAAGAAGAGGGTGAGGTGGTGGCCGGTGGGCAAATTGACGGCCCCGAGGATGAAGATGACGAAGAGGAAGATGACGAAGACGATGAAGAACTTAAGGGAGAAGAAGAAGAAGAAGACGATGAGGAAGAGCTCGATGTGGACCTAGATGAGGACCAGCTGGAGGATGGTCTGGAAGGCGAGGATGATGAGGATCTTGATGATCTGGAAAACGGCCTCGAAGATGAACTAAATGAGGATGAAGACGAGGAAGACGAAGATGAGCAAGATGGCGAAGAATATGTCGAAGATCCTGATGGCCTCAACGACGGCTTCTTTAACCTCGAAGAGTTCAACCGACAATCGCAATACTTTGAAGAACAAGACGCAAGGGGTGACCCCAACACCGACCGAGCCAGCGATGACGAAGACATAGATTGGGACGCGGATCCAATGGCAGAGCCCAAGGCTGGCTCCAAAAAGTCATCCAACCGCAAGTCACAAGATGATGACGAAGACCCTCTACAGGATGATGATGAGGAAGAGGACGACGACGAAGAGGATGGCCCAACATTCGGCGACATGGCTCTTGACGCACCAGAAGGCGAGAGCGACGATGAAGCCTTCAACGATGAGGCCGGGGATGACGAAGGCATGGATTTCAACGCAAACGACATTTACTACAAGGAATTCTTTGCACCGCCGCCCCGGAAGAGCAAAGGCGGCAAGCCAAAGAAGAGTGTCCGCTTCCAACCAGAGGAGCCTACTAAGGAGGATGTCGACAGAGCCATGGCCGATGTGCGCCGAGATCTCTTTGACGACGAGTCGGACAACGATGACTCTGAAGATGCCTTATCCGATGTCTCAGCTGGCGACCCCAAGTCACGCCGATCAGCTCACGAGCGAAGACAAGCCAAGCTGGCCGAGGAGATTCGCAAGCTGGAGGCCGCCTCCGTTGCCAAGCGCGAGTGGACTCTCTCTGGAGAAGCCGCTGCTGTCGATCGACCCGTCAACTCTCTTCTAGAGGAAGACCTTGACTTTGAGCACGTTGGCAAGCCCGTCCCCGTCATCACCCCGGAGGTGACAGAAGGCATCGAGGACATGATCAAGCGGCGAATCCTAGCCCAGCAGTTCGACGAGGTCCTGCGCCGGAGACCAGACGCCGAGGCCGTACCCAGCGGAACGCGCCGCGGCATGGTCGAGGTCGACGACAGCAAGTCTAGCAAGGGCCTTGCCGAGGTGTACGAAGAGGAGCACATCAAGAACGCCAACCCGGACACGTACGTCAGCCAATCGGACGAGAAGCTGCAGCGCGAGGAGAAGGAGATTGAGGCCATGTGGAAAGACGTGTCGGCCCGGCTCGACGCCCTCAGCAGCTGGAATTACAGACCCAAGCCCAGCGCGCCAACTGTCTCTGTTGTGGCCGACGTCGCCGCCGTCGCCATGGAAGACGCCCAGCCCACGACGGCTTCCGCCATCACCGGCGAGAGCAGCCGCCTGGCGCCCCAGGAGGTGTACAAGGCCGGCGCCGACAACGCCGCCCAGGGCGAGATCGTCACCAGCGGCGGCATGCCCCTCGCACGACAGGAGCTGTCGCGCGAAGACAAGGTGCGCCGCCGCCGCCGTGAAAAGGAGCGCGTGCGCAAGGCGGGCGCTGCGGACGCTGCGGGCGCGGCGACGGCGGGCGCTGGCGGTGCGAAGAAGACGCTCTCGGCAAAGGCCAAGATGCAGCGCGAGACGATTGCCGAGCTGAAGAAGGGAGGCGTCAAGGTGATTAACCGCAAGGGCGAGATTACCGACGTCGAGGGCAAGAAGACCAAGGTGGCGGCCAAGATTGTGTCGGGAGGAAGCTACAAGCTGTAAAGCCGCGGGCTATGGGGGCTATAGACAAAAGCTGAAGATGAGAGTTATTGTGAGTGTGTGTGTATATAGGTGTTGAGAAAAGAGAGGGTGGTTGGTTTCATTCGGCTTTTGGTTTTTGTGTGGGCGGGCTGTAATGAATGGGTTTGATTGACGTTGTATAAAAAGTCTTTCAAGACAAGCAGAGTATAGGGGGGGGAAACTAGAAAAGGGGATTGCATTTATATAGGGCGCGAGAGTTTTTTTTTCTTTTCTTTCTTCAAAATCATGCACGTTCTTCTCATATCTGCCCTTTTCTTTGAAAGACCAATAAAGGGGGTGCATCAACTGGCTCATTGATATTCCAAACCCATACAGATTAATTTCGTCATGTAACAAAAGCACAGGCACCGCACCCATCCATCCATCCGTGCCTTATCCAGCCTCCTCATAAGCTTCCTCCCACGCAAGAACCACACAGGGTGTGGTATGGTTTCAATATCAAGCTTGATTCATCCTCTCTCCCCTTTCCCATCCCTCCTAAGACGCCCCAAAACACCCAGTCCAGAGCAAATTAAAACAAAATGCAGCGTGCAGCGTCACTCCAAGAATCTCCTCTCATCGAAAACTCAAACCAGGTGGAATCAAGTAAAATTTAGGGGGGCCGATAGCAGGTTTTATTTATCAGCTTCGGCAGTCTGCTCCTCCTCCACCTTGGTCCTCTTCGTTTCGAGCTCAGAAGTTTCCTCATCGGCCTTGCGCTTGGCGTTGCCGTTGCCGTCGGCGGCATCTTCGCCCTTGGCCTTCTTCTTGCGAACAAGACTTGTCAGGTCGACAGCATTCTTAGAAGCCTCTTCGACGCGCGCCTGTACTTCAGCGGCGGATTGGCCAAAGGCAGCGCCGAGGATGCCGCCTAGAGGGTTGGCTCCATCGCCCAGCAGGTCAGCCGTGCTAAGAGGATCCTTTTGCAGGTCGACGAGCTGTGACTTGTCAGCAAAATGGGAGAAGAAGGGAAGAAAACGTGGTGTAAGCTAGTGGGGTGGAATAGAAAGGCTTCAGAATTAGAACCAACATACCCTTTGCTCCAACTCAGCAATAACCTCCTTCATCTCTTCGACAGCCTTGCGAGACAACTCATTGTCTTCTGGCGACGCTGAGCTGGCAATCTCGACCTCGATGGCCTGCATCTTGAGCTTAAAGCTCTTGATGGCAAGCTCCATCTCGGCAACAGCCTCGTCGCGCAGGCCCTGATCAATCTCCTCGCGCTTGGTGTTCTTGCCCTCTTCATCGGCAACCGTGAGAGAAGCAAACTCGAGCGCGAGCGAAAGCTTGTAGTGTGCCTCGGCAATTATTTCGGATTCTTCAGGGTAGAGCTCTACCTTGTAGTTGAGAGATGTGCGGCCGTCCTCGATCGCATTAGGATACCTGCGCACATACAAAGTCAATCGAGCTGCGTCTTGCTTCATCTCGGGGATGAAAGAAAAAGCAGTAAGCTTCAGGCGTACCGTTCGTTCTCGAGAGAGATTTCAGCAAGACAGTCGTGGGTCTCTGCAAGACGCTCTTTGATGTGTCTGACGGCCGAGGAGTCTTCCTTGGCGACCTCTTTGCCCTTGCCTTTGCTCTCGCCTTCGCTCTGCGCTTCCTCCTCATTCAGCTGATCCAGCTGCTTCTGGTAGCAAACGCGCGCGAGTTCGAGAATCTCAAAGGCAGTGGCAAGGTCGTCGTCTTCTTCCTCGTCTTGGTCTCCTTCTTCCTGGCCCTATTTGTTTTGTACGATGGGTAATTAGACAGCGAACTCAATCCGGTCAAGCTGGCATATTACCCACCTCATCTTCGTCAGACTCGTCAAAGTTCTCATCGCCCGTAAATTGGAAGAAGAGCTTCTTTCCTTCTGGAACATCACCCTTTTCCTCGCTCTTCTTGTCCTTTCCTTGTTCAGCCCCGCCCTCCTGAGCTGCCTCTTCGTCGTCCGTTTTGGCTGCCTTCTTGGAGGCCGCACCACCGTTTGCCTTTGTCTTCTTCTCCGCGGGAGCAGAGCCGCCTAGGACATCACTCTTGCTCTGGCCAACCTTGAACAAGCTGCGGCCGTAGTGGAACAGGATCTCGGCGTTCTCCGGTGCCAGCTCGCCATTGATTTCTGCTTGGAGGATGCTTGCTCTCGAGAAGATGTCGGCGGCTGCTTCGTACTTCTTGTGGGCATAGAGCGCGGTGCCCTTGGCGCTCAGATCGGCGAGGGTGACCTTTTTCGATTTGATGTCATCGTCAACCTCGGACCCTAGGTCGTGTTCAATCACTAATGCGGCATCTGTCTCTGCATCCGCCTCTGCCTCTGCCTTTGCTTCTGCCTTTGCTTCTGCCTCTGCCTCTTCAGCAACAGGGTTTTCGATGGTCTCGTCGGCGACCGTCTCCTCGACAGGCGCAGCCTCCTCGACTGGTCGCGTTTCGGCAATGGGTTCTGTCATTGTCAAGAGCTACAGACACACGCGACAGATGATGAGTGCCTGCCTGCTGGTGAGCGGTCGAATGGGGTACAAACAGAGGATAATCGGGCTGTTTTCGTCCAATTGCAGTTGGAGAAGCTCACCAGAGATGAATTGATGATGCCAGACTCGTCGGATTGAATAAAATGCAGAGGCAAAAGGGAGCTGCTGTGAAGCGAGCACAAACAGCTGATCTCTAGGACCTATTGGAAGGTTTGCTGCAGTCGTGACGTGCGTCTTGGTCTGGCGCGTCTGATTGGCGGAAGGGGAGCTTTTGTGGGGCGGTACTTGACACGGTGTGGCTGGGTGGGGTGGCTGAGTGGGGCTGGAGAAGAGAGAGCTGCCTTATGTAATATCTCCAAGACTCCAATTGATCAACAGCTTACCCTACGACTAATCATCCATTTGCCATTTTACACTTTGGCCATTGGATTGACATGCCTATGACGGAAAGCCTCGTTTTTCGCATCCTTCTTTGTTCCGCGGAATCAACTGGCGTCTGAGCGAGACCTCGGAAATGCTGCGTCCAGGCTCACTCTGTCCAACATGACCTAGTGCAAGCTAGCTGCACGCCGCTGATGAGGTCCAGCTAACGAGCTGAATCGGCTATGACAGTTCACGATACCCGTTATACCCGTTTGCATGGGCGATTCAGCTTCACGGTCACCGTGAAAAATCCCGACTCTGTGCCGTAGTTTTGCGCCACTTGGGCGTTCATTGGAAGAGGGGCGCTCATCATTGCCAGGCTCGTCACCAACTTGCCCATCACCCTCAAAACAGGAATTCGATTGCCGCCGATATAAATATGCGTGAGCCCATAAGGCCGCTTCCGTAAATCTCAACTTGTCCCACCACTACCTAGTAGATACTCGTACTAGGAAGTCTTGGCTCTGTATTCTGTAAACCTGTCTGATAACTTATCGCTGTCGCTGTCTACTACTGTTGCTTCCCAGCCATGTCGGCCTTTACCGAGGTAACCATGGACTATATTGCATCCGGCTATTATGTTAATCAAGGTCGTGAAACTCACCCATTCTACAATAGGAATGTTACGGCCAGATGTGCTGGCTCACTATCCCCGTCATAAACATTGACAGGGCCAAGGCCTTTTATGCCGAAGTCTTCTCCTGGGAGACCAACCCCCAAAGCGTTCCTCACGGGCGGCCCGGCGTCAAAGAGCTATTCTTTTTCAATCGTGGCAAAGCACTGAATGGCGCTTTCTACGTGATGGAGGATGGCTTTCACGTCATCAACCACGCGATAGGCGCTAGAGATTGCCTTTCTGTTCATCCGAGCTTCAACGTCGAGAACTGTAAGAAAACGCTTGAGCTGGTTGAGAAGCTCGGTGGCAAGACGCAACTGTAAGTTGGCCCCCTTTTGTGTCCATCTTCTTGGTGAAATATACGAGTAGAAAAGGAGACAGAAGAAAGCAGCAAGGGCGGAGAGAATATTCCAAGCTGACAGTCATCCAGGCATAAGACTGAGATTCCCGGGGACATGGGGTACTATGCTCGGTTCATCGACACTGAGGACAACTTGATCGGGATCTGGTCCAAAATCTGACACTCGGCTGGAATGACAGCCACTCCCTTAGTTTTTTGTTCATGAACTAGTCCACGAATAGTGGGCTGTTTCTGTTTCTCTTACTCTTGTATTACGCCGAGCAAAGCCATCACTATTCCTCGTTGATGGAAAAATAGTAGAAAAAGTACATATATATACCAACTATCCTAGCTTTTGTTTCCCAGCCTTGTTCGAATTATGCCCGTAATAGTCAATACTGTCCTCCACTCTTTGTCATTTCCCGTGGCGTAATTTATACCTGGTAATCAGCTATACTATGCTGTCTCCATCACGCCGGGTCCGGAGATCACGCCCCGTTGAAGCAGGGGCGGAGAAGATGACTAGAGGCGAACTCCATCTGCAGTTTGACAGCGGCCGCTACCATGGCACCAATTTCTCCAGCACTGAGATTCATCCCACGTTGCATCAAGGAGGAAAAATCATCCTGCGGGATGTCGAGCTTCATTGTAGCTGAGTCGTGTCTCGGGAGTCACTTGCCGCTAGGTCGTAGTTGGGTAGGTAGGTTGTCATTGATTCCAATGCTCGCCTCTGGTAAGCTATTATAAACCTATCCAAGCATATGCCCGATAAAGGTAGTTGTACTATACTATACTCTGACTTGCTCACGTTTGCATATGCTTAAAAGTCGCGGCTCTTGGCCAATCTTGAAGTCACACCCTTGCACATGTAGGCTGACAAAGCGGCTTCTATCGTGGTTTTAATGTCGACATCGGAGGCTCGTGCTTATTGGACATTGGTATTCCCACGCTCGGAAATATTTGTGCAATCAGGCGCAAGCGTTTTTCTTCAATACGGTGGTTGCCTATTCGTGGAATTTTATTCCATCCCATATCGCTGAGCTTGTGACGACTACAATGATAACGAAGCAAGTCCATGGGCTCGCGTGTTATCAAGCAACACCTCACCAGATCGCTTGGCTGCTTCAATACATGCACTGCAGAATGAGGAATTGAAACAGCGCATCTCTTACTGCATTTAGACAGCACATATTAGCAGGTGGCCGCGGGATATTGCCTTGATATTACCTATCTAGGTAGTACCTTGCCTTCTCAAGAGGCCCTCCCCCATGCATAATTGTTCCACGACATTGGGTCCTTTTCTCGGCGGTACAATGCATCCCGCGGGGGTCATGAGCGATGACCCACGATGCTAAATGGGTTTGCAGCCCCGGCTGGATGACCTAAGAAAGCGAACGTCTCACTCTATCCTTACTACCGCTCGGGCGAGCAGCACCCGTATGCTCCGTTTTCATGCTGCCTGTGGGCGTAAGGTTTCCCCCACAAGATCGGGAGTCGTTTCGGTCTTACTCTTCTTAGTCGGCTGCGGGGGCAAGTGATTTGTTCTCAATGCCTTGGCGGTGTTCGTCCTGAGTCGAAAACAGAGTCGTCTCCGCGCTCGAAGGATCAACTAGGTAGGTACATACATACCGTCTTACTGCTAGTCCAGATACCAGCAGACCAGAACCGCCTTGTTCCCGAGCTCCTCGAGGTACGTGTCATGGATGTAGCAATACGAAGAGTAGACAGACTCATGCCGCGCGGGCTGACACACCCCGGTGACCTTGATGACATTTATTGACCTCTTTCTACTCCGTACGGAGCATCCAAGGAGATTGTCATGGATACATGTATCCGCTGTCGGCCTCTGCTCCGGGTTTTGGCAGTTCCCAAAGATATCAGCTAGATACTACATAGATACATGCCCATCGGCTAGGCAAGGTACCATCGCGGGCATGAACTCGGCGTATCCAGGATTAGATCTTGTCCCTTTGGTTACAGACCGTTGGGCTACGAGTACTGGCCCTGCGAGTGACAAATTAAAACAGAGTATGAAGCGTCAATGCGCGCTAGTTTTGGAAAACTGAGGTGCCCAGAAAAAAAGAAAAGCACAAACCCCCGGCGTCTCTTTTTCCGCTGAACATGATAGGAAGGATTACTATTCTCCTGATGGAGCGCGAGCTTTTGCCGGTTCAGTGTTAAGGGGAGAGCCAGAGGCAAAGATTCTCCGCAAAAATGGTACTTGACATGTACTCGCCGGGAGACTCCGTGCGTCGCCATCGCTAGCAATTCCTCCGTCTTTGCAAAGGCCAAATTAGATGTACCTCGATTCCGGGAACGCACTCGGGTGGCAAGAACTGGTGCTTCTTTCTTTCTTTTTTCCGTTGGCTATTGCAGAAGCAGAAACAATAACAAACCAAAAACAAAACCAGCTTCTTGAACTGCTGGTGAACGCGAGAAAATGCGACACACACTCGGACTCGTACGAGCTCTCTTGTGCAAGTGCCCCATCAATAGCTCCAGAAGGAAGCACTTACCCCGTACTATTGTGCCTTAGCCTGAAGCCCAAGTACCGCCATCAAAGTACATGTACTCGTGCATGTACAGATACAGACAGCCAGAGTACTCCGGAAATACCAAACAGGGCAATTTCGGGTACATGTACGGAGTACTGCACGAATTCTCTGTAGGCATGGAGATTAAATCCAAGTCCATGCCGTCTGGTTCAAAGGATTCACAGGTCTCATTGGGGGGTTAATCTCTCGGTAGCAATGCGGGGCATGGCCCTGTGATTGGCGGAGAATTGTAGCCCCCAGCATCGCCGGCAAATAGGGAGAATTTGCGCACTGCACAGGCCTGCTTGCAGTGGGCCTAGCTAATCGCAACAGCAAGGCTGACTGGCTCTGCTCGCTAACTGAGCAATTACAGGTCCGACTCCGTAGCGCTAGCAGCTGTTCCAGCGAGCTCCAGCGGCTCCCGCGCCGGGGATTGCAGGGAGCACCAGCGCCTCCCCACCAAGCTGGCGCCGCTGCAGTGGAAAGCACTGAACCCCACGCTAGCAGGTCCTGGTACTTCTGTCATCGCCTATCCATGCCTGGATGCTACTAACCCGACAGGTCCTTTTTTTCAACATCAACAAATCATCCTCCCGATACTTGCGCTGCACACACAGCTGTCGTGCATTGGCTGCCAGCCTCTCTCGCGATTTCCTAAGCTACTCTACGGCCTGATATTGCCCCAGGGACTGCGCATCCCCTCAAGACCACCGCCAAGCAGCGCCAAGGCTCCTCAACACAGCTAGCCACCTCCATATCTCTTCGTATCGCATCCTCTCTCCATCACCAAAAAGACACCAGCCTCCAACCGAGCTTTGTTTTGTTTTGATTTCTCCGCCCTGCCTCTTCCGCCTCGTTTTCTCATCCGTCCACTCGGTGCTGCGCGCGGAAGGGATTTGGCGACTTTGACTGAGGTCCTGACTTGCGGCAATCCAATTTGAGACCGGAGCGAGATCCGCGGCAAAATAAAAAGAAGACGGAGAGGGAGAAAAACCGAAAACCGCCACAAGGTCTGGGAAGAATATGGTTTGGCCCTGATTCTGCTCTCACTCTTGCCTCGAGCCACCCACCGCTGAGCCAAGATTCTGGATTCCCTGGACCGACGACTAGAATCACACCCATCTGATACGCCCGCGGCTACCACGCATCTGCCTCTGCCGGCAAATTCCTCCAACGAACAACAGGCGTTTCTGACCTATAGGATTCGTATTAAATAATCGCCTCCGCTTCGTGTAAGTCTCTGGTGCCGGGGACCTAAGCTGCTTTTCAGGCAAAAAAAAAAAAAAAGAAGTGGAAAAGGGGATCTATTACCTGGCATCTATCCGCATACAAAACCATTTCTACTGGCCCTGTTGCGCAAACGGGAGAGCATCACCTGGCAGATCAACTCCGCTAGCTTTGGCCGCGGCGACTTTTGCGGTAACTTGGACGATTTTTCTCTCCCTCGACAATATATTTGTCTCTTGTATCACCGTCTTCGGAAGCTATCCGACTCAGCTGCCACTAACCGGCTTACGGGGGAAAGAGGAGCGAGAGTGTGCATAGGCCGCCGTCTCTCGATAATTGTGACCACCTTGTTGCATTGCGCTCCCTCCTCTCATTGCGACCTGCCCTAATTAGGTCTTCCCCAGGGGGTATCCGGGCACTTGTTTGTAGCTTGGAAGATACCTCTTGCGCCAGATCGCCTGCGACCTTACCCAAGCTTCGGGGTATTCGGCCACGCGAACTTGAGCTCACCGTACCCGATCACAGCTGGTGGGAGGTGCATTCGGCATCGTCAAGGCTGATCAGAATCCTTTCGCCAATCGTCGGCGCGACTTGGTTGAAGTGTTGGGCCCATCTATTTTCCGATTCCCACTTGGCATGCAGCGCCGAGTTGGTGGAGGTCCTACAAAGACACAGAGCCAACTTCCTGTATCCGGGCAGCGTCGCTTTTTGCCGACGCGGCTGCCTAAACGCTCAATCCTTCGGCCTCGACCTTCCAGTAGAGTGTGCTGTCTGAAACAAACTAACCTAGAACAATAATACGATGGCTGCTGTCCAGCAGTTGCTGGCAAGCCCGTCGCCGGCCCCAGCGCCAGTATCATCACACCACATCAACACCTCAGCCTCTGCCGACATGGAGCTTGACAGCGCCAGCAATGATCCGGTCATGATTGATAGCGGGCTGATGAAGGGCGCGCCACAAACGGGAGATTCTCGAATAGCTGTCATCGTGTATGGACAGGGACAGGAGCATGTTGTGTCCACATTCGCAGAGGTACTGGGCAAACCGGTTAAATTGAAGCGACAGTTCAAAGACGTCGACCACGAGGATGAGGGCTTTGTCATTGGCCTTGCTCTGCAGGAGGCCAAGAATGATGTGGAGGAGAGAGACCAGCAATTGCTCGTAGCTATCAATGCTCACTGCGTCAACCTAGGAATGCCTCCGGACCTGCATCTGTCGATCCACTGCGACTATGAGTTTCTCTACACCGAAACCCCCTTCTTCAGACGCGACCTTGCTCGATTTATCTCATTCACACTCGGCCAGATCAGCCCGCACAGCCAATTGATGGCCAAACCGAGGACGTTTTTCATTTCCACCACTTTTCCCGATGTCCATGCGGCTCTTCCTAACCTGGATATTCTTACTGTTGGAGCTGATGCGGTCGAGATTCGCGTGGACCTTCTGCGCGAGCCTAGGGGAGACGGGACCTTTTCTGACATCCCAAGCCTGAGTTACGTCGGACAGCAGGTCATGCTGCTGCGCCAGAGAACTGAGCTTCCCATCATCTTCACCACTAGATGCACAAAGGAGAATGGAAAATTTCCCA